GTGTGATATGTTCAAAGACATTTCAATTTTCTCCATTCTGAGAAGTGTAGAGAAAAGATATAAAATGACAGCTTAATTGCTTTTAAGAGTTATTTTAAAAACTACAGATACTGTAGAAGAGAAATTAACACTGCTGCTATCAACCACTTTTCTGATATCTATCATATAAAACTGTATGCTGCTTAGCATTGTGACAAATTATTATGAGGATGTTTATTCATTAATGTACGGCTTTGTATAACTACACTTAAGTTTGATTTAGAATAATGCATTTTTGAAGAAATTGTTTAGCCGGGTGGCGAGTTGTGCGATGTATCCTGATCCGACCCCAGCTCCAATAAGCCGGCCTGCGGAATCGATATCGAACCCAGTACGGGCGTTCAACTGCCATCGCCAGGAAGAGCCTTTGTGCCAGTGGATCCGACCAGGAGGCGCCCAAATCAGGGTGATGGACTGGTGGGCGGTGGCGTAGAGGCAGTGTGTCAAAAATACGACACTGAAGACGGGAATGGGGAGCAGATGAGACAGCAGGGGCAGAGAAGAGAAGAGAAGGAGATGGGTAGAAAGGGGTGGGAATTAAAGACGCAGATGTATGTGTGTGAAGGGAGCAGTCGAAGCAGTTTTTAAGTTCACGACGAATGACCCACGAAACAGCGCTACAACCAGTCAAGGCAAGGGCCGCTGTTTCTGGCGGCCGTCGCAACGAATGCTAATTAAATCATATAAAATAATAACTATGGAAATGTTAAATAGTAACAATATAACTAATAACTAATCTTTAAAATTGATACATAACGTAATTCCCAAGTAAGCGGATCACAAACTCACCTGTATCCCAACTGCCTAGATTTTAAATCAAATTATCTCAACGCCACAACACTTTATTAAATTACACTAGGTTGAGGACATCTTATTCTTGTATGTCTGAGAGTGCTGCAAATTGCTGCAGCATTGTGGAGCTCATTGACATGATGTAGGCTCAGATGGCAGAGACTCATAGGGTTGAATAATTTGTCTGTTCAACAGATACAGCAGATGGATAATAAGATCCTGAGCTTCATTCCTAGTTAGACCTCCTGCATGCTGGATTTGATGTCTAGGTCTATTTCACTTTTGCTTCTCTATCTCATTCGCGTTGAATATATGGGGATAGAGCCCATTCTGACATGTTGACTAACTTGATTACAGTCACTCATTTTTGATTTCCAGGCCGTAGAAGCTTTGTCCAGCTGTAGCACCTCATTGCTAGTAATAATCTTAGTAGTAGTGCAGAGTCTCATTGTAAAATCAATCTCATCAAAGTTGTATATATTCTCTAGAAGAATCTCATGTATAGTGATTGCAGCTCTCAAGATCTTAAATCAAGTTTGAACACATTTGGCCCAGTCATGGTTATAGTGTCTGAAGTAGTAAGTCTGAAGCTCTGGACAATGTGTCACTAGATTTGACACCCAGTTCTTGCCAACACGGAGGGGGATGGAGATGATGAAATTCTATATTAATAAGAAGATAATTAGCTATATCCTCAACAAATGCTGACTGTGGGGGAAATCCTTGTTTAGCTTGATCTAGCACATTCAACTAGCCTATTCTCTTCAGTCTGAGTTAATTTTGATTGAATTTGCATGTTGATTCATGCGAGCAGTCCAGCCATTGAGTTGATAATTTAGAGGAGAGAATGATATATTAAATACACATACAGCTTCATGAATTGAGGATATTTCTTGATTTTTTAAAGCATTTATCATGAGCTCAAGCCTCCCCTCTCTCTCAAGAGAATTTGAAGTGTTTTTATTATGAATTAGTGGCATAATTGCATGTTGAGGTGGATGAGTAGTTAAATGAGAAGATAGTGTTTGGTGATCCGCGCTCACTTGAAAATTACATTATTAAAACTTTAAACTTTTATATAAGTATTTAAATATAGTTAAACTAGATGTAAATATTTAAAATCAAGTTCTATTGCTTAGCTTCAAGAATCAGAAATATGTTAATTTAATAATCAAATAAATAATTAATATTAGTTATAAATTAAAATATTTAAAACATTAATTGTATATTTAAAATTTTTATATTTATAGCACTTTGAAATATATTTGTAATTTTTTAAAATAAATTATAAATAGTATATAGAATATGTTACAATTACTAAAGAAAATTTTCAAAACTAAAAATTTAATAGTATATGTAAAAAAAAGAATAGATTAGAATCAAATAGTTTTAATATATATATATATATATATGTCACGGTCGCAGGACTGTGCCGAGGTGCTTGAAGGCCACTGAGAATCACAGCGCCAATTACACCTGGACCCTCTCAGCGGGTAGGGCGGCTTCTCATCAGGCTGACAGAAGCCCTATGTAGATAGCTATGACCCACTATTCAGAGGCCAGCGATTCGTTCTCAATATATTAAAGTTACTGAGAATACGCATAGAATTCTCTTTACAACCACTTGAAACCCCTTGATTCCTAGATCCCTCTTCTATTCGTAGGCATACGCTCGTATGATTTCCTTAACTAGCCAAGCCCACCCATTCGGCCCCCCTTATAACCACCCCTACGTGACGTAGCTGTTGACATTCCACGTCTCGTTACAATATATAATATTATAAATTATTACTATATTTATTATTCTTTAATTTTAAGCTTTAATCTACAATTAAATAAAGTATTTATACAAAAAATAAATAAAACTTTTGAAAACTTTAAAGCAAGTAAAATTAATGAAGTATTTTAAAATCATGAAAATATATTAATAAATCAATAAATATTATAAATAAAAATGAAACTTTAATTGAATAATTGTAGACATACTAACTACTGAATATAGTTTTAGCACTTTCTAATAATAATAATAAATGAATTTATTAAATAAGAAAATAAAGAAATTCATAAGAGTAAATTCACAAGCATAAATACATAAAGAATAGTCAAGATGATAAAAGAATAGTCTGATCAATCATACGACTGAGACGGAAAGAGAGTAGTAGTATTGTTGATCATACGATTAATAAATAAGTAGTTTGTCACAAAGAAAATTACCAACCACATATCATTTATTACATTAATATAATAATGCAAATAATATATAGTTTAATTACTAATAAATATAAATTATTTTTATTTTATCTTTAATATTTATATAAAAATTAATTTACTTTTTAATTTTTAATATAATAAATATAATAATATTATATTAAAATTTTAATTATAATAAATATAATAATATTATATTAAAATTTTAATTATAAAAAATTGAATATAAAATAATAAAATATTTAAATAATAAATAAATTTAATAAATATAATAAAATCTTTTTATAAATAATATAAAAATATATTTTAATAAGTTAAATATAAATAAAATTATAAAAATTTAAATTTAAAATATATTTATAATTAAAATATTATATATATATATATAATATTATTAATATTTTATTTAAAAATATAAATATAATTTTAATTTTAACTAATAATATTATTAACTTTAATAATATATATTTTTAATTTTATTATATTATATATTTTTTTAATAATTAAATAATATTAAATATAAAAAATTAAAAGTTATGGATTTAAATTTTATAAAAAGTATTTTAAAATTAATTAATTAAATATATTTTTTATAAAATCTTAAATATAGTTTTTATTATAGAAGTATAATTTTATATTAAACTTTTATTATAGTTATTAATTATATATTAAATAAAAATAAATTTTTTAATAAATTTAAATATTTTAAAACTTTTATATATTATTTATTTTATTATATTTTTAATTATAATTAATATTTACATATTATATTATTTTAATATAAAGTTATATAACTCTATATTTTAAATTATATATATATATTAAATAAAATATAATATTTATTAAAAATATTAATATATTATTTTTATATTTATATTAAAAATTTATTTAAATATTATAATATTATTAAAACTTTTCTTTTAATAATAATAATAATAATAATAATAATAATAATAATAATAATATATTTTATTTAAATAAATATATAATAAATTATTAAATCTTATTTATTGTAAATTTATGTTTCATTGTCTAAAACTAAACTTAAAAATATACAAAAATTAAATATATAAATTTTTAATTATAGTTAATTATAAAAATAATTATATTTATTTCATTATAATTGTAAAACTTAAGTAATGATGACATTCTCAATTTATTTTTCAGTATCATCAATTTTTGCAACAATATCATAATGAATGAATGAATGAAAAATATGAAAAGCTTTCTGTATTATTTTTATCATTTCTTCAGACTGCTCTCCATGTTTCATGTGTGGCGCAACTCGCTAGTAACTTGCTAAACTCCTAGCAGAAAAAAGGTTTGAAACACCGTGATCGTTTACTAATCGGATTCTACCCTCCACCAGCGTCGGCAAATCGTCAAATCTTCACAATCTCCTCAGACGAGCATTGAATTTTTATGACGGCACTTTTCTGTGATGGATTAATTTCCCCGTTCCCACATATTATTCCCTTAAAAATGCCCTATGTGAGCTTGTCGCAATTTTCCACATGCTCAAGACCCGAGGAATGGCCGAGGTCAGTAACTAAACTACGTCAGAGACCATGGTTTTGACCTTGGTTCCTGGTAGTTCTCTGTTTCTTGGTCTTTTGGCTCCAAGATTGCAAGACTTGTTGTTTCTTTTGGCATTCTTGAAACTGGCACTTTCTAGTACATTTCGAATCCTTCTTTTTGACTCTTTTAGGTTCAAGTGTCCCATGGTTCCAATTAAATAGAGTTTATCAACTGTCTCCATCTCAACCGATCTACTTTTAGATCAATAACTATAGCTTGGAGCTGTTCAGAACTTTATTTAGAACTTGAAATGCCCATTTATCCCAGCTTCCCTGCACGCGGGCAGGAGGTGTGGCCATTGAAAGTCCCATTCATAGCTATCGTGGTGAAAGGACATATACAACACCTCAGAGAGATTCAAAATATCTATATTCCACGCAACGATGGCTGCTTCTGCGTTACTGAGAAGCCGTGTCAGACGGCCGTCCATGCTGAAGAAGCTGGCCAAGCCAGAGGATCTGATTGATCTCTTCCCTCATGGTTCGTATATCGGCTGGTCTGGCTTTACCGGGGTAGGATATCCAAAGTACGTACAGACCTTCTGAACCACTGAAGTGGGTTTTAATAGGACGATGTTTTCGGAACTCTAACCGTAAATTGTGCATAGGAAAGTACCGGCTGCCCTAGCGGATTATGTTGAGAACAATAACCTTCAAGGAAAGTTGAAATATACACTTTTCGTTGGAGCGTCTTCTGGTGCGGAGACGGAGAATCGATGGGCTCGCCTCAATATGATTGAAAGGCGAGCACCACATCAAGTTGGCAAGGAGATCTCGAAGGGGATTAACAAAGGCAATATCAACTTCTTTGATAAGCACTTGAGCATGTTCCCTGCGGATCTGGTGTATGTACGTGATATATCCCACCCTGCTCTGGTTGGCCTGTTCATGAACTTGGATGAGAAGAGCTAGTTATTGATAGTAGTCTACAATTACACAATTAATAGGGATTTTACACCAAGAACAAGCCCAGCAATAAGTTAGATGTCGTGGTTATTGAGGCGTCGGCAATCACAGAGGAAGGTGGAATCATTCCGGGAGCTTCCGTTGGAGCTTCTCCTGAGCTGGTTCAGATGGCAGAAAAAATCATCATCGAAGTCAACACCTCTGGTCCTTCGTTCGAAGGTCTGCACGACATCACCATGTGCGATGTGCCACCAAAACGGAAGCCCTATCTGGTCATGGCACCGGAAGACCGCATTGGTACCCCTTACATCCCAATTGATCCAGAGAAGGTCGTCGCTATTGTCGAATCCGACTATCCCGACCAGACACAGCCAAACGCCCCAGCGGACGAGATATCGCAAGCCATTGCCAGACACGTCATTGAGTTCCTCCAACACGAAGTCAAGATGGGACGGCTGCCCTCGAGCCTTTTGCCCATTCAGTCCGGTATTGGAAACATCGCCAATGCCGTCATCGGCGGCCTCAGCACTGGTGGCGCCGAATTCCGGAACCTCCGTGTCTGGACCGAAGTGCTCCAGGACTCTTTCCTTGACCTTTTCGACAGCGGTCACTTGAACTTTGCTACTGCCACCTCCATCAGATTCTCCCCCGACGGCTTCAAGCGGTTCTACGATAACTGGGAAACTTACTATGACAAACTGCTCCTCCGATCGCAACAGGTTTCCAACTCTCCTGAGCTCATCCGCCGTCTCGGTGTTATTGGCATGAATACCCCCGTCGAAGTGGATATTTATGCCCACGCCAACAGCACCTGCGTGATGGGATCGCGGATGTTGCACGGACTGGGGGGCTCCGCTGATTTCCTGCGTAGCTCTAAATATAGCATCATGCACACGCCTTCTGCGCGTCCAAGCAAGACTGATCCCACCGGTATCAGCTGTATCGTGCCTTTCTGTACGCACATTGACCAGACAGAGCACGATTTGGACGTCATCGTGACTGAACAGGTAAAGAAATGGCTTCCACTTTTATCTTTTCCCTCCGCATCATATCTCTTCTTGAGACACCAAGAGACCAATAGCTAACCTCCTTTATTTAACCAAATATAGGGTCTCGCCGATGTTCGTGGCTTGTGTCCTCGTCAGCGTGCTCGCGAAATCATTGCCAAATGCTCGCACCCTGACTACAGGCCAATCCTACAAGATTACTTCGATCGCGCCGAGTTCGAGTGCCTGAAAAAGGGCATGGGCCACGAGCCGCACCTCCTCTTCCAAGCTTTCAAGATGCATCAGAACCTGCAGGAGAAGGGCACGATGAAGATTAGCGGCTGGGAGTAGAATTTTTCTCTCTTCTTTCCCCTTTCTCCACTTTTGCAAGGGGGGAGAGGTTGGATGGGGAGAGGCGGAAGCGTTAAAAACACATTTGCAGATCGCTTTAGATACCTCTGTGGATTGCACCTGAAAAACCATGCTTTTCCGTATTGTCTTTGAAGGGTCCGGCACTAGAAGCGTAGTTTAGGTGATGCTGGTTGGCTTTTTAACATGCTTTGTGTATATATGTATATGTACTTCTGGATAGCAAGATTTGCTGGCTTGGTATCGCTTTTCATCGACTTTGCTGTTTATGTCAGGATGTCTGCTCAGTTAACTGAACATATCATTTTCCACATGCTGCTGCGGCCTACACACATTGAAATGGATTGGAAAGGATGGATTTGCCTTGCATCCCGAGTCTAATCAACACAGGGATACATACGATTCAGAATATGTTTCATATATTCTCAGTCGTCCAAGTCCCGTAATACGATATTTTCCCAAATCCTAAGTATTATACAATATCTGAGAAGTGCCTTACGGTAGAGCAAGCGAATTGAGCAAGATATACCTTTGTTTGTATTACGATCGACCGATAGTTTATGACGTGACATGTTCGTTGTATGTACATGAGATCAGGGGGATGAAGGGGCTCCCGAATGTAGCAGCCAAAACATCCTGACAAAATGCACCTCCCTTGAAGACGCCAAAGTGCAGAACACATGAAGAGGGGGAGGAAAGAGTTTGTTTAACTTTATCTTCTCATGAATAAGCTAAAACTTCCTGAGCTACGGCTGGTGAATTGTCGCGGGACCCGTGGTTGAGTTGGGAATTTTATTTTTATGTTCTGGTCGGGTAGGGGGGCCCTGCCGTACCGTGGCTCATTCTCAGGGGAAATTTGTAGTATCCAGATATGCCAAATCCATCTGTCATAGGGCGTGTTTTCATATGAATAATGGGGGGGGGTGGGGGATTGTAATGGATATATATCACGTTTTGTATAAAATATAAAAAAATAAATAAAATAAAAAAAAAAAAAGCCAATGCAATACCACCCCATGCAAAAGGGGGTTGGATGGTTACAAGCCTGATGGTGAGTGTAAAACACACTAATTTAACACCCAGAGGCGGACACAGGAGACATTTTGGAAGCACCACTACCAACCAAACAAACTACCGCATCCATCATTGCAGTCACTGTACGAAGTCCGTGTCTAGGCATAGCCGATGTCTACGCCGTGCTTCCACGAACACTGTAACGTAACAGTCACGACCAGGCTCGACTGACGACTGACATAGTACTGGGTTGATCCGTGGTCCGACTGACACCACCAGCAAGAACTATAGCTAGAACCCGTCCGTCGGAAGTCATGGACTCAGTCAAGAGGGCCAGGTGGTTATCCCCAAAGGCTGAAGTTGCAGATAATCTTCCCACACATGAGCGATTTCTCTCATCACAGGGCTCCCGATTCGGGGTGCGGAATGGCTCCCTGCTGCTGGCCCCAGGCCAAGTAAAATACGGTGCCTGGTCTGTTTCTCTACTATCAAAACCTGGCAGCTTTATTCTTTGTTTTTGTTCTTCTGTTTGCTCTACCTTGCCATCCTCTATCTTCTTATTCAGGAGCGCATTCTCAAAGCTCTGGCAGTGAAGTCCATGCCAGATATTCTCTGAAGAAAGGTAATGTATCCTAGAGCTGAGTGTTTTCTTCTTTTCTTTTTTCTTTCTTTTTTTTTTTTTTTTTTTTTTCTTGAATTTTTATTGTAAAAACATCAGAACCATCTGATGAAGAAGGTTTTCAATTCTTCTTTAATCTTTCTGCCTGTGAAAATAGAGTGAGACGACCTGCTTGCTAGACAGCTGGAGGCAGTCTCTTAAGTTCAAGAATGCAAACCAATAGAGTTTTCATGTAGATTTGGATGTTTCTTCCTTGATGAAGCCATTCATGCTCCTTTGGACTGTGGTTATGCACATGATCTGGATAGCCTCCCTTCCCTCCCCACCTAGATGGGAGGATCATCCGAACGAAAATACGGAACTGCGTGATATAAAAACTCCTCCACTGGGTGGTTTAGCCTCTACTTGACTTGCTTGGCCCATCATAGGCTACTGGTCCCGAATACCTTCTGAGCTATTTAGTCTAATTCTGTTCCGGCAACTAGCTGCACGTAGCCAATGGGACTGTCCACATCTTCTTCAAAGGTTCTCAGCTGGCCAAACAACCATTCCCAGATCCCAGGGGTTCCACCGGTGGTATATGTGTTGCATCATTTAGGACGATCTCGTTGTCATTCATTCGTGTACCCAGACGTACGTTGCCACATGGATCCACCTGATCGTCGGCTTTGAAGGTGTCATGCCGGCCTTTTGGGATTTGACATGTTTGCAGAGTTTACAATAACCATGGTGGAGAATAGTCACGTGATGGAAGTGTCCGACGGTTCGTTGGTTAGCACTGGACAATAGAGTTAAATCATGATCTATTGGCCAAGGTTTGGGGAAGACAGGAACATGGAAATACACTCTCAAAGGACCGGCAAGAAGCTGAGCAGGACCAGCCGAATGAGAACCGCCTTGGGAGCAAGCCTTTGGTCTCGAGCTGTCGCATAGGCCTTGGGCGACTAGAGTGGCTTTTCCGACTTGAACTGATAGAAAAAGCTATCTGACAATCCAGCAGCAGCCCCATATTTTCAGGTGAAAGCAACCATACAAGAGGCTGACACCACTAGCAAGAGTCTACATGTACAAACCTCGGGGGTATATCATCCTATCATGGTTGGGGATATACTACACGAGCGATACCGCATCGTACTCATCCATGCTACACCATGACTCCCGCACGATGCAATCTCAGAGAGGGCTCTTCTAGCCGCCTGTTTCCTCTTGAAGTTACGCGCGCGCGCTGTCGGGTGGCCCTCACACTAGCTATTGAATATATGCATCATATTCATCTTTATCTTTATTGGATATCCCGTCTTCGCGATATCTTAGTTAAACTATCAAGTTCCGACCAGCTCTCTCGATTGAGCAATTATATGAAGAATATGGCAAGCCTGAGACAGTCCCCATTATGCAGCACAACGGCAAATCACTTCCACCCAGTGTCCCAGCAAAGGCAGTGGTCCCACTCCGGCTTGGGAAAAATGAATGCAGAAGAATTCTCACTGTCTGACGCGCGAGTGCTTCTTAGTGACTCTTTGGCGAGGCATTTACCTCAATCTTGGAGATTTTGTCATGGGAAAGACTGCCACACATCATTAGCTATGCAGCCCTCAGAAGCCTGATTTGAGCTGCCGGCCCCGCTGTCATATTCAGCAGACATTTGGAGCCTGGCCACAGCAATCTGGGAGATTCTTGGCATGAAGGCCATGTTCAGTAGCGAATTCGCCACTGCAGATGACATCATCTCTCCGCGAATTGATGTGCTGGAACCAATGCCTTTAAGCTGGTCCGAGTGGGGGGTGCCTGATTTCAAGTCAAGCGCAGTCTGCAGAGATAGGCCGAGTTGGGAAGAAAAGGCCTGGTGATGCAAATAGCATTGTAGCCCCAACCAACATCTTCAGAACCCCCAGCCCCAGAAAATCGCTTATACCAATTGCGATGGGTGTGTGTGAGATGCAGATTTGAGGATTGGAGGTGCAAGATGCTCGAGAGCCGGGTCGTAGCGCACGATACAACTAACATAGAAATGAAACATGACTTCGAAAAACATGGGGCTTCCACGTTGATAGACTGTGAAGAGGGGTGAGTTTCACATGGAGTTTTTTTTTTTTTTTTTTTTTTTTTTTTTTTTTTTTGGCTTCCGATTTGTGCTAGAAGCAAGTTCCTACTCTGGCCAGCGTTCTGGAATTGAAATCATGCAGATTTTGACGAACCTTATTTCCAAGGTGGGTCAATAACTACAATGACTTGGCCCCGTGCCCAGGAAGACGTCCAGAGCGCCAAGGGGAGCGGTGGCGCTGTGGGCTCGGAAATTCGGTGATTACGCAGGAAATTGAGACACCAGGCTGAACAACGTGGACAAAACCACGAAGCAGTGGAAGTTATGCTTGTGTTGTGGGCACCTTTTGTTTTCTTGGACATCAAACGCTAGCTAGATTCTGTTGTCATTGGCAGAACAATCAGGGTTTGGGGCCATCATCAGTCTCTATCCCAAGAAATAACTAATAACACTTTTGTGTGAATAAAACGGTTGGACAGTTTGGGTACCTGCCCCCCCAGTAATTCAGTAATTATTGGGGGAGGGGAATGAATGGAATGCAATGTACTCCGTAATTTACTTCGCGACGGCTGTCAGCGGCCCCAGGATCAGTTGGTCCTTTTTCTCATTGGGGGGGTTGGGGGGCGGTGGGTTATGGTTACTGGGCGGTGGGCAGGCAGCGAACAAGTGGGGTCTCGCTTGACTCGGTAGAGATTCGGTGGAGATGAGCCAAGGCTGCTGTCGCCGCCCGCAATTGGCTGCCAGGAGGAGATTGCGCTGAGCCAATGGCTGTCAGAGGGGACCTGGCAGCAGGTTTGGAATCCATCCTTGGGTAAATATTACCAGGCTACGATATGATCTTTCCTCTTCTCTTAAGTTATGAAGAACAGGAAGTTCTTGTGGAGGAAAGGCTGCAAAAATTCTGCATGGAGTTAATGTCTCTACGCTCCATTTGAATAAGAGGACGACACCAAACATCTGATTCTCAAGAGGTAAAATAGTGGACTTCAAGTCAATGTCAGCAGTGAACCACAGGATGATCTCTGAAACGTCGACAGCATACACCTAATTGAAGATTAATTAACAGTAATAAAAACTTGTCGTTTTCAGGCCTCCAATGATGTACCTGGCTTTATGTACAGGCCGGCCAGCCAGATTGGATTTTTAAATTGCTGGTTTAGCGGGGTGGGAAATTTGCCTGGACGTTGTTTGTTTACACCCACCCAGGAAACCCGAAGTCCCTCGACGTGGTGTTCAACTGTGCCGTTTCTTCGCTTCGTTTCGTAGGAGACCGATTCCTGTGGGTGGTGTTTGTTTTCTGCGGTTTGTGTTTTTCTCTGTTTTTCCGATCTACGGTCGAATCATGAGAACCTGCGGTGAAAGTTACCATACCGCCCTGAGGAGTCAGCCATCAATGCCTGCTGCTTGTCCAATTCGCCGGCGGACACCAGCGTGTGTTGTTCTGTAAATACGCACTACTCTAGCGGTATGGTAACCAAGGGCTGCCCTCATTTTACCGCCCTGTTGGCCCTGCCTGCCTCGTCTGGTTGGGCCCCTTGGCCGTCTGCCCCTGCCCTTGGCCCCTGCCCTTGCCCCCTTTCATTATTCCCTCTTCCTTCCCAACTCCTCTTTTGTCTCTCTCTCTCTCTCTTTTCTTTTCTTTTCTCTTCTTCTTCTTCTTCTTCTTCTTCTTCTTCTTCTTCTTCTGTCAAGGCTTTGCGACCCCCCTCCGCATGTCCATTCCTTTGCTTGTTTGACGATCTTATCCGTCCTTCCCACCACCGCTTCACTCTTTCAGCGGGCATTCTTTTCTTTACGAAGCAAAGACCTTTCACTCACCACTCTGCTCTCTTCCCACCCCCCCCCCCCCCCCCCCCCCAAGTTCTCCCCATACGCCGGTATCAACATCGGTTTATAGATTTGCTGGGCAATTATGAAGGGAGCTCTTCTTTTTTCTGCCGCGGCTGCTGTCGCTGGCACTGCCTTTGCCCACGCTGGTCACCACCAGCACAAGGTCTTCCATCAACGACGAGGCTACGAGACCGCCCCTGCGCCTAAGCCTGAAGTACCTTGCGGTTGCACCACCAAGGTCGTAACCTACTATGGACAGCCAACGTGTAAGTGCCATTCCATTTTCTACCAGTGCCCTGGATGCTAGAAGGAGGAGGAGAATGGGAGAGAAAAATAATAATTTCAAAAGAGGCCCAAATAAAAGGGGAAATTAAAAAAGAAGTACAGATAAAAAAAAAAAAAAAATAAGATTACTTCAAACCTAAAGGGACGGATAGTTCCCATGGTTCTGGTGTTGGTTGGGAATCTTTGGTTCCGGGGTAACTTAATTGCTGACATTCAACCAAAAACATTAGTGATCGAGGAGAAAACCACCACCATCAAGACAACCAGCACTATCATCAAGACCATCTCCGTAACCAATGGCGCCAAGCTTCCCACTCCTGAAGTTACCGTTTACCCTACCCCAGGAACCTATACCATCCCAGCCAAGACCGTCATCGTCACCAAGGAGACCACCGTTTGCGCGGCCACCAGCACTGCCGTGTCTCCTGGTGATCACACCTATGGCGGTGTCACCACCGTTGTAACAGCCGCAACCACCGTCACCTGCGACATCGCGGTCGTCAAGCCAGCTGGCAGTACTGTCGTCAGTGTCATCGAGCAGACCACCTATGTCTGCCCCTCCGCTGGCACCTACACCGTCGCTCCCACTACCACTCGTGTTCCCAGCAGCACCGTCTTCGTCTACCCCACCCCTGCTACCTACACCACTGGAACCTACACTCTTCCCGCCCAGACCGTGACTGCCACCCAGACCAGCTACGTGTACATCTGCCCTGCCCCAACTGGAGGTCACCCCAAACCCACTGCTGAGCCAACTTCACCGCCCGATTATCCCACCAACCCTCCCAAGGAATCCAAGGCCCCCACCCCGGAGAAAACCAAGGCCCCTGGTCCCGAGAAGTCTTCAACTCCCAAGAATCCCCCCAACTATCCAACTCTTGGTGGCGGTGAGAAATGGGGCATGACCTACTCTCCATACACCAATGGCGGACAGTGTAAGGGTGCTGCTGCCGTCGCTGCTGACATCGCCCTCATCAAGTCCAAAGGGTTCAAGACCGTTCGCGTCTACGGCACCGACTGCGACAGCCTCCAGAACATCGGCAGTGCCTGCAACCTCAACGGCCTCGAAATGATTTTGGGCGTCTTCGTCAGTGGCGCCGGTATCCCCGAAGCCAAGAAGCAGGTCCAGGACATCGTCAACTGGGGAAAATTCGACCGGGTCAACCTCATCGTCGTCGGTAACGAGGCTCTGCACCAGGGCACCGCCGACGCAGGTTCCCTGTCTGAACTCCTCGAATACGCCCGTGGCCGTTTCCGAGGCGCTGGCTACAATGGCCCGATCACCACTACTGAGCCTCTGAACAAATGGCAAGAGAGCGGCAAGGCCCTCTGCCCGCACATCGACATCATCGGGGCTAACATCCACTGCTACTTCAACCCAGAGGTCATCCCCTCCAACTGCGGAAGCTTCATCAAGAGCCAGATGGATATCCTCGGCAAGATCTGCCCGGGCAAGGAAGTTATCAACTTGGAGACCGGCTGGCCCAGCAGCGGTGGCAACAATGGCAAGGCCATTGCTAGCAAGGAGGCGCAGCGCACTGCTATCAAGTCTATCATTAAGGAGGTTGGGTCCAAGTCTGTCTTCTTCTCGTTCACCGACGATAAGTGGAAGCAGCCCGGTTCCTATGGTGTCGAGCAGTACTGGGGCTGCGGTGATCTGTTTTAAACGACTCTTTTTTTTTTTTTTTTTTTTTTTTCTTTCTTTCTCTCTTCTTCTTCTTCTTCCCCGGAGACTAAGAAAGGGGGAGGTATTCAATCTTCTTTGTAGCATGGTGTAGCGGAGAAGGGTTTTTTTTTTTTTTTTTTTTTTTTTTTTGCTTCCATTTTTTCCTTTGGGAGTTCTTTTTTCCTCCTCTCTTGTTTTGTCATTTCCTGTGTATGTTTCCTCTGAGAGAAAAAAGAAATCTGTTGTTTTTAATACATAAATTAAGCGGAAGGATAGCAATTATTTCTTTCTCTTTTTCTCTCCCTGAAGAAAACATATCCAGCCAATCCCTCCGCCCCCCAATTATCTTTCTCATATTACGACAGACGATTACAGTACATCTTTGCCATTACTGGCTGCCTTTTCTCTTAAATTTTTTTTTTTCTTTCTCCTCTCCAGAAACAGAGAACAGCGTGAGGGAATGAACAACCAGGGGGCAGTAGCAGCAGGAGGAGGAGTACGGAGGAGATCCGGGAAGGGGAACTTCCAACAAACAACTGTTTACTTTCAACGAAAGCAAGAACTAACTCGCTTATCTACTCCATTTGCAATTCAAAATACCTTCCTCTTTATTCTCAATGTTTCAAGAGACGCTTTTTATCCGGATCCCTTTCGGTTCGGAATCCCATACTGTGTTCGCAGTCTGTCATCTGACTCGGTTGCATTTCTACATACCCCCTCTGTCCGACCTGCCCGACCTGCACTGTCCTGTCGGTTGCTTGCTTCAAATGAATGGCTTCCCTTCTCTATTTCTTTCTTTTGTTTATACATTCTATATATATAGCGTACTTGTAGTAGTATCCTTCAACTCCTTTATCTTACTAGAGTTTTTTATGTCATCTTACTTGGAAGCGGGCATGCATGCTTCAGCCTCTCTGACCACTTGCCATCCCCCTCTTAGTTAGGGCTTTTAGGTTTGAGAGCACACTTTCGCCCGCATTCCATGTAGAGAGGCAGGACGCAAGGGCACAACCCTCATTGGGAAGCTGGGCAGGTCCTCCTTCCCTAATACCCTATCGAATCGATACGAGCGGTCTCAAGCCCCGGGGCTGTCCCGTTCGTTGCTCTTTCACGTCTAGGCTTCGGGGCATACGGCGCGTTGCTGAAATATATCAATCGCTAACGTTTCGCGTAGTTATTGATAAGCTCCGTTCCGTTCGGCAATGGTTCCAGGGGAGGAACCCCAGCCCAAGGAGCCAGGGAGCAAGGAAAACTTGGATTTATATGGCGGAAAGGGAGGAATGGGATACAGCACACTATATGGGAGGGGGGGTTCGAGGTTTGGCTATCGAATTCAAAAGCCGAACTCCGTCCCATTGGGGGGGCGTGCCAATTCGCGAGGAACCGGGGGTTGGGGTTAAACCTTTGGGAGACCAAACTGGGTTAGCACAGCGGCCCAGCCGGATGAACGTTGTCCCGCCTCAGGGCTTTTTGGCTCGGTGGAATCAGCTGATTAGGCTTAGTTATGGAACTAGTTAACTAAGTTAAAAGTAACTAACTATAGTTAGTTAGTTAAGTCGTTGATGGTTACTTGGTTTATATCCCAGTAAACGGTAACCAAGTTTGTCGTTCCAGACGTTGTGGTTCCAATCCAACCAGCATACGCCCCACTCCCCATGCCCCATGCCCCACCCACCCCACATGGACAAGCAACGGGCAGCGTCGTCTGCGAGATTGGGCTGCCACCTTTATCTGATCATCAGATAACTATCCGTGGATACGTCTTATGCCGTTACGAGAGCAACGAAGAACGTACCGGGGGTGGTAGAAGCATTCGTTCCGTTCCACCCAACCCCGGGTCCCTGGCAGACGGGGCCCGGGGGCTGACCTTTCTCAGGGCCGACTCCATTGGCTATTAGCCACATTATCACTGAAACCGTCCGGGAGATGTTGCATTGCCAGCAGCTGTGTTGAAATGCAAAGGGGGCTCCGGGGCCCGGCCAAAGAGTCTTACACCTCTACTTGAAAATAAGCCTTTAGCATTGATCGGACTGTCGGGCGACAGCAAGTATGTTGTTGGTCTGGGATCAGACAATGTACAGTAATAAAAGCTCCCAACTGTATATCTGTATGTATGTATGTATGTATGGTCAAGTGAAGGGGGGGGGGGGGGGGGGGGAAGACAACCGCATCTCCATGAATCCCATGCAGTTTAAGATCTTATGCGAGCTCCTTCTGAAAACCACCACCCCCCTCCCCATGCACTAACTAACTAACAGGATTATCTAGCTAGCCTCTCTGGGTCTTATATCCTCAGCGTGAAATGATGCTGCCTAGAAAGCGGTCCGGCTGGCGACAGGCGGGGTTTATTGATGAGCACCTAAAAAAAACACTGAGATACCGTCTGTCTGTCTCTCTGTCTCCCCGCCGGAGGAATTTTGGACCTAGCTCCTGCTGCGCCGTCATTTTTTCGGGCTTCGTTTTACGGGGAGCGAGCTCTCATGATTTTCAACCTGCGCAACCAATTTTTTTTTTTTTTTTCTCTCTCTTTTTTTTTTTTTTTTCTCTCTCTCTCTCTCTTTTCTTTATATTTATTTTTCTCTCTTTTCTTTTCCCCTCCCGTCTCATAGCTTCCTGCGCTATGACGAATCGATTTCTTTCTAGGCCTTCTTGGTTTTTCCAGGGGAAAACAGCTGTTATATAGTTCGGGACGACCAACGGAACATGGGACTCCGTCTGACTCCGAATCGAGCAGTGGTCTTCATTGCGATTTAAGGACCTCTGTCCTACCACCAAGCAACCTTCCTCCCACGAGACTTTCTCTCTGCCAGTTTCAATTATCTGGGTACCTGCTTCTAGGCTCCTACAGCTACAGCAGACCTTACCCTGGCGCATTAAAAGCTCAAGACATATACGCCTTCCTTTATTTATCGTCTTTTTTTTTTTAAAAACGCCTGGTTGAAAAATTGCCCCCCTATTCTGGTGCCATCAGTGAAAGCCCACACCCCCAACCCCCCCCCCCCCAAAATGGCAGACCAAAGTGCTCTATCTTCAGAAGAGCTCTCTGATCGCGGGACGAAGGAAACCCTTGGTAGAGGGCCGATCAAATCCTCCCCCCCTTCCCTAAATGACAATGATTTCGAGGCCAAGGAGTTCCATCCAACTGCAGGAACATGGCTGGCTTTTCTGACTCTCGCGGTGCTCACATTGATGGTTGCGTTGGATGGCACGTCCATCTCAGTCGCGTTGCCGGTCAGTTCAGGGAAATTCCAGTGCTGGATCGATGTGTGTAACGTGGTGCTAATAAATACATGTACATGTACATGTACATGTGTTAGATCATCGCTGAAAGGCTGAAAGGCACTGCGATCAAAGTGTTTTGGAGCGGAACCTCCTTTTTGTTGTGCTCCACAGGTAAACTACTGGGACATCTGCAATGTTTGAAATTAAGGTTTGCTTCTGCTTAACGACCTCTGCAGTTTTCCAGCCGAATTTCGCTTCCTTCTCGAATATTTTCGGCCGCAAGCCCGTGCTCTTCGTTGCAATTGCTTTCTTTTTCGTCGGCACTCTTGTCGCTGGCCTCTCGAAAAACTTCACCAACATGCTCGTTGGCCGCTCCATCCAGGGAATCGGAGGAGGCGGCATCATTTCCATTACTGAGATCATAATAACCGACCTTGTTCCATTAAGGTTGCGAGGTAATTACTTCGGTATCCTCAGTGCCATGTGGAGCATAGGGTCAGTCACTGGGCCTATTCTCGGGGGTGGCTTCGCTCAAAATGTTACCTGGGTAAGTCCTGGGTGCCATGTGTCATTTTCCACGCCTCTGTTGAAAGCCAGAAAGTGTCGAGGAATTTCTTCCCCTTTTGGAGAAACGCCAAAAGTTTCTGACAGTTTCAATTGCTGGATATAGAGATGGATTTTCTACATCAACTTCCCATTCATCGGAGTCGGAACGCTGTTTATTATCGTGTTTCTGAAACTGAACTTCATTCCAGCCTCTTTGATGTCGAAGCTTCGTCGTATCGACTACATCGGATCTATCCTTTTCGTCGCATGCACCACCTCGTTTCTAATTCCGGTGACTTGGGGAGGTGTGATGTATGAGTGGGATTCCTGGCGAACGCTCGTTCCGCTCATTGTCGGATTCCTTGGGATCATCGTGACCATGATTTACGAGTTCAAGTTTACGGACAACCCCATTATACCCGTGACCGTTTTCGCAACCAGGACAGCAATTATAAGCTACATCGAGACAGCTGTGCACGGTCTCGCCCTTTGGTGTAACGTATATTACATGCCGCTCTATTTCGAGACCGTCAAGGAATACTCTCCCATTATGTCTGGAGTCGCGCTCTTTCCGCTGTCCTTCACCGTCGCCCCCGCCGGCGCCGTCGCCGGTTTTCTCGTTACCAAAACCGGTCGCTGGCGGTGGGCGGTCTGGTCGGGGTTTTTCCTATCAACACTGGGCCAAGGACTTTTCACCATTCTTGACATCGACACCAGCACTGCGGCCTGGATATTCCTCACGCTCCCTGCGGGCATTGGGATGGGCCTCCTCTTCCCCGCGCTTGGATTCGCAATCCAGGCTTCTGCACGGCCCGGCCACATGGCTATCGCGGTCGCGATGTTCAGTTTCTTCCGCGCCTTCGGGCAGTCAATTGGCGTTGCGATCGGCGGTGTCATTTTCCAAAACCAAATGCGGAAGAATTTGCTCAAATACCCTGAATTTGTCAGTTCCGCATTGGAGATGAGCAAGGATGCTGCCGGGCTCGTCCAAGTGGTTCGTGCCATGGAGGACGGGCCGCAGAAACTCCACTTGAAAGAGGCCTATACGGACAGTCTGCGCATTGTGTGGGCTGTAGCCTGTGCTATCATTGGGCTCGCCGGCCTTCTAAGTCTGCTGACTGAAAGCTATCCTCTGACGCTGCAGCTTGACTCGGACCAGACAGTCAGAGAGAAGAAGAGCGCTCTTCAGCCCGAGGATGGGCTAAAGGCCTAGTAGAGTACGGCGTAATGTCCGTTTCCTTAACCCCCGCGACCCAGGTGAGGCATATATGATTACGTTCTCTCTCTCTCTGTATTATTTCATCCCTTTTCATCCTACGGAACCGCACTTCTCCTATGTACACCAGGGTCCCTCATTGCTTTTTGTTTCTTGTTTTCGCTGCAATGGAGCTCCTGATGCTGTGTTTCGTAAACTGGCGTTGGGGGGGTTAACAGGTTTTGAACATGAAGATATATACATTTCCACCCGTTAATTATTCCTCTGTAGATATTAGAATTATCACCCATCATCCAAGAAATAAACCTCTTCCCTGTTATCTACCAAGTAGCAACATCTGTTTATTTTATTGAATATATTATCAAAGAGTTTTTCCCTCCGGCGTTCCGCCCCCGATCAGACCATGCAACCACCCTGGAGATTTGGATCTGAGATGCCCCCCCCCCCCCCGGTTTTATCTCACTAGTTACCAACCAGCGCCAACCAGAGAGCCGAGACCTTTTGCGAAAATGAACAAGTTAGTTAGTTAGTTAGCTAGTTAACCGGGTCACAAAAATCTGGCATTTAATTTTCTTTTCTTTTGTTTTGTTTTTTTTTTTTTTTTTGAAGAATGTTTGCTTAGGTTCTAAGTGACTAAGTGACTACTGATATTTTAGGTCAACCCGAAAACATATTTCTAGCCCTTGAGATGGTTCGTGTGGCAACGTTGCTGTTCGGGTTCACTCTCGTCTGTTACGTTTTGACACCACCGACCGACCTTCCTTCTCTATCCCGAGTTTCTCGAGATGGTTCCTCTCTTGTGGTGGAGGGGGTTGTTTACTTCCATGAGAAACATCATTAACTACATCTTTCAATAGGACAAAAACGCTGTGAGGCTATATTCCCACGCGCGAGGACTTCTCTATCCTGCCGGAGAAAAAAAGATATGCGGAGATCAATTCCATTCGGACTGCTCAGTATCATCTATCTTCCCTACATGCAGCAGCAGCTTTTGCTCCACGGCTACCCGCAGTTCACGTCCAGTGAATGCGCTCCATATCCTTGCCCATGTGTTTATAATTAGTATTAGGGACATTTTTATGTGTGTGTAGCTTGATAACCACATCCAACGACGAAAGTTGTAGTTTGCAAAGAGCAGATCAAAGGAGATGGAAGCAACAGTTAGCCAGTTCAGAAGGAGGGAGCCAACAGCCTAGAGAAGAAAAAGCTCAGAAATATTGAAATCATAAATGAGAAAAGCATGACAGACAGGAAAAGAGGAAAAAAGTAAAAGGAGACAAACACCAACAACGAGAATTAAGGTTGTAGTTAATTAGCCGATTTTAAGGGAACAACAGGGTTTCTTTTTCGGGTTCTTTTTCGGGGGGATTTTTTTTCCTTTTTTTTTTTTTTTTCCTTTTGTTTTTGTTTTTTTGCGCCTTGCAATATATATGTGCGTGTATATATGCTCCCAATTGACAAGCAGATTGCGCCAAGAAATGAGATTCAAAACCAGGAAGACGAGAAGATCAAATTTTTTTTTTTTTTTTTTGAAGTTGAAGAACAAAATGGCTGGTACAAAAAAGCAAGAGTTTGCCGTAAGCTGGTCCATGATGATGAAAATGGCATAAATGTGCAAAAAGAGTTCCTCAAATAAATTCAAAAGTATGGGTTGAATGGGACAGCTGCCAAGTTCGGAGCGAAAGTGTGTACAAAATGTGGCCTCAGAATGAAAAGCGGGAAAATGAGAGTTAGGTCTTGATGAGGCAAGTGTATGCTAGGTTAAAAGGTAAATATATACTATACGGGCTCGCCGATCCCGTTTGCCGTGGCGAGAGAGGTATAATGACAAGGCGTTCGCGTAATTTACGGATGTCGATATTATGGCATGAGATATATGTGGGATATCCTAAAAAGATTTTTACGATCAAAAGAGATTATTGGGTGAAAAAGCGGAAGATGGTGTGAATCGTTAAAATGTCCGGGAAATCTAAAAAAGAAAAATTAAAAGATCATGAATCTTTTATTTTTGCCTTGCTTGTCTCCTACAGCGTTATATTGATTAATTAAACGGATAACTAGACCAGACACTCATGCAATTTGCTTACCTGGAGATTCGTTAGGCTGTCTTCCTTTGCCGCGACCTCGTTTGGAAGCCATGGAGGGGTCAGCCCCAGATGCTGCTGCTCTGATTGCCGCGATGCGCTGTTTCGCCCGTTCATCTCCGTGGTCAGCAGCCTTAACGTACCAGACATTGGCTTCGAGGGGATCGCGGCGGCATCCAATGCCCATTTCTGTGAAATAGCCAACGGCATACTCCGCCTTCGGAAGGCCTTAAACCGGATTGTACAACGTCAGCTCTCCAAGTTCATTTATTTGGGAATAGTGCTTGATTCATATTTTACGCATGTGGAATATGTGAAGAGCTTACCTAATTCAGCAGCTCTTCTTGCCCACTCATATGCCTCACATTCATCCTTAGAAAGCAATGGTTCTGCGCCGACCATGAACCAGGCACACAGCGCCATCATCGCCAGAGCATGTCCTTGTTGTGAAGCACAAGTGTAAAAGTGCACGCTGAGCGCTGGATCAACGGGACAGTTCAATCTACCGTGTTCGTAAGCGTCACCCATGCGATAGGCTGCCTCAGCATGGCCCAGCTCTGCAGACTTTGTGAATAATTGTGCCGAGTATGTCTCATCTTGGAACACATCGTCTCCATATCCTGTTTCATGAAGCAAACCGAGTTCGTAAGGAGCAGAATTGTATTGACGATCCGCAGACTCTGCGGCTCGTTTTAGCCACGTAATACCTTCCCTATATCGCTTTACGAGACCCATCTCCCCATTTAAACATGCTTTTCCTAACCTCAACATCGCTCCGGGATGGTTCTTGGATGCCGCTTGGCGGTAAAACTGGACAGCCTTTGCGCCATCCTGTCGACTCCCAAGGCCAAATTCATAACATAGAGCAGCTCGGTACCCAGCCTCAGCATGCCCATGTTTACTGGCAGCGATGAAATATGGGAACGCTTTATCGTCGTCTTTCTTCCCTTTGTTAAAAAGACCGGAGGCGAGGCCATCTGCCAGATAGTATTGTGCGTAAGGATAGCTGCGGTCGGAAAGGCGTTGGAGGATGTTTTTAGCTTCGCGTAATAGATCAGCCCTAGATATGTCTTCCGATTTCTCGGGTCTCGGTGAGTCGGTAGAGTTTTGGTCGTCTTCTTGTTTTTGGCTGGCGTTAATCATGAACACCGCAAACTCGAACTGAGCACCTGGGTCGTTCGTCTTCTTAACGTTGGCCAAATACATGTCAAAGGTCTGTTTGTGACTGAGAAGAGATGCATTGTTTCCAACCGACGGACGGAGATGGTCGTGGCTCAAGGTTTTCGGGCCTGGCGGGGCTTGAGGGTAAGGTACATTGAGAAGGTCAACAAAAGAAAGGGGTCGTGTATCCGGAGATGCTGTTGAATGAGCGGAGACGGCGCGGGCATGTACATGGGGGGAGAGGTTTGGGGAGCGGCCTCGTGCAGCGAGGTCTGACATGGACGAATATGCTGAGACGGGTCGCTGAATTCCAAGTCCAAGGTGTGGTGCTCGGGTCGGCGTCAAGTATTCTCCGTGAGAGTAGACTCCTGGTCCCGGTTCGCCGCCTGAAGAGGAATCAGACGCGGACCTCAGTGTTCTTTTTGATCCACGATTTCCATTTCTATCTAAACCACCCTCTTCATATGTCTGGTGATGATATTGCAAGGGTTGATATACCTCATTCTCCTGAGGGAGACTTTCAATGCTACCTCGTGACGAACTACCTTGGCTCGAGTTCTGAGCAATGTTATACGGCATTTGTTGAGATTGGTCATAATGGAGCGAATCCCTGCGCTCGGGGACGATTCGTGGAGATTCTGATACACTGTTCGAAGGCATATGGCGACATGGGGCCTGGTGGGAAGGGAGGGTATAAGTTGTGGAAGAGAGGGAGCTCCCGCGTTGGGTAAGTGGAGTCTTGACGGATTCTTTCAGTGTCGACTCTTCCTTTTGCCAGGAGTCCTGACTAAGAGTTCTCACATCCTCGATTTGGGCACTTGCAGCTTCCGGGAGAGAGCAAGAGTTATCGATTACCACTGGAGAAATTGGAGAATTGTGGATGACGGCATTGTGGGAGACTTCTAGCGCGGCTAGCTCGATGGGTTTTCTCTTGGGGACCGCAGTGAGCATCAGTTTCAGTTTTTCATTGAGTAGGGGAGGTGAAGGTCGCAGGGGAGGCCGAGGAAACTCCTGTTGGCCAAGGGCGGGAGGTGGTGAGGATTTGATGTAGGCTGGAGCGGGAGGTAGAGGGGTAAGGGTGTTATGTCCTCTTTCTGGGGTTAGAGTGTTCGCCATGCCTGCTGACGTCGTCGGTTGCATTGCTGTTGTTGATATTCTAGGTATCGGAAGATTAAACTCCCGCTACCCAACACCAGGTCTTTGTTCTCCAAAAAAAGTAAGGAAAGGAAGGGAAAGGAAAAGGAATAAAATAAAAAGAAGGAGAGGGAGGAGACCGACGTTTGCTGCACTGACTATGGTAGCTGTGAGGGGTGAATAGCGGGTGGGTATAATCTGAAGTGATGAGACTGATGGAATAAGTAGCCACTAGCTCTACTGGAGTATTGGGAGGATTTTGGTGGTGCAAACGAGGTTCGAAAGACGGAAAATTTTATAAATTCACGTAGATACTCGACGGGAGCTGATGCCTGTATCTTATCCCACGGCCTCACTGCCTGTATGTAAAAATAGTGGTCAGTCAGTAACAGAGGGTTGTTGGAGAAAGCCTGTAGGCAGCGCCCCGCGCGCGTCGGGGAGAACTTACGTTGCAGGGATCTCAATTAAATTGCCATCCCAGGACACCGGAAGATCTCACGATCAAAGTAAGCGCAGTTCCCGCTCTAGAAGTATTTGCTAATAATGTCAGGTTCTTTTTGTCGTTGTTCCTCTGGGCGGGTCCGTTTTTCGTTGGAGACAGCGTATGAAGAATGGGGTGGATTGTGCAGAGAGGAGAGAAAAATCCACCTTTGTTGGGAAGGATGAACAGGGACCAGTGGATTTTATTCAACGTTCTGCATAGCTATTTGTTCCTTGACATATATGGTATCAATGTGGGTTCCAAGGGTTGTCAAGCTCTCCTTCAAACACACAAGTGGAACCGCCGCACGGTTCGAGACCCTTGGACGAGTGTGGGTTTTACACAGAAATGAAAGAAGGGAGAGAGGATGCAGGATTAAGAGGACGAAAAAAAAAAAAAAAGATTGTTAATCACCGTCACAGACAGCAGGAATCACTTTATCAGCAAGCGGGAAGAAAGCAGTGGTCTTCCACAATGGCTGGTCGTGAAAAGATGGCAGATATGGGAGACCAAACAAGGGAGATTGGGCCAAGGATTCACATCACAAATGTTCATTGGCAGGCGTCTCAGGTCCTGATTTCCGGGGATAGCCAGGATGAGGTCAGAGCAGGGATTAGTGATAGAATATGACGTCGCGTGAAACAAAGATAGTGGATGACTGCGATGAAGATCAGTTTGCTGATAAAGAGCAAAAGACAGAAAAGCAAAAGAAGTGAAGAGCGCGTGCGCGCGAGAGAGAAAGGGTGCGATTATTACACGGAAGAAGAAGAAGAAGAAGAAGAAGAAGAAGAAGAAGAAGAAGAAGAAGAAGAAAAAGAGACAACGACAAAAGCCCAAAATCGGGCCGATGGATTGGGATTAGCCTGGCCTGACTTCGATGCGGCTCGCTGTGGCTAAATTGCCTACGGTTCTCAGCGAGCACCAGCCGCAAGTTACGACGCAGAAGTTATTTTTACAACTAGATTTATGAATAGCTTTTTGCTCTGCTTCGTAACCCCGACGCCAAAACCCAGGTTTGCTTGCCTGCTACGGGGTCCCCAGCAGGTGGGCTCTTTGGTCCCAGGATTTCTACCATTGTTCTCTTCTTTTCTGGAGGGCGTGATGGACGTGCAAGCAGGCCTTCAATGCTCGCTCCGTCACCTGGGTTTGGCCTGGTTGGCCTGGTTTGGCGGTACAGATACTCTCCGTGGTATCCGCTCCATCATCATCATCATCATCACCACCACCACCACCACCACCAAATCCATGAAACTCTCTCCCGTACGCGTTGTCGCATAACGCCTGACCGCGCATTCCGAGCTTGTCAAGCTTGCTCAATTGACACGAGTTTGACGTAACTCCACTTTCTGCTACAGGTTGATCTTTTTTGGGGTTACAGTTGAACGTGGTTTTAAAAAAGGTTGAACGTAGTTTGTGAGAAGGCCCACTGTTTTAAAACCATGATCTAACATAAAACACAGTCTACAAGTTCCCTTGCGCAGACACCACACGTACCATATACCAATACCAAGACGTCGCTCTTCATTCCTCGGTCCTTCAACACCAAGGGTTTAGGGGTAAGTTAGGGGCTAGGGTTAGAGTTAGGGTTAGGTTAAGAAGAAGGCATTAGAGATTAGGGGGGAAGGGGGGGAGCCGGGATACGGTTAGTTCAGGGTGAGAACCAGAGAACTACGATCGCATCAACGAACTGTCAAGAGCAGCATATAGAGAGATGGACGAACGAACTAGTGAATTGCAGTTTTAAATGAGGGGGTGTGTCCCGGTTTACGCAGTAGAAGCATTGATAAACCCACGCTGAAAGTTTTCTTAGCCGAACTTTTAAAACCAACGTTCCACTTTTTTAAAACCAACATTCGACTGAACACGCCCGATATTTTCCAGGATTAAGTTGTATCATGACGCTGACTGACCCAGCTGTTAAACAGCCGAGAGTCTACAGGATCAGCACGGACCCAGTGCAGCCCAAGATGGGGAAGAGATGATTAGGGGATTGCTTGATTGATATGCTTTGTGCTGTTTGTGTTAATTTTTTTTTTTTTTTTTTTTTTTTTTCCCTTCTCTTCTTTTTGCTTACGTATCAGCATCCTTTTCTTTCAAACTCTGGGGTCCGCCAGCTACAAGCCTGTGCGGAGTAACGTGGAACCTAAATTCCCGCATAGGCCACCCTGGATCGCCCGCAAAACGAGTGGAAGGTTGAACGAACGGTTGTACGCAGCGCAATCGCCACTGTTTCCTCATTCCTCAGCTAAGCATGTTTTTGTGCATACAGCTCTAATAAGGAAATTTCCAGCCATCGTTCTTTTATTTTATTTTGTTATTTTTTTTTTTTTGGCCTACTCACGGTCCGTCCAGCTTGGCACCTTTTGGGGCTGGGCGATGGAGCAAAAGGGGGCTGTTCCTTTCGCTTAAAAAAAAAAATAACTACCAGGTCATTTTGACGAAGAAGATGCAGGAAGGAGAAGGCCGCGATAAGACAGCTTCCCGACTTAATTCTGCTTGGATCCCACTGGATCTGAGATGAAGGATTTCTAGTGTACTTGCTGTTCAAGCCCCATCTATCAAACCCCTGCAAAGTCGTCATCGACAGAGGCGGTGCGAATATCTGCTTCAAACGTGGCAAAATAACTGCCAGGTGGAAATTATTATGTCCTTTTTCGCACGTGTGAAATCATTCCCGGCTATTGTCGATTTTTTTTTTTTTTCCCTGGAATTTTGTTCCCCCAAAATCCCTGGATAATAAAATCGGGAAACAATCAGACATCACCCATGGAATTTTTCGAATCGACATTTCACCAGGAAAATCATGCGAGGGGCCAACAGGAATGGATCGGATGATGTAAACGAAAAAAAGGTACCTGTGTGGGTTGGTACTCCGTAACTATTCGTCAGCTAGAAGTTCCCGAACTAACTGCTAACTAGCTAGTACCAAAGTTTAGTTGCAACCCGTCTTTTAATAATAATAATAATAATAATAATGCACAGCAATTTCTCCTGGTTTGCTGACGCAGCACCTCTGATCTTTGAAGAGCTGGGCCTGAGCCTCACTGGAAGCAGGCTTGCGTCTATTTATGTATCAATCTGACACTTTCTCCATTCTCCACCCACACGCGCGTCATTCACGAAGTATACCATGGATCGCAGCGATTAGGTTGTGAAGGAGGGGGCCGAATGTCGTACCGCGCTGACGAGGGTAGCTAACTTAGACAGAAATAACTACGGGCTTGTTTCTCAAGACCAATTAACTGCGAGGGTCCTCCAAAGAGGGTTAGAGAGAATGATTTGAGGATGGGGATTTTCTTTTTCATTTTTTCTTTTTCTTCTTCTTCTTTTTTTTTTTTTTTTGGCAACAGCTTCCCATCAGCCTCTTGGATATGAAACATAATTAATTATACACTGTATGAGAGACTGTAGGTCCATCCCCGCTTCGTCCCAGCATTTGAGATGCGAATATCTCCCGTAGATGCATTATAAGCCTGCTTCGAAGTGCTGGAGAACAGACGCTGACTGCGGAGACGAATAGGAAGAAAGATAGATCTCTTCCAGCGGGCCCTTGCGGATGAGATTATATTTACCCGTCAGCATCTCACCTGAATCCCGGACAGGGTTCCCGGCAGACCTGCAGGTGGTTTGTTCTTGTGAGGGTTTGGTGTAACAGAATTTTAAATAATGGGGAATGGTATCATTGGGCGTAAGGTCAGGTACGGAGAACAAGGACCCATACGGATTTCACATCACCAAGGACCAATGGGTCCTCGGACTTGGACTCGGTGCAAATTGGGTTGTCGCTAGGGCTTGCAGGTTTTGGTTACCGTGGTATTTTTACCCCGTATTTCAGCTTGGTGTTTTTTTTTTTTATTGGTATGGAAGCTTAGTTATTATTACACCCTTCCCACTATTTATTGCTGGGCAGGGTATTTTTAAGGTGTTGCGTGGCTGAAACACACATGAGGCAAAATTATCAGAACGCTTTTTAACCTCTGGGTGTCAAATACTGCCTAATGGTGGCATCAACCAACCCGTCTGGCTCACTGGCATCTGCCGTTTTTCTTCTTCTTTCTTCTTTGACCGCCCTGGTTCGTGGTTTTAGCGTAGCTTGTTTTTGTATGGCACCTTCGACTGATATGTACAGGAGCCTATATATTTGTCTCGATCGACCGTCTTGGGGAACAACAGCATTGGCCCGCTTGATATGCTTTTGAAACGTCGATTAGGGGCGACTTATTTTGCAAAAAATTTCATACCTTTTTTTTTTATTTTTCAATTTTGCTGATACATCTTGCAAAAGTTATAAATATATCGACTTTAAAAGAGGCCCTAGATGCAGAGGTTTTAATTTTTATTTATTTTTATATATTTTTTTATAGTGGTGGTCTTCCATCGCCGAGAAGATAATGAAAGATTGATGCCGAGGATGCAGGCGAGTTGGATTCAAGAACGCCTGGTTCGGTGTGTATTTATTGTGTATGGAGCATACACATGCCATGATTTTTCTCCGCAAAATATGGAGGGTGAAGACATCCAGAGGCTGGGTAATACACGCTGTACGGCGTAGTTACGGTGTATATAAACAGGTTATTTAAGGTTATTTAAGTGTATTATTGACGTATTGTACAGGATGTTATTCCATACAGTACCAAAGGTGAACTAGATTAAAGATAAAGTAGTACGCTGAGTCAGCATTTTGGGTATTTTATTGGCTCGTTGAGCAACAACAGGGGTCATACTTCGTAAAAATGTATGGTAACTTCTGTACCATACCTAGACCTTTATCCACCTATTTTGATGGTAAAGTTTGTCGGATGCCTACCATATCAACTACTGGCCTAGAACTATTGCACAAATACCGGCAGATTTAATACTTCAGTTACTATATTTATCCAACTAGGTGGAAAAATACAAACAAGATGAACCCCATAACTGTCTCTATTTTAGTGACCACTGCACCATCCCATAGCAGGTTGTTATGGCGGAGTTCTAGAAACTGGAGAAAGCAGTGGTCTGTAAGTGCGTTCCGCCGTATGTGCTGTTACATACATGTTATGTAAATGTCTCTCTGTATCGTATATACCTGGCCTCCCCGCGGCATGTGTTCGGTGGCGGTCATACAGATCAATAGTAATGGGCAGAGACCGAGTAACTACCGAGGTTTGTTTCAGTTCAATGCGTAACAGCGATACACAAACACCTTCCTGTTATTTACTAATACACGAATTCATTACGGAACACCCGTTTGCGTCCTGTCAACTATGGACTTAGCCTCACCTGATGCGGACAAGCCGCTCCCCCGTCCCAACCTCGCGATCAAGCATGGAAACAGACCTTGGTGCAATACCCTGAATTCGATCATTTGGACTTCTCCCTTTCTTCCCTTCTCTTCTTCAACCTCCGCTATCTCACCATCTCACCATCTCACCCTCCCTCTCCAGGGCTGTTTACATATCTTGATCCGCTGATCTTCTTTGTTTTTCTCATTCGTTCATTTATCATACTCGACGCCTAGTTGTTTTTTGCTTTCCGTTTATCTCCTCGCCTCGAACCCGACTGTGTACGCCGAATCTCATCCCACTGCGACTGTCCGCTTCTTCCGTCTGGGACTTCTTTGAAACAAACGGCGTAGCGGGTTCACCGCAACCTTGGAAGTGCTCCTCCACGTTCTCTCGAACTGCCAAACCGACGATCTGCGTTAGCGCATGTCGATGTCTGTTGTTTAAACGTCGTTGAAAATTCTTTTTTGGACACATTCTTTCGAACGCTGGTTTGAACGGCAGATTTGCTAGTGCCTCTATCTTTGTTTTTTTTTTTTTTTGTCTGTGTGGGAGAGTGGTGGGTAGTACAGTTTGGTGTGTGTCGTGGGCTAGCGAATCTGGGCCTTTGGATCCGGGATATCACCCGTGGTGAACTTTGACTGGTATGTGGAAAGGCTGGTTGACGATTGGACTGTGCGGTTATGGGAACAATCGAAGTCGACTATCGTATCCTAAGAACAATAGCGGCTAATAATATCTTTCTGGATTCAGCGGAATTTAAAAATTCAACATGTTGCCCCCTCCACGCCCAATTCAGTCATTCCAAGGACAAGATCTCCAACCACCTGCATTTCGAGACTCGTCCCAACGTCGTCGTACCGATCTCGAGTCTGGCGGATATTTAGACAACCCCTCCACCCCCGTATCGGGTGGACGAAGGAATAATGGCGACTTTGGGGTCTCCACACCTTTTGGGGTAACTCCAACAAGTGAGGTGGACCTTATCATGTCTTCAAAGAATTTGAACCGGAAAAGGAGTTTGATTCGCCCAGAACGGACCCGCATGAATCGAGACCATCCAAACTACCACTACCGCCAACATGCACAAAACATGGCGACGTTACCTTCCACGACCGGGAACGAGCCTGTGTACGAATGCGGAGAGGCGGATACGATGAGCTCGGGAAGTACGGATCTGAAGAGCCTAACTAGAACCGAGCAGAGTAATATCAGCCCCAGCTATCCTGATCGCGGGGTTCGTTCGGGCAAATTCAAAGGCCCATCACAGCGAGACGGGCCCAAGAAGCTTTCACAGAGAAAACTGTCGCGGAAGGAATCCACGGCCGCCAGAGAGGCGGAAAAGAGGCGGCAGGAAGAGCTAGACGCTATTAAGCCCCCAAGTTTCTGGAACGTGTACTGTGGCATGGTGACCTTTTGGTGTCCCGATTTCATCCTCAAATGCTTTGGAATGCCTGCAAAAGCACAAAGACGAGCTTGGCGTGAGAAAGTTGGTCTCATCAGTATAATCCTGCTGATTTGTACCTTTGTTGGATTTCTCACCTTTGGCTTTACACAAGTCGTCTGCGGTACGCCTAGTCTTCGCCTCAAGATAAACGAGGTCGATGTTGGAAATATTATCTTCCATGGAAAAGCGTATAGTATGGAGGGCACAGAGCATCCCGAAGCCCTCGGGGTACCTGATAGGACGAACGTCGCCTATCCGCCTGTTGGATACGGTGGTATGGATGCCAGCTTTTTGTTCCAGAATGTCAATGGTGCTTGTAAGGGCATCATCACTGCGGTACCAAACTCGAATGTGCCAACAAACAGTGAGGGAGAGTTGGCATGGTACTTTCCGTGCGTGCCTTTTAAGCAGGATGGTTCCAGCAGACCCAATTTTACCGAACCGCCGTACTTGGGATATTCCTGCCATACGTCTGCAAGTGCCAGAAGCACCTTCTACACCAGGTTAAACAAGCCTGGAGATGTGTATTTCACGTGGGAAGACTTGAAGAATAAGTCCAGAAACCTGATGGTATATTCAGGAAACGTTCTCGATCTGAATCTTCTGGAATGGTTTGACAGATCCCAAGTTTTTGTTCCCCCTCAATTCGACGCGCTCAGAACAAATCCGACCGTTCGAGGTATTGACGCAACACATATATTCCAGTCGCCCGCTGATAAACGGTTGGCGAGATGTTTGACCGAAATTATCAAGGTTGGGTCCATTGATACCGAGACTGTGGGCTGCATCTCCTCCAAAGTGGTTTTATACCTCTCCTTGGTATTTATTTTAGCTGTAGTTGGGGCGAAATTTGTTCTCGCTTTGGCGTTTCAATGGTTCATGGCTAGACGTTTTGCAGCACAAACGAATATAGATCCTAGCTCGAAGGAGCGGAAGAGGCAAATCGAAGATTGGTCCGACGACATATACCGTCCGGGTCCACGCTTGGCGGATCTCGCGGGGCCCGATAGAGGTGGCAAACGCGGTAGCGGCATTTTCCCTACAACCTCCCGGTTCACTAGCCCCTATGTCCTGGATCGCGGGTCGCAAAAGCAGCGTGCGGCACCCACGACCATGGTCAGTCAGAGCGCAAGCAGCAGGTTCAATGCACTGAATTCGATGTACAAGATGGGACAAAACCAAAGCCAGGGGACTTTAAGTGCCGATCCCTATGCCCAGCACAGTTTCGCGGGGAGTCATACCAATCTGATGATCGGTGCTCAAGATCAGAGATTCTCCACGGCTATTAGCGATGCTGAACAAACGGGTCTTCCGGGCTTTATTCATGAAGCGGTTGTTCCTCAACCGCCGCCTGAATGGCAACCATTTGGATATCCCTTAGCACACGCACTTTGTCTAGTAACAGCCTATTCAGAGGGTGAAGAAGGTCTGCGCACAACGCTGGATTCTATTGCCATGACCGATTATCCCAACAGTCATAAGACTATTATTGTTATTTGCGACGGTATGATTAAGGGAAAGGGCGAGACTCTCACTACTCCTGATATTTGTCTGACCATGATGGGCGATCACGCTGTCTCACCCGATGAGGTCCAAGCTTTCTCCTACGTTGCCGTTGCCAGTGGAGCAAAGAGGCACAACATGGCAAAGATTTATACTGGATTCTATGATTACGGCCCACAGTCCATCGTACCCCTCGAGAAACAACAGCGTGTGCCGATGATGGTGGTTGTGAAGTGCGGAACTCCAGATGAAGCAGAGACGAGCAAGCCAGGAAACAGAGGCAAGCGTGACAGTCAGATCATTCTGATGTCGTTCCTGCAGAAGGTCATGTTCGATGAGCGGATGACGGAACTGGAATTCGAGATGTTCAATGGATTGTGGAAGATTACGGGGATATCCCCAGATTTCTATGAGGTTGTTCTCATGGTTGATGCGGATACGAAGGTTTTCCCAGACAGCCTAACGCACATGATATCCGCTATGGTTAAGGATCCCGAGATCATGGGTCTATGTGGTGAGACGAAGATTGCCAATAAAACCGAGAGTTGGGTCTCGATGATACAGGTTTTCGAGTATGTTTCATATCCTCCCTCTCTCGAGCCCATTATTTTTTCGGCAGTTTTGGAGCTAACAAGCAACTTAGGTACTTCATCTCCCATCACCTTTCCAAGTCATTCGAATCGGTTTTTGGTGGTGTTACTTGCTTGCCTGGATGCTTCTGCATGTACCGAATCAAGGCCCCCAAAGGCGGTCAAAACTATTGGGTGCCAATTCTTGCGAATCCTGACGTGGTCGAGCACTACTCGGAGAACGTCGTCGATACGCTTCATAAAAAGAATCTCCTTCTACTAGGCGAAGATCGATACCTGTCGACATTGATGTTGAAAACCTTCCCGAAGCGCAAACAAGTTTTCGTACCTCAGGCCGTCTGTAAAACTACCGTTCCAGAAAAGTTCTCAGTTCTCCTCTCTCAGCGCCGTCGGTGGATCAACAGTACTGTACACAACTTGATGGAACTTGTATTAGTCCGAGATCTTTGCGGAACTTTCTGCTTCAGCATGCAGTTCGTAGTGTTCATGGAGCTTGTTGGGACGCTTGTTCTTCCTGCCGCTATCTCCTTCACGTTTTACGTCGTTACCATCTCCATCATCAAGAAACCTGTCCAGATCATCCCGCTCATCCTTTTAGCGCTCATCCTTGGTCTTCCTGCCGTCCTGATCGTTGTCACCGCTCACCGTCTCTCATATGTCATGTGGATGTTTATCTACCTCCTCTCCCTGCCCATATGGAACTTTGTTCTGCCTACATATTCCTACTGGAAGTTCGATGACTTCAGCTGGGGTGATACTCGTAAGACGGCAGGCGAGAAGACTAAGAAAGCCGGAATTGAGTATGAAGGAGAATTCGACAGTAGTAAGATTACTATGAAGAGATGGGGTGATTTTGAGAAAGGTATGCCTCTTCGGAATTACTCTCACTGGATAAAAATCTGTCTGAGCTGTTGATGCTGACTTCCCCTTTTTTCCCCACTCTACTAGAACGCCGTCTTAAACTTATGGGCAGCGCATGGTCGTCCCAGTCCCAGACCAATGTTTCTAGTTATCCGCCATACCATTCCACTTACGATCCCTATGAGTATTAGATCCTCAGCACAGTAATTCTCCAGGTGGATTTCGTCGCTTCGCTGCTCAAGCAAGATCAACAACCACTACCTATCCTATCATGAGTGTCCTCTCCCGTCGATCTCCGAAGCGACATTCAGAAGTCCTCCCGTTTTCTCTCTTCCTTTTCCGTTGCATGAGCCACGATATATTGCAATATTAGGGGCGTTTGTTTTAGTCTTCCTTCTAACTTGTTATTTTCCTTCCCCCGATTTGCTTGCTTTGTTTCCTATTGTGTAATTTCGCCTTCTCTTAAATTTTTGTTCTGTTTATCACCTACTATATGCCATCATAATATCTGTACATTTCTCTTCGGCTTACTAGAGTCCATACGTATATACGTATATCCAAGTAACGAATCATTTTTGTTTGCCTTAAAAAACTTTTGAAATCATGTTTTTCAACTCACTATTACTTTTACACATTTTTTTCTTCTTTTTTGCCACCGTTCTGGATATACCTCCCATCTTATTTTGTCGTAATTGTTCGCAACTTTGGCATTGGCTAATATTAACTATTCACCAGTGTTCCAGTCCTGTTCTTTATTTGGCTCTCTCCTATTTGCAGTCAGAGCATGTATTATGCTGCCTAATTATATCAGTTTCCTGTTCTTCTTTTGTCCTGGGCGTTTTGCTTTTGCTCCTTTTCCACTTCTTTTCCAGTTGTTTATTATTGGATGGGGAAAAAGACATATAAAAAGATTATAATCACTCTGTTTGACTGCTTTTTTTTTCTATTTTGCTTGCTTTTATTTTTAGTCTTAGGTTGGTTCCATTTTTTCTCTCTCACAGTTAGGGGGTAGTTTTAAATAAAACAACAGATTTTGGAAGAATTGACTTTTCACATCTTTTTAAAGTATTTATTATTGAACGAATTTGAATCTTTTTTTGTAAGATATGGTTTAAGTGTAACAAAGTCGATTTCAGGTGAAAGCCCCCACTGACCAAAGGTCCACAATGAGCAAAATGCCATCACCTCAACCTTCAACCTCTAATCCTAACAGGCACAGATCAATGAAACGGCGAAAGGCAACAAAACAACCAGGGGCTATAAATTTGGCTAATAACTCCGGAATACCCCGATGTTTGGCACTTCAAGCCAAAACTGAATCTTCGCACTTTCAGGTCATAGGCGCAAAACCCATCAATAATAGAATTTCCACATCATGTCTGAAGTGTTCAATTAGTAAGATATTCAGCCTTCAGCCAATTTAACTGCATCAAAAATTGCTGCCAATTTGACCCTTTTCGCCGAATCCTACTTCCTGGAGAAGTTAAAAATTTTCAATCGAGATATTCCATTTGACATCATCCTGAAGGGGTGGGGAACTGACAACTAAAGTATACTCTCAAAGTCAATTCCACTGCATATAACGAGCTAACATCGATTCACATGTTCTATTGGGATGAAAAAGGACTTGCCACCCAATTACACACACATTTTAACTATCAAACCTCTCTTAACTATGCGGGTTTTGTTGAAGATTTGTTCCAGACGCACTTTCACCACGAGCCTCTCGGAGGGGATATCTCCTTGTTCTTGCGAATGGGCTTGGTGACACTTGGACCCATCCATAGTCTGCCGAATATATGAAAATTTGCCTCCTGTGGATGCCCACTGCCCCAGTAAGAACGTTTCATCGCCCCGAACTGCTTATGGGTGAACGAACTTACGGGGATTGATATATACAACTCGCTGCAACGGCTAAATACACTCCTCAAAAATACGCTATTCCAAATCAAACATAGGGGTGTACACAGCCGAATACCCAAAATAACTAGCGTTCCAATGTAGTCAAATATGTTGCCCATTCATTAGTAAAGGAGTTAATCTTGAAATTATCTACAAAATCATCCTCTCCTCGATTCATCCATGCCAGGTCTTTGGGCTCTGCAGAACAAGAATATTCTGAGAATATTCTCCAATGAATCAACTCCTGCGTCCCTGTTTCCCCCCCCACCCAAAATGTCAGAAAACATCATGTTTATCGCCTGAGATGTGGTCTCATAGTGGGAATTTCAGACAGTGCAAGTTCTCCGCCCTGGGTGGTAGCTCGTTTTCTTCAAGCAGACGGGGTTAGCGCTGCCGCTGCCAACTGTCATATAGACTGTATGCTGCTCGGCAGCGTCAGGGGCGACTGTGAGGTGTTTATTCACCCTCATAGCAATCTCTGTCCTTTCATCTCAGAACGCGTAGGCGCCCTGTGAAGAGTCCCCCGCCGCTGGGGGCGGGGGTACCCCATAGAACCCCCTAGGTTCCAATCCCTGATGAGTGCGGAACGGCATATCGACTGCATTGGAATATTGGAATGTGGGTGTATGGCTGTGTATACACTATGTTTGATTTAGAATAGTGTATTTTTGAGGGGTGCATTTAGCCGTTGCAGCGAGTGTATATATCAATCCCTGAATTTACGATCATCGCTGCGGGCGTTACTATTAAAGCGTGGCTTCGTGATATTTAAGCCCAGACTCCTCCCCCGCACGACAAATTGCACAGAAGTTGGCACAACGAATTGTCATCCAAGCTTCGCACAACTGGCACAGGGAGATCTTTTCTAGCTCCTGTCCCGTAATGCGACACCAGCCGCCTTTGAAGCCAATTTTATTATTGCCAGATGCTTTCAGGAATGCTGAAGAAAACGACCAAGCCCGGCTGTGAAATAACAGCGGAAAGCGTTGGTTCCATCACTCTCAACAGCGTCCTTTAAGCTTTTAAGGCTGATAGCACCGTATCACATTCAACCAATCCTTTCCGTGGCTGGGTCTTAGAGCCTGCTTTTCATCTCCCATCTCCCAATAGGAAGAGAGGATTGAGCCAGCATGTCGGACGCTGTCGAATGTTGATTCTGTGTGGCATAAGCTTTCTGTCGATGTGGCATGTGGTCGCGATCTGGGATTGCAAGAGCCGCAGCGACACACCGAATCAACTTGGAGTTCCTAGCGAGCTGAGGTGGCCGTGGAAAAGTGGCTGATTTTCTCTTATTCCATATATATTTTGGACATGCTCTTCCCAGAACTTACGAGGTTGGGATTGTTTCAAGCTCTCTGCTACGTTTTGTCAGAGAAACTCTGCTGCAACGTCAATCCCTGAGCAGGATATCAACAATGGTAGCAACATGGCCTATTCGAGGCCTGCTTGTGCAGTGCCTGATTTTTATACCCCTTTTGTTTTCAACTACAGCACTTGCAGAGTCTTTGGTTGAGGCTCTGAATGGATATCCCTCATTGTCCAGATTTCAGTCGCTTCTTCAAGACAAGCCCGCGCTAGCTCCACTGCTGAGCAAGGGCTCGCCTGGATCCGTTGTCACATTTCTCGTCCCCAATGACGCTGCATTCGCCGCCTTTCGTGCTGCAAATGGCGGTTCGGACATCAGCGACCTCCCCAACTCGGAGCTGGAGCGTATCCTGGAATACCACATCCTTTCTAGGAATTTGCCATCGGCTAAGCTCCTGAATCCCCCCCCTCAAAGCTTGGTGGTGCCGACCCAGCTCACGGGGGAGGAGTATAATAATCGTTCCGCAGGTGATGCACTGCAAATGGTGGAAGGTGGAGGCAAGCAGAGTAGTTCTGGTCAGGTTGTGGTGTTGAATGTTGGGCCGCAGAGTTTGCAAAAGCGACAGCAAGAGGAAATTGACGTCCTGTCGGGTTTGTATAAATCCGTGAAGATGACCCTTATTGATGGGATGTGGGATGGAGGTTTGTTTCACATGGTTGACGGGTATGATGATCTTTATTTTCTGCAATTTTTATTCGAACCTGTGAATTTATTGTTGCTGCGAACCTATAAACAGGTTAACGTAATGTTGTTACGGAATGCTGACAGCAAAATGTGCGCAATGGAGATAAAAGGCTACTTACGCTTCCACGAGTCTGCACTAAGACAATTGAAAGCCAGAACCTCACAGCTCTCACTCGGGCACTGGTTCGCACCAAAATCGGCCCCATCCTTGACACTTTAAGGAACGTTACTTGCATCGGCCCAACAGATACTGCATTTGAGCAAGCGGACAGTCCAGACAAAGTTGCTGAACCCGGTGATCTGGCAAAGGCGCTTACTTTCCATACTCTCACGGAACCAGTTTATACCAATTTCCTATCGGACGGCCAAATGTTTACGACTGTGAGCAATGACACGATTCGAGTGACGGTGAATGACACAGGGATCTATTTCAACGATGCAAAGCTGATTAGGAGGAACGTCATGTGAGCCCTTCCCCGTTGCCTACCTTCTCCTCTCTCCTTCTGAGCATATTTCCGGTGATGAAGCTGTAGTTTGTGTCGTGTTTGTGATTGAGGTAGTTGATACCTAGTTTATCAAGATGACGCCACTGACTAATTCATCCCCTATCAATATATTTTAGAACGAATAACGGCGTTATCCAAGTTGTTGACAAGGTGGGGTGCAGCTATTCTGTAATCCAAGAATATAAACAGCAAAAATTCGTCCTCCATATTGGAATTTGAGAAGGCTGTAATAGACTAACACCCTGCCTATTACCATAGGTCATGTCCCCCCTCAAACAAGAGGAGTCCAAACCGACCACGACCACGAACACAAACCCCAAACTATCACCAACCGGACCAGGACCAGCGTCATCGTCAAAGGCCGGTGCTTCTATGCTGGAGAATCCATTTGGTGGCTCTACATCAGCCGGGCTAACCGCTTTCCTGATGACTGGTATCATGTCTCTTGCGGCTTGGTGGATGTAATTGTTGATGATTCAGGATATTACGGATTGAGAGCGATGAGGCATCTGTCAAATATCCCTTCCTCTCTTCCTTTTTATAGATGCTAATAATAATAAACGTGGTGGAATAATTGGATGGTTGAATACCCCCCCTCTTTTCGGTTGGTTTCGGTTTCCGGCGTCCGCTAGCTTGCTAACTACTACTAATGTCTTTGACATTATTATTATTATTCCACAGTTCTTCTTCTCTTTCACAGTCTGCATTTTCAAGGCCAACCAGTTAGCTATTTAGTTGTCTGGCCATTCTTGCTTCCAAAAAAGTTAATGATAGCTTCTTGAATGAGCTCGCTCTCCATCTTGCTTCTCAGTTTTTGGGATTGTCGAGGCTGGAGAACGAACGGCTTGTCAGGCTCAAAGAGCCATTCTCACTTCTCACTGTAAAACTATGCTGCTTTAGATCGTAGCAAGAGCATACTGCCCCATGCGGACCTTTTTTCCTGCCATATGCATATTTCCCGCAAACCATAGACCTTATCCAAATCTAGTCTGTACTCCATTCTTAACTAACAGTTACGGGTGCTCCGTACACTGCACAACATTGGCGTCTATATATCATATATCCAGACGGGGGTTTTTGGGTTGGATGGTTCCATGGATAGATAGGATCCCGCTCAACTGATGATAATTTTTTTATCCCAACTCTACCGTACCGTACTCCGTTATGATTCCTCGCCGCACCCTCAAGCGAGCCAAGACATCCTTCTGCTGCCTCGGAAAAAACTTGACAGGTCCAATGAATGTGTGGTGGGAAGGAAAACAAATAATAATATCAGATATTGATGTGATATTATCTTTTCCTACGGTTGTTGCTCGTTGCAATGACCTACCCTTGTTAGGAAGCTAGGACCGATGCGGACTAGCCGATTTGGGCTCTCCGCTTCCCCAAACAACAACAACACCACCACCACCACAACAAACAAACAAACAAACAACAACAACAACAACAACAAGGGACCCGTGGTTGGTGGCAGAATGAATGGATTAATCATCCGCTACGTAGTGTATCACATTATTTGATCTCAAATTTTGAATGAAAAAGCAATACCAAAAGCTGTTGACCCTTGATAGGCCATTATTGAATCAATTGGTTGTCTTCTAGAATATCTATCATCTTGTATTTTATTTTATTTCTTTCTTACAAGCCCATAACGGTGAAGTTGAGTTCATACATGAGTTGGTAATATTACAGGGGGAACCTAGTTGTTGGAAAAAAAAAAGCGACCCATACGTAAGCCATACGTAAGCATTTTTCCACTTTTACGCTAGTCGTATTTGGGATACGCTAGCCCCATTTAGGACTAGCTCATCCTTCCACGTTGGCCTATGTCTTTGCTGCAATTACGAACGCAAGCTCTCATAATCATAAAATATAATGATCAATTCGCTCTTACGCACTCATAGGAAACTACCCCATAGGGTGACTATTTCTAGAAAATTGCAAATCTTGTTTTCCAGCGCAGAAATGGTGGCAATTTTTATATGTGGGGTAGGAACAGTTTAGTTTAACCGATGGCACAAATTAGGGTGTCACCTGATGTGGGCTAGATGAGACTTGCCCAGTTTTTCAATGTTAAATCTCATTGGATGTGAGGTTCCCCCCTTGTGGGGTATGAACCCACGGCCCCTAGGTTCCCTACGCCAAGGACGTCGGTCCCATTCAGCCACCAGAGGACAAATACACGGCTTATATTAATAGAACTAATGTCAAGAAAACTTGATCAGAGCGGATTATATATATAAGATGTGATGATTTGATCTCGCATAGAAAGTCTATTCAAACATTAAAGTGCTAGCTAGAGTGAGTAAAAAATTCAGTTTTCATAAAAAGCTTAGAGAATAGAGATTAGCTATAACTTTAAAGATAATTAATTATTCTTAAATCTTTTGATTTAATATCAGATCGAGCTTATATTATCTCAAAAGAGAAATAAATCTTAAATAAAAACTAGTTGATCAATATGAAAAGAATGCTTTCATCTGAAATTAGATTTACAGCTGAGAATTTTAGAAACGAAAGTTATATAAACATCAAATTTAACATGACTTTATTATAACAAGATGGATGCCCAGGCAAGATTCTCCGTTGGATAAGGTGGAACTTGATTTCAATCCTCTAATGAAACCAGCATGCCTAAAATAGCTGGATTCTAACGATATGACCAATGAATTTCCTCTGCGTGTTTTTGCCTCTGAACTCATTGAGCAGCCAGGGAAGCACTCACTTGCTCTTCACATATATATCATGATGACTTGGAGTTCACACTGTCTCCGATCCCGGTGCAGTGCACCTGTTGCTGAAAGCTATAGATTGAATCGAATGCAAAATGAGCCAGCTCCTTGTGAATTCAAGCCATAATATATATATACATACATATATATATATATATATACATATATATTTCGAGAAGTTGAAAGTGGTTGATTGTAGAACTGTCATCGACTAGGATAGAGTTCTGTTCACAACAGCCCAGCTACTTAAACTGCGCAATAAGCCTGACTCAAGTTGAGTTTGGACAAGCTCAAGGATGACAGATGTAATAAGGCTGGTCACAATACAGCAACGATGTCACTATTTCTGCTTCCTAATGAGATAATGACAGAATGCAACTTGATGGAAAACCGTGGAAAACCGGTCACGTGAAGGAAACACGTATCGGCTTCGTCGGATATTCGACGTCGTTGTATAAACGTGTTTCGTATTTAGGTAACAAAAAAACATCTGATTGATGTAATAATTAAAATTTTACCGCGGATTTGAAATGTCTGCATGGAACTGCGGCTGCCCTAATCACGTACCTACCCATATAGAGTTGAGATCTGGTTCGTAACAGGACAGGCCTCCAATGAGTATATAGCCGCCTGTCCAAGGGAACCAGGGAATTTCCTGTGTGTGGAACGGACACTGCTAGGGTCCGGTTGAATGTCGGTCGGCATCGTCCTTGTCGACACAAGCAAAACTAAGAGCAGCAGTCTTTTGGTTAGGTCGAGGATCCTTTAGGAAAAGGAGAAATTTTGGCAAGTTTTCGGGATCTTGCTGAACTTCGCGGAATCCCCGAAACTTAGGGGGGTTGGCAGGCAATTAAGAGTAGAAATGAAGAGTATGGATGGATCTTCGGAATTTTGCGGAAAGCGGCGAGCTTGTACCGGTCGGTTTAGTTGAAAACTTATCGAAGAAACGGGTGAAGAACTCTGGGATCAGAACTTTTTTAAAGTTGCGGAATACTACTACTACAACAGAAAATACTGCGAGATTTTATAACCAATTCTGCCAAATTCCGCAAACTTGCTTGCCGGGACAACCTCTGGTTGGACACCGAGGTATAACACCCCACGACAGATGCCCAACCCTTTGGGGGTTCCCAATTTTTCTTTCTAGTCTCCGGGGTTTTTAGCTTCCGAGCGTTGAATCATGGCCCTTTTGCATATCTCAAAAACTCGGTTTCTCCAGCTCATCTAACAAATTTGATCAATGCAGGCTAGGAACGTATTACGCCTGCGCTGCATAGTTTAGCTTAGAAATAGCAAACCCAGCACATGGCTGATATTTTCGCCGGGCCGTCTAACCTGTCAGAATCCGTATCGAGCAGCGAACAATCGTTGGATCTATAAGGAAAATGTGGTACTACGGCAGCTTACAACAAGATTATTCTCCAATTGTCCTCAATCCCCAGCAACAACGCTTGGTGATCGATTTATCCAGCTGTGCCGGGGTTAAGAGGCAACACACCTGGCACCTCGTTTTGTCTTTTCCCTGGGTTGTCTACCAACAGACTGCCTGGAGAGGACACTCAGGGTCCAAAGTAGGAGTATCTGTTGACGATATCCGACAAGACAATTTGTTAACTAGTTAGTTGACTAGATATAGTTAATCGGATGGAATATCTAGACAATTATTACCTGTAAATCACTGTAGATGACAGTCGCGTTGAGGGTTATTTAGATCTGGCAAAGTAATCTCCACACAGAAGTACGACGTAGCAGAAATGAGAATATCAAGTATGAAGAATAAAAGGGAGAAAAGCAAATAACTACTACACCTGCGGTTCACCATCTTAGACCCTCCTCGCTCACCTGAATACGCAAGTTGTAAACAGTCTCATAGCTGAGCATCCTTGTGAAATGAGTGTCTGATAAAAAAAATATATATGTTCTTCACATGCATCCTGTGTGAGAGAGTATGGTCTTTGTTGGAGAAATGCCTCATTATAATCCTTGAAAACCTTCTCTTCAATATTACACAGCTCTGAGATGTCTACTGATACAGTCGCATTTATAGTCACAGATGTGGTACAGCGTTGATATGAGCAATTACTATGAAGAGTAGCAAACACTTGCTTATAATCTGACAGTTGAATACATAATCATGATCAGAACTTTCATTTATTCAGTCTTAATCACGTACTCGTGATGAATAGTGTGATAATATGTTAATTAAAAAGATAACTATTTGTTATCTGATTTTCAGAGAAAGTTTTTAGAAAAAAGTATTATAACTTTTACAAATAAAACAAAGCTGAAATTCTCAATAACTTTATTCAAATAATCTGTTAAAATACATAGGTCATCCTGTTTTTGTAACTAACTAGTGTTTTTGACAGTTTGACTTAGCAATAATTAACTTACATTTAATGATATAGCTGCAAATGTGTCGATACAAAATCAAAGTAAATAACTATAAATAAACTTTACCAAGAAGTTATACCAGCTAAAGTTAAAACTAATAGATTACAGCAAGAAATGAGAAAAGTTTTAAAGTGAACTAGCAGCTTGAATACAGCAAGAGCATAGCGTATGGATGAAATTTTGTGTATTGAAGCAGCATAATTTTTGAAATATTATAATGCTCTATATTTTCTCTGAACAGATCCGATGATAACATAAAGAGCAAGCACCTGAGGCTAGAAAGCAGGGACAATAATCATGCACATGTCTCTGCATCTTCTCTATGCGTGAAAACGAATAAAGTCTGGACTTATATGCCTGCTATTCATTCTCATGACAAAACAGACACTGATCCTCTGAACAGATAATTGAGAACATATCAATGTCTATCAGATTGGGCTCCACTTTTCAAGTTTATGAGAGCGTCAGGTGAAGCCTTCTGCCCGTTAGGAATCCCTTGCAGGCGACAGAGTGCAGTCCAGTCGCGGATGACCTGCATCCAACGGCCGTCAACTCCTGTTCCTCATCCTCACAGCTACAGAGAGACTGAACGAGCCCGTGCGCGAGGTGGTGCCTTGAGCCTTTGGGGGCGATCTGTATTGGAATTTTTCATATCATTTACCAGATCATGCTTCTGCCGATATAAGATATGCAGACTCAACATCCCGTTTCACTCTGTGCGAGATGTAGTAGCGCTCGAAGATGTCTGCCCGTGAATGGCCGTTGGAAGGTGCTGATCGAACATGTCATACGGCAATGCACGGTCTGCAGAAATGCATCCTCCCTGTACAGTGTGACAGTGGGAATGGTACGACGGAATACTGGTACATCAAGCATCTCATGTTTCCATCTCTCTCGCAGGCTGTTCTGGTACGAGCGAACGGCGATCCAAAAGACATCTTCCGGAGAATCAATGACCCTTGTGCCTCAAATGCATGATCCGCAAATGCCAGTGCAAGGAAAAGGGAGATCGGGCACGGGGCCAAATTGCCGTCCCCCTCATAAAAAGTGTAAGTCGTTCTACATCATTAGGTGTGCATAACTAACTCTGGGGAGAAGGAGGACGTGCGGCTGGGACTTGTTTCTCTTTCCTTTCATATATATCAAAGTGACCTCTATCACCGGAACATGACGCTGTGGTTCCTGTGGATTATGGATGACACGAAACACCGCGTCCCTCCTGTATCGCAGCGCATCATTCGGGCTTCAGACTCAGCTGCTTCAGGACGGGAGGATGTGTAAGTGGCCATGAAACCAAGCATTGATAGCTCGTTGAACACCACCCGCGATGGCCACGGTCGGCAAGGAATGAGAGCTAGCGATGAGGATGCATGGTGTCCTTGAAGATAAAAGCAGCGTAGGTACTTAGTTATACTCTAGATCACGGGCCGCCCTCAGTGGCTGCAACGAAATCTTCCGGACCATAACTAGAGGCAGTTAACTAGTTAGCTTGATTGCTCCGTAGTTTCGTTACCACAGGGTCCAGACGGAGCATACACCTCAGCACAGGATGTGGGCCGACGTACATGTAGGATACCGGCTGTGGAACGGAGCAATGGTCTCGTCATATGCATAGCTAGTTACTGTAAAATATAGTAAAGAGTTAGTTAACAGTAACTTTACAAACCCCGAACACGTCTGACCGCTGCGCAGGAAGACCGCATCATGGATTGACCGGGATAAGGGTGTCTCTTCATTCTCCTGCTAGGACCTGAGAGGCAGCCAGCTTGTGCGTGCGTTTGGCTACGTTGCTGGTAAGGGCTTGGGGGTAAGTATGGAGCGGGGTTGACGATCAGTTATTGAGATGTAAGTAGTAGTTGGGTGGTTGGTTGGTTGGCTGGTTGGCTGGGAGTAGCTGCTGAAAACACGCCGGCAGAGCTTGGGAAGTAGTTGACAGAGCGATGATTTGCTTTCCTTCTTCTTCTTCTTCTTCTTCTTCTTCTTCTTTTCTTCTTCTTCTTCTTCTTCTTCTTCTTTTCTTCTTCTTCTTCTTCTTCTTCTTCTTCTTCTTCTTCTTCTTCTTCTTCTTCTCTCTCACTCACTCACTACACTAAAAACTCCCTAATTTCTCGAGGTTTGTTGATCAACACAATCGACAACACATCCGCCATTCTTGCTCGATCTGCTCCGTAGATCGCAGCCAGTTCTCCCCCTTCTTGTGGAGTAAGGTCGTAGTTAATCAGCCTCCCCACACGGCCCAGGTCTAAGCTGAATGCAGCACATTTCCCCGGGCTCCGGACCCTAAACCCCAACCCCCAGAGCTGTTCCTAACCCCGCGGCGGGACTCCTGCTTGACTTGTCTCTCTCACCCCCAACACCGCCTCTTCCTCTTCCTCTTCTTTATAATTGATTCGTCTTCCCCCTTCCCCGCGGTACCGCCCTCTCTTTCACCTCTACGGCGACAACGGCCCCTCTGATCCAACCGGCTGCTGCGGTTCTGTCTGTTTGCTAGAGAGCTCTTTATTCGAACCAATCATCGGCTCTCCAGCTTCCCCTCTTGTTTAAAAACCCCAAATCCAAAACCTTTTAAGCTAAGTTCGCTCAACGGTGTGTGGTCAATGTTTTTTTCTTTTTTCCGTGTTGGCAAAACGCCATGTGTTCTCCCCGCCCCTCTCAGAAGTGTTCCCACTCCAGCAGTTCAAGTATCTACAACCTTCCTCGATGGTCCTTGGTTTTGTTCTCGGTCTTGATGGACGTTGAGCTTGTTGTGGAACCTTGATTTTCTGCATTGAACTCGCGAAGATACGCGCTCCCTGAGCAAAAATCGACTTGTACAGGTCATCTACCGCGTTCGCCATGTTGCTCCTTTCAAGATGATCACAACAGACATTGCTTTATGTTGGAAAGGAAGCTGTTTTTTGGTCTGACTGGACCTATTCAGTGACTTGCGGAAACTAATAGTTCCAAGCCATCTTTCTCAAGAAGACAGAAGGTGTTTAATACGACTCTTCTATCAAAATTCAGTTTTTCCATCATCTTTCATCGCTCTTGTGCTGAAATACCTAGGTATTTAGTCTGCACTGCTTATGGTCGCGCGATTTAACTAATTCTCTTCTGTCCTCCCCTTCCCCCTTTTTGTTTTATGACCTGCATTCAAACAATGCCAAAGAGGCCCACTGATGCTTTTTGCATTTCATGTGCCAAATGTCTGATGTCCGATGTCTCTGATGTTGGGATATATCTTTCTTGTCTCAGCCATGCATTTTCTACATGGTTGTTTTGGATGACCATACAATTGTGTTGTTCATTGTATTGATGCTTATCTATCCTCCATTTAGACACTTGCTTTTCAAACCCGTGTTAATTGGGACGCGAGAACAATCTGTGAGTTGAGTGGTGTAGGTAGGTATTTACTCGAGGGTATTGGCGGAAGGAGAAGAAGAAGAAGAAGAAGAAGAAGAAGAAGAAGAAGAAGAAGAAGAAGTGGTATGCGTGTTTCACGAGAAAATATCTTATATGGAGATTATTACTAAACCTGTGCTAGGTGGTGTCCATTGGTGCTTACGTCCGTCTTGAAGCTGTCAACGGGAGTTTTGTTCATTATCAACGCGTTGATCAATATCAACTTTAGCTTAATCTGGAGTAATCCTTTCTAGCCACACGTCTATCCTATGACACCATTACAATGGTCGACCAAAGCGATCCCGCCCCTGTGCAGCCTCCTGAAATCATGAATTCATCACCATCGGATTCTAGCAAGCCAGACAGCCTGTCAAGCCGTCCAGCAATTACGAACCAAGAAGAACTGCATCCAAACCCGAATCGGAGCTTTTTATTGGCGGACGTAACCCCAAGCCAAGCTGCATCTTCCTCTACCAATAGTGACCGCTTTGGAATTTCGGAAGGCCCGGTTTCGACATTCGTATCTCAAGACTCGACTGGCTATACACCAGAATATAGCCCAGATGAATACCAGGATGACTTACAGTCCCTGTCTCATTCTACGGTTTCCATTGCATATGTGCCAGGCACTACGGAACCCCAGAATCCTAGCGTTTTGCCAGATCAGATTTCTTCTTCTGGGCAAACACTGCTGGATCTACCTCATCCCCCTCCTGTCGTCGAAAATCTGGCTGCCGGGGCTATTCTTCCCTCATCTAGTGATGGTAACGCCGCAGATCAACTCAATCTCATCTCACATCATGGATCAGCGACTTTCGTCATGACAGCAACTGGTACTGTCGTATCCCCTTCTCTCCCTAATTCCACAAGTGGCTCTGGCCCAAATCACCCACAAACTTTGCCCCAAAATCCAGGAAGCATGGATGATGACGAAGACATGGAGCTCGGTGATGGCGAACAGGACGACTACGATGATGAAGACTATGACGATGATGATGATGATGATGATGCTGCTGATGACGACGAAATCCCGGTTCTCCCAGATAATCTGATTGAAGATTCTGAGCTATCCGGCTTTTCTTATGACAGATTGCACGGTCTACCTCCAACTTTCGATGGCGAGAGAAGTGTTTGCGACGAATCTCTCTCGGATACGAACGACACTGAAAAGTTTTACATCACTGATGATGAGTTGTCCTGGTGTGATCCCACTGAATATAATCCACCAAGCTTCACTATTGATAGCAATTTCCACGGCAGCTGGCCTCAACAAAGCCAAGTTCAAAACCCCACCATTGGCGCTCGTCCTCAACCCCTCTCTGTTACGAGCCTTGACAACATTATTGGCCAAAACGTTGCATTCAGTAATGCTGCAGACGATGACGACAACTTCGACACAGGCATGTCTACGCAGACGGAAAGTATGGAGTCTCATTTCATAAGCCCACTTTCTACGTTGTTTCTCCCATTCAATATTTGGACCCTTGGAAAGGCCCAGCACATCATCCATCGTGCATTTAATAATATGAACTCCCCTGAATATTCATCTGGCCTTTGCACACGAGATCCATTACCCAACGCTGACAGCTTCATATTGCAAACCATTTCATACTATATTTTCAAATTTTCCATTTTTGCAAGCCCATCAAGAGGCTTTTTCATACTTAGCGGTGCCCATCGTGCCCTTTTCGTTAATGAAACCTCCATCACTTTCCTTACTGGCCTTGACGTGACAGATGAATTTATGAAGTCTCACGAACATACACAAGATTCCCCGCATTTTTATTTCTGTAGAGAACTTCCCTGGCCCAGGACTCCAGCCTCCCTATCAGACATCTCTTCAGTCAGCCCACTCAGTCCGGGAAATGTTACAGCTAGGCCCCCAGCATCCCGCCCCATAGAGCTTTTGACTGAGGCTCAGTATGATGACATACACAAGACTTCTGAAGAGTCAATCTACTATGTCCCCCCTTCATTGGTCTTGAAATATTTCAATGCCCACGTTGCAAGCGCACTTCTTGCGATCCCAATTGCCCCACGCAAAGGTCTTACTTACAGTATTGCTGACGGTCTTGAATTTCCAGCATTCGAAAGGAATCTTACGGTCGACATGTTCATTAAGCAGTGGCTGGTTCGATCCAAAATCCCACCCGAGCAGCTTCCAGCGAAGGAGCGGCCTCATATCCCCATATCGGACGCAGCAGCAGATGTTTCGTATTGGCCACGGCCGCAGAAGATATCGCGCCCGGATGACCACCAATTCCAGTCCTACGATATCCAGAAAATCCCATGGTGGAAGAAGATGAATGTCCGGCGGTCGGATGCTAGGATGCTGCGCGATTCTTGGTACAAAGGTTACCATAATCTGATGTTTAATCCACATGGGGTGAGTCGTCTCTCAATTCTCTCTTGAATTGTTCACTGAGCCATTATGCAGTATTCGAAGCGGTTGCCACACGCAGAGGAATATTTTAAGGCGAAAACAATGTATACCAAGTACAAGGCGTCAATGTCGCATTTCCAGTTGCGCAATCTTATGTCCGTGACATCGTCGAATACCGTGCAATATGCTCACGAATCGAAGGTCTATTCCGTAACCCCTTTCCACAACCAGAAGAGCGTCCTAATCGACCTCTCCAATCACTTGAAGCTGGCCGTGTTCGTGGATCGTGTCAAAATTTCAACAATGAAAGCTAAGCACGGCGTGACGCTTGTTGGCGGATTTTCCGGGGAATATGCTATGAGAGGCCTTGTGACGGACAATACTGTGGTAAATGGCTATGTGACTAAAGATCCAAACGGGATAACAAACCACATCGACATCATCAAGAACCGGACAAGCCGTAGTCCTCAGGCAATCATCTCATCCAACGATCTGTACATTCGAGTCCTTGATTGTGAGACCAACAAATTTGTTCAGCGCCAGAAGTTTGCGCGTGCCATTAATTGTACCGACACCTCACAGGATGGTCGACTCCGTGTGATAGTTGGAGATGCTAAAGAGGCGTGGATAGTCGACAGTGACACTGGGAAGCCACTACAGCAACTGGCTGGCCATCAAGACTTTGGGTTCGCTTGTGTGTGGTCACCAGATATGCTTCACGTTGCAACAAGCAATCAGGACGGAATTGTTAACATCTGGGACGCCCGTATGTGGCGAATACTCCAATTCATCGAGTCCGACGTCGCAGGTTACCGATCTTTGCGATATTCCCCTGTTGGGGGAGGTCCGCGTACGCTTCTCATGTGCGAGCCTGCCGATCGCATCTCAATAGTCAACGCGCAGACGTACCAGACCCGTCAAGTGCATGATTTCTTTGGAGAAATTGGAGGAGCTGATTACACTCCCGATGGCGGCCGCATCTGGGTTGCTAATATGGATCAAGCGTTTGGTGGACTGATGGAGTTCGATCGGTGTCAGTGGGGTCAGGAGTTCGGTATGGCGCGCACGAGGAGACGACATATTGAAGAGCGTCTTGATACTTATTACCCCGACCTGCCTAACGAGTGGCTTCCAGAAGCGGATCTGGATGACGATGAGAGATGTGTGCTTGGGAGTGGGGAGAGGAATATGCGGTTTCGACGGTTGATGGGGAATAGGGAGCATGCGGAGTTTCTTCGCTAGCTAGATAGGTCTTGATTTGCGGGGTTTTATTTTATTTTTTCCTTTATTGCCTTTTTCATTGTTTTTTTTTACTTCCCCCCCCCCCCCCCCCCCCCCTTTTTTTTTTTCTTTTTCGATTCTCTGTCTCCCTATTTCTTCTGTTCTCGGGTGCTACGTCTCAGCTCATTGCGTTTTCTCATTGCTGCGTTTCCACTTTTTCTCTGGTGTCTCTCTTGACATGGCATTGTTTCTTTCTAACTCCTGGATCACTTACCCTTTTGTTCAACTCAATCCTCATAGGATCCTATTGGAGTAACACGGCCTGGACGTCATGTCCTTTTCGGCATAGGCTTCACACCCCCTATACCTGGGCTCTTTTGCTTCTTTTTTTGTGCCCTTCTTTAGTGTCTTGTATTGCTTTTTGTTTCTGTTTTGTGTTTTGCTTTCTTGCCCTTCTATGCATATACACCTACACGTGGTGTTATGTTGGAATAAACCCAGCTTAGGAGAATCATGTTTTTGCATCAATTTAGCTGTTCATTTGTTGCTTGCGGAGTGTTTGTTTCGTTTTTTGAGGTGGAGTTTGTGGCTGGCATAGCGCGCCCTCCCCCTACTTTTTTTTTCCTTTCTTATCAGACCAGCGGTTGCTAGGATACCCGGAAGAACCGACTCCTAGAAGAAGTTTTAAGGAATACACGGTTATACGGCGATTTGGGATGTTCCTTGTTGGGAAAATGGGTACGGATTTGTTGGTTTTTGCGTTTTGCAAATGCTTTCCCCTTTCATCTTGTTCTCGGTTTTTCTGCTGAACACAAGCGTTCTGCCCTCTTATTTTAGAGCTGAATGCCATAAAGTGATGATATGGTGGTTATTCAGAGATAGTGTAGGTACGGGATGATGGTGATGTTTTAGCCTTTCTATTTACTTTGTTACTGGGCTCTTATCTGTTTCCACTGCTATGGTGTTACGGTTGACGGTTTCAAGGTTGCGGGAACATATTTACTGGGTGATGGAGGAAAGGAGAGCGGATTGGTGCTGGTGGTGGTGACGACCAGAGGAAGATGAGTGGCTGATCCACCCGGCGTGTATGTATAGAGTATCAAATCGTGTAATGATAATAGGAGCATAATTTGTGTGAGTACTTCATTTCTTCACTACGCATTTCGTTGTTGGGAGTTGTAGATTGACTATTGGAATTTGTGCACCCCACATGCTCTCGATGATTGAAGGTAGACGACGGAACTCGAAAAACACGCCGATTTACCATACGTCGAGCATGTAGAGTGGATATCCTCCGACATTAAAAGAGTAAGAAGAGGGGAGTTCCGGTCGGATGGATGGATATGCCCACCAGAAGTGTAGAGGACACTGCTGCTCCATCCCATCCCTTTAACTGAGCACGACGGCTCTGTATGCCCTTGGAAGCGGCGGGAAAACATACAACTAGGGATTTATCTATTGGTTTTGCCTACGCCTGGAAACTATCCGACTGCAACGGTTGTTGCGCCGATGTGGAGCAAGTTTCCCGGCATCCAATTCTTGGACTTGTGCCCGTTGAATACCAACAGCGGTAGGATAAAGCTTAGTGATGTCCTTGTTAGTAAACTGAACTGATCGACCGGAGACTATTCTTACATTAGCTAACTATGCAATAATATATATGGTCATGGGAAAGCTGAAGAGGGCCGGGTCGCAACCAAGCGTCCAGATCAACAGCTGGTCCGGGTGCTAGAGGACCTGAACCAAATCGACACTTTGTTTGCTGCTTGCGAAATACACAGACGGCCTGGCAGAGGCTCACTAGAGGAGTCCCGGCCCCGTGTGTAAAAACTATTGATGCTGAGGATGGGCGGTTGACCCAACCAGTGATTGGAAAGGTAATTGCAAACCGACTCTTCATGCCGAGTCTTGGTCGCAAGAAACTGAACGACGAAAGCATATATAAAAAGAGACCTGGATCCATTGCTGGGAACAACCTCACACAGAAGAACCTAAGAAAGATATGAAAAACTGTCGCTCTTCCCGATCCAACGAAAAGGAACATAATAGAAAACATTTCTGTGGATCCGATGCCCGACGACCACCCCTAGTTTATATCTATGGATATCATCACAGCGTTTTATCTTAGTTGTTGGCTTTGTTATTAACCACTCCGCCTGTCGCTTGAAATGACTTTCTTTTACCCCTTTCTCTCCAACTCAATAGCGTGGCGCTCTTCCCGCTGCCGACATATGTCTCAAGACATATGCACGTACAACAAATACTTAACTCGAATCTGCGCCACATCATATACAATATACTCATTATATTGCAACTGCACATCTGTATTGTCCTGCTTCTTCGGGGGATCCTTGACATCCGGCATAAGAGCCCCTTTAAGACTTTCATGCACACAGCCCGCATCCTTCCAACCCTGCGGGACAGTTTGCCCCTTACCAAGCGTAGACAGACTTCCCTGCTTCTTCGCATTCTCCCCAGCATTGTAGTCGCTGTTTACAAGTTCCAGCATCGGATCCCCCAACTCGACGTCACAGAGCATCAGAATGCCAATCTTGCCACTGCTGTTGGGCCAGCAGTAGTTGGCGGATTTGCTGGAGATGTCAGCAAAATAGATACCTTTGCCAAACATATAGCCCGTTACTGGGGCCTCGGGGGGTGCGATTCTGAGACCTTGGCTAAGGATACCACCGTAGTTGGTGCTGCGGGAACCGTGCCAGAGGAGGCGACGGTTGGTGTTTTGCAGGTGTGCAAAGGGGGAGGCTTCGAAGCGCTCCTTTTCGCCATGACGCTCAACCCGGAAGATGTGTTCGAGCTGGGGGTTAGTTAGCTTAGGGCTTATTCTAGCTTTCCCCCAATCACTGGACTCTGGCGGGGCTTACCCTGTAACGAAGATGGTGCGTGTGCCCGTGAGACTTCACGAGGTAGTCTTCCAATTCCCTATATTCGGCGGTAGCCGGATCCACTGGATGGATAGTAATGTGTTAGCATTAAGAGGGATTGAAGGAGAAGCGGAAGAAGCGGCTATGAAGTTCGTACGTGGTGACATCTCCTGCAGACCAAGGCCTTGATATTGCATGTCGAGATAATGTACGCCATTTTCGGAGGCTTTTGCATCTTTCATAATCTCGTTCGCAATCTCCATGTCGGTTAAAGTCTCGAGGAGATCGACCTCACGCTTGATGATATCTTGGGAGCCCAATAACAGGTGGACGATGGCGCCCAAACACATGGGGAATGAGGGTAAAGTATTGGTTGCTTAGTTGCTCTGCCGCTGGGACAAAAGGCCGACCATATTTTTGCATGGCAATTGTCGGGTCCGCGACCAATTCTGAAAGCTCCTTGAGAACCGCAAAACCCATCATGAGAGTGCGCTTGCTTAACTTGCCCAGGGGTAACTTCTTTGCGTCATACGACATGCTAGCCATTGTCGAGAGCATATGTTGCTGATTAAAGATGAGACCGACAAATTTCTGGACGGGCTCCGGCAATGTACATTCGATTAGCTTCATTTCTTCCTCATCTTCCTTTTTCACCTTTTTGCCCGTTTTCTTCTGATCAGCGTCCTCGCCGTCAGAGGCGTCCTCCTCATAGTTCCTCTCGATGAAAGTATACCTTCCAAGCCTCGGTGGGTCGAGTCGATTACTCCACGAAAGTCCGGTCTTGTTTCTGAATTTTTTATCAAACGTGGCTTTCGCTTGATCAAGGGTGAGCCCAGAGAATGCGGCATTTTGTCCATTTTCGCCCACTCGACCCCATCGTGTCCATGTGGTATATTTGCCCGAGGTTTTGTTCACCAGTAACTGGATCAGATAGAACTTGTTGTTATTATATGCGGAATGGGTCTGGTTCAATGCTGCATCATATATAAGACCTTTATCGTCGATAAAAACCTCATGGGTTGCTTTGTGTGTTTTCAGCCAACTTTGTCGCATGACCCATGCGAGAGTCCACCTTAAGATTGGAATGATACTTACAGCGATGTGGGTAGTTTTCATCGACTGGCACTTGTAACGTCGGAGAGGAAGCCTTCTGAGCATACTTTTGCTTCTTCGCTGGGGGCTCATCTTGGGATTTGGAGGAAGCGTCCTCGTCGTCTGCGGCTAATGTCCGTTTGGTCTTCGAATTTGCTGGATTTTTCTTCCCATTTGATGGCTTTACATCGTTGGCTGGCTTATCATCGTCATCAGCGTCAACACTTGGTTTGACATTGGAACCATCTAGCTGCAGTTTGGCTCTGGATGACCTCAATGGCCTGCCATTACCTGCTGCTGTGGGCGAAGCGGTTGTTGATGTTAGAAGATAAGGAGATTCTGTGGCTGGGTTCCCGTCCGCGGCTGAATCCAGAAGCCAGTCCAAGGAGACAATTTTTAAGTCTTTGATCAAGGCAGCTTGTTTACCTGAGGAATAATTAGTTCTATGCAACATACTAGGAGGTGGATAGATGAGAACTTCTCAGCAAGCACTGGATTTATTAAGATCATGTTTAACACCGCTCCACAAGACAAAGTAATACGGATAAAGGTCAATTGCAAACGGCGAGGTAAAATAAAGAAAGAAACTCACATTTGGGTTTATTGTCATCTACTTCCTTCTGCGTAGTCACAAGATGCGTACATGTATCAACCACCTTTGCAGTGTAAGCTCCGCCGCCGGATTCAATTCTGTCTATCAGAACCGCTGTAAACGGTCAGCATCTTTCAAGCCCCGAACGCTGGCTGAGAGCATTCCATCCTCTTTGTTCCTGTTGAGATTTTAATCTTTATTTGAGTATCATGTGTTGAAACACACCTTGCTTATAACCTGGAAACGTGCCGCTCAAGGCGATAATGTGATTTTTGAAGACGCCAGTCATGTTTTGACCAAACTGTGAGAAAGAGGAGAAAACGACGGCAGAAGAAGGGCAACGACGGCGCGGAAGGATGGATGTAGTTTTAATAAAACGATAGGGAGACACAGAGCCTTTTTAAACCGCCATCTCAAGGTGTGTTTGTTTCTTCTTTTTCTTTTTCTTTTTCCTTTTTTATGTGGCGTCAAAGACCAGAGCTTCAACTAGTAACAGTCCGTGGCTTGAGACCGTCTCAGCTCGTTCACCAGGCGGCAGCGCCCTGGTGATTGGCTAGTGACAACCATGGACAGCCCCTGATCTCACCTGGTGCAAAATGAAACCAAGCCCTTGGTCCCGCGACTTGGGCTGGCAGATATATATCATCTCGCAGCCGCCTGCACTGCAGCACACTCAGCAGGTTCCAGCCAGGCAGAAGAGGTGCCGACACGGCAAGATTCTCTCTCCATATTCGTGGTTGCAGGCATGACTACGCTCCGTAGTTGGTTGAGATGTTGTCTTCCATCTCTCGGAATTATTCGCTGAGCTTGTTGCAGGCCACAGCCCGCAGAGATCTCTGCAGGTGGGTGCCTAGGGGCTTATTTATTGCTGAGGGTTCCAGGCCATACAGCTACACGTATGTCTCTATCAGGCAGAGAGATGTAGGATGCCTCGAATGAGCATCCAGAGACAACCTCCAGACGATTCCCACGCTCCGATTGTTTCAAATCATTCATGTTGCCATATCAACCGTGGAAATAATCTCATGCCTGCCTCAGCTATCCTTTGCCTGCCCTGTCCCGTATATTTGCGCGGTTAAAGACAAGGTTTTTCATGGTATTAACTCATTTTGTTTATTTAGTCGCTATGAATTTGTTGCAAAATTATTTAACTTAGCCCTCTGGAAAGCCCAGAGCCCGTTACGAGAAAACATAGGACACGCGATTTTGCGGCAAGGAGCCTCGTTTGAATGCCCATGAACATCATCTACCGGCATTATGTAGTAATTCACATGCTACTTTTGATCGCAATGAATGGCTTCGATTTTCCCGGCTTCGCATTAATGCCCCGCGTCCATTTATCGCGAATTCCAATCGACTGAAGCTCAAAATAATTTGGTGGAGAGTGGCATTGAAAACTCCTGCTCGCTAAAGATACGCATAGATCTAAACGGGAATGTCAAAATATAATCCTGGGAAGCTCCCTCGCTCAGGGAGACACGACAAGGAACAAAAAAAAATATCCAAAGTTTACCATCACAAACTGTACAAACAAACATACGGGAACAATATCAACGACAGATAGTTCCCCAGGAAAGGCATGCGCCGACTACCTCTTTGACAAAGCAACGCCGTCCGATTTCCACCAGAGCTGTAGGAGGATTCCTCGCCAGCTGTTCTTGAACCATATTGAACCATAGAGAAGCCATGCAGGATTCCATCCTCGAACTTCTCACTCCTTTATTGAAAATGTATTGTTGATTTCAGGGAGATAGGAACAACAGAGTGAAATTCCTCCTTATCCTCATTCACAAATCCATTCTGCAACGTCTCGTCTAGAGACAAAACAACTTCAGCTTTTTCCGTAGATTTGAAATTTTCAGTCAAAGTTTCCCTTTTTGCACCCATTGTTGTTAAAACTTCGCCATATCCCTCCTCCACGGTGGTCCCTTTAAAAAATCTGCCTCCCCGCTGATAACGGTTTTCATTAGACGATTTAGCCGCTTTGGTGGATTGGATTTCTTCAATAGCTACTTCTCCTTTGAATACGTCCTTCGCGGTTGAATCATGCTTCATCAACCCGTGGTTCTCGTCGCCGTCACGCACCTCAAAAATTTCAATACTCTCATCATAAGCTGAAATTTGATCTTGTGTTGCTTCTTCCGATATTGGAAGATGCAATAAAGTAGGCGAGGTGACGCGTGTAGCATTCCTAGCCGGTAGTGGTGGCGGTGGTGGTGATAAGCGTTTGTGGATAGTAACGAGGCGAGCACGAGTAAAAGAGGGGCTGGCAGGACGGGCTTGGTTCGGATCCTCTGGAATGGTGTGATCTTGAATGCAAAGGGATCCTCGCCGTGGGGAAGAATTCTCTTTTGTTGAAGCTGTAGTGCTCTCTGTTATAGATGAGTTATCAACTTCCAACTGGTAGAGGGACCATGGTGTCTTATCTTTACCATTATGTGACGAGATGCGACTGATTGATGTTAAGGAGACTGTGGGTCGGCTGTCGATGAAGTCGTCTGTCTGGGTGCTTCTGTCGGCACTCGCAGTACTCTGAACGCTGCTCCGCCAGCTGTCCCTCTGAGAGCTGCTTGCACTCAGCCGCGGGAAGCGATGGTCGAATATAGGACTCGTCGGGCTTGGTCGGAATTCAAACATGCCACTACTAGGTATACGTCTCGTTCCGGCTTCTCGGATCACTATGCCTTCTTGTTCTAATGCTTTTACACCAAACGGATCGGGGTCTTTGGGCGCTGGAATACCGAACAAATCCTTTTCAATTTCAGCATCTCCAGGAGCTTCCCCTGGTGGTGGAAGCATGGAATTATCCACATCTTCATCGCCTTGGGCTGCTTTTATCGTCTGCATTAACGTAGTTATCGATTGCGGCGGATGTTTTGCTTTACCCGCCAAAATATCGGCAGCGGAAATTCTCTCGCCATAAAAACGTTCGTTTTCATCGCTTCTCTCGATAATGATGGCCCCGTCTACCTGGCCACCAGCATAAAATCCCCGACTTTTCAGATACATCCACAACGGAGCCTGTCGCTTATGCATTTCGGTTTCCAAAACACCTCCCACACCGACGGGTCCGGCAACAACGCTGACTTCCCCACCAAGTGTACAACGTATAGCTTTGAACCTCTCCAGAGCTTCGCATGTATTTATGATAACCACGCAATCGTAGATATCAACGCCAGTCAGAAATCCAAGCCCGGCTGTATGCAGCATGATTCCCGAAGGCGGACTCCACTCGCCCGTTTCCTTGATCCTTGCGACCAGAATTCCGCTACCTCCAGATCCACTAGGCCAGAGGCCTGTTCTCATTGTTGTAAATATTGCAAGGCCCTTTGCCTGTTTGATCACCGCTGAAGGTATCTTTTGAACAACCCTTGGCTTTCCTCTGGGCTTGCCAATAATCCCCTTGTTTCTACCTTCGGTACCCTTGTATTCTGCCGTCCTATCATCTTTACTTGAGTGCGAACTTGACCCGCTTTGCCTCTCATTCTCATCTTCAACCTCGGTGTAGAATCCGTCCTTACAAAAGCTGCGCAGGATACGGGCCGCCTTTTCGCTTTCCTTGTCTAGCGTCGCAGGCCAGAACGCCTCAGCACCGAGCTTTTTCGAAGAGCGATTTCCCGGTGCGCCAAGCTTATCGACAGTATTCCAGACTTTATCAAACCCTCGCTTTGAATACAATTTCGCTTTCTCCCATTTGGAGTGTGGCATCGTGCCATTCGTTTCTCGTCAGTTGGGACCACCGATAATGAGGTAAGAGCCGGCGATTTCGTCGAACACATCGATTCGGGAACGAAGATGAAGGAGCTCTTATGTGTCGGAGGAAGCCTCAGCAGCAGAGACCCCTCTTGCATTAGGGAAGGCGAAATGCGGGAGAAGGATTGGCCACCCGTTCAGCTCCACTGTGCAGCGAGCTGTCCCTTGACGTCAAGATGCGATGAGAGCGGTTTAGAACAACAAAAAGTTTAAATTGGCCCCGCGTGTGTACTTCACTGTTTAAGCTACTTACATTACGACGTGTGAAAATGACAAAGCGTAGTGCTGCAGATAAAGTACAAAGAGTGAAAAAAGGGAGGAGGCCATCTGTGAGTCAAGTCTTACCAAAAATATGAGGGGGGAGCAGCAGATGGCGGAAATGATCAATTGATAAGAAAAACCTAATGTTTCTTGTTCATTCCAAGTTTGTTATTATTACACGGGGACACGAAGCTTTGTTTCACTGAATTCCCCCCTGAAACAGTTCTTGCTCTGTGAGCACCGTTTAAGATGTCTCTCTACCTGGCTATCTTCTCTCAGGGGTCTGTCGGGAACTGAAAACAACAAATTGCCAGAAGTTGGCGGAAACACATTTGATCCGCCTGAGGGGCAGTCCCGACGGGGATGGAAGGATTGTATGAGCAACATGTCTGTTCCAGTACTTTATTTTTCCTCACGGACGGGCTGAGAATGAGGAGTCGGAGTCCGCAGTTGTAATTACTTTTCAGCCTGTCACCAGAAGTGTGGGACAACTTGGAAGTTGTTCGATCCATAGCGACATCACTGCCCCCACACTACTTCACCAAACACAACCTCTGTTGTTCCAGGTTGATGGAGATCTCCACTCCCGAGGCCCATATACAAACATTGGTTGTCCAGATTTAGGGCTGCCGGAGTCACGTGGGATCGAGTTGAACACCTCAGGTTGTTGAATTTACGGGTTTTACTATTGGGAAACGGAGGAAGAAAGGGATTACTATTTGGAAAGGCAAAAATGGATCCCAAGGATAGCGAAGGTGATTGTCGACGCGAATATGTTAAATGAACAATCAAAGTTTAGAATACCTCGGCCACCTTCTCTGGATTAGAGTCAGACTTCCCGCCGTCCAAGGCATTCAGCCTGGCGCTGAAGAATGTCAGCCCTCAGCCTCGCAAATGCACGTTCAATCCTCAACTTGGACTCCAGGTCTTTCACTAAAGTTCTCCGCGCAGAATAAACGCCACAGAGCAGCCCCGCTTCTCCACCTATAAACAACCCTCCCGCAGCAAAAAGTCCGAACGTCGCAATGTCGCCCAGCAGAGTGGGTCGAAGGAAAGGTGTCAGATCGGGAACCATCTCTTATGATTATACCAAGTTGTCAGCAAGAGCACGTCTAAACCAAAGTAGAAAATGCAAATAATGCCTATCCGCACCTATTCTCCCACTTGCAAACTGCACATGTGTCGGTTTCTCCACGATGCGGAAAGCAGTAAACATGTCCATCCGCACTCGCCGTACTCGATACGCCATGTACATCCCTAGCCCGATGCCAACGAGGGACCCGACCGTAGTGTGTGTTCCAAGCTTGGATACAGCGGAATTCAACCTATCGCAATCGAACGGCTGTAGATCGTGCTCCAGGTGCTCCTCTGCGAGCTTGTTGAGCTCCTGGCGGGTGGTTGCCCCGGAAGACTGCGAGAAAGTCGGGCATTGTTTCTTGCACTTTTTTTTTTTCCTTCTTTTCTCTCTATAGTAACGGCACGGGCATGTGGGTAGTTGGGTAGAACTGGAGCACTTTACACCGGAGCCTTCGAATGGGCATTGCCAGGGGCTGTTTTAACTGTCGATGTTCAGCATGATGTTCTAAACCATAATGCCTGGGAGATTATAAGCTCCCGAGTCGGTGACGTCATAGGGTAGATCAAGAGCTTCCCTTATTCGTTGGCATCGGGAACTACATCCTTGACAAGTCGCTGGTAACTCGAACGGCCTCCCGTATTCTGCCAATCGGTTTAATGTTAATTAATGGGTTGGCCGCTTTACGTTGCTTTTCTGCATTTCCATCCCTGCTATTTGTCTGAGGAATTGCCTCTGGAAGGTATTACGGCCCCCTAAATTACACGATAATGAAAACGCCACTGAACTCGTACACGTCCTTTCGGTGTGAAAAATTGGTATCAGAGACGACAAGGGGCCGAACTTTGACAGAATTGCATGTCGGCTTTAAACGCGTCTCTGGAGGGGAAGACGCAATCACTATTCCATGGACCTCTGGGAGTGCGATAGAAGGAATAACTCCTCCATCCTTTGACCTGACGTTTGCTTTCCGGCTCGGTACCGTCTAGCTGGTTGCCTCCCGAGTATCATGCCACTGGCGTTGCAGGCAATAAATGGAACATAAAAATCTCTAGGGGAACATGATAATTCCTGATCATCACTATCAGTCGATATATGTAAAGGAAATAAAATAAAAATTTATTTAAAAAGATTTTATTGAAATAAATATCTCATGCATTTTTAGTAAATTAAGCTTTCTTCATTTTCTATTAAATAGGAACTTGTTTTGAAACAACAAAAGTGAGACTTGATGTGTATGAATAGAAAAACACCAAGAATAAATAGAGTTTGTAGTAAAAGTATTATTTTTTTTCTCTATATAGAGCTTTAAATACACACTCTTATATATATATATATATTTAATTATTAAAATATAAAGTATATAAGTAAATTAAATAATTACAATTTTTTTCTTAATATTAAATTTAATATTGAATTATATATAAGTTACTTGTTATTATAATCATAATAATTAAAATAATATGTAAATAATATGTAAATAATGCTAGTATTATTTTTAAATAAAACTTTTATATTTATTAAAAATTTAAAGTTAATATTTTTATTATATAATATTTTCTATTGAATATTTTTAAATTAAAGAAGTTAATCTATATTTATTTAATTTTAATTTTAAATTATAAAAACTTTCATATTATAGCTATTAATGTGTTTGCTAGAAAAATAATAAATTAGTTTTAATCTTTTAACTTTTAAGTAATTAATTAATTTAATTTCATAAATTTAATTATTATTGGAACGGCGAAGTCAAACCACGGATTTAACGTCTAGATGGAACGTCAAGATTGAACATCAGACAAATTGAACATGCGAGAGTTTGACTGAAAAGGAAAACTAGGGCATGAAACTAGGGCGCATCTCCACACATCTTTTCCTTATTCTTAGTTCAGCTTTTAAATCTTAGTAAAATGGCACTTACTCTTTTTTCACACCGGTAACCCAGCCATCATAATTATTTTAATTCTTTTTATATAAGTTTAAAATATTTAGTAGTAAACTAACTAGTTAAAAAATCTTAAAATTTTTAAATAATAATTATCAGTAATTAAACTTGGTAAAAATTAAAATTAATTAAAAAGATTTTTATAATAATTAATAAATTAATATACTTATTAATTTTTTAAATAATAATTAGTAGGTAAGTTAATAAGCTTATCTTAATTAGTATGAAGTAAAATTAATTATTTTTGTTATATATTTGCAACTTAAAAGAGCAGATCTAAACTATATATAATAATCTCTTTTTTAAAGCTATTTCCCTATAAGAGCTTGTTTTAATTTTTTTAACTGAGATTTCTACTATATCAAATGATAATTAAAAATAAATAAAAAAGTATTACAAAGCTTTACAGCAGCTTATATATTTAGAATTTAATATTTATTCAAAGCTTGAATGATTAAAAGAAGTCTTTTTTTTAATAGAGAGCTTAATTACTTTGCATTGTTGACATTTTTAATTACTTGATTTTTAATAGAAAGTATCTTATTTGATGACATATTTTACTAGATAATAGAATACATTAGGAGTTACTGTTGATTATAGTTGAAAAAAATTGAATGTGATTGAATCTACTCTTTTAATATCTTGACCAACTCCGGTCAATCTCATATAACTAAAGTAAACAGTCTGCATACTCTGCATATACATTACATATATTATCTCTATTCAACTTTATCACACTCAACACCAGGACTAGGGGTGGATCGGGTTATATATGTTGAAATAAGAATTAAGGGTCTAGGCGATACCCCTACGTCTTCCAACCCGGAGCGGTATTGTTTCCGATGTGACTGGTCGTCGTGATGCAGTTCAGCTGATGATTCTCCCCATACTGGTTGAGCAAGCCATTTATTTTTCTGCACCTGCCAGAGATTTACTTGCAGAGGTGTGTTCTGCCGATTCCTGCCCAAAGATATGCCGAACAAATGTATTATCCGAGGGAGCGCCTCCGGGTGCCAATGTCTGTGCATGAAATTCGGGCGCCTTATAGCAGGAGACACCTTTCGTCCCGAAGGCCACTCAAGGAATTGGGAATTGGGTTGTATTCACAAGATACATTTCCATGGGGTGACGACGAGGAGCGGATGGGTGGAATTCATCCAGATTGTTACTCATTAGAATTGACTTTGTGTGTTGCTATATACATATATTTTGGCCTTGGTAGGTGCAATACTCAACTTTGTCAATGTGAAAGGATTTAGATCAGAAACTCCAGAGCTTGAGATGGAATTTGACGGACACTGAATGTCCAAAGAACACCTCTAGCCATTGACATACCACACCAGCGCTCGCAGCGAAAAATTCCTCTCGCAAAATCTGGAAAAGATAGAAATTCTCGTTGCAAAACGTGACTATTTTATAACCTGTCCAGTTTAAGATGTTGGAATCCCGATCGTTGGTTCCATACAAGAAACATTACATCAGTGATAGTAAGATTTCATACAAGTTGAAATAGATAGATCACGGGTAATCCGTCCCTTAGAGTATTTCATAGATATTTCCTCCAGGATGCTTGGGTATCGCATGGTTTGAGGCAGTCCCATCGCCCTCCGCAATAAGTTTCTTGACCCAATCGATCCCAGAATTCCACCAAATATGGCGGTGCGGCGTCCCGACCAGGTCGATACTGCTGCGGTCCAACGTCCCCACCCCGATATCCATTAGAGTCTCCGACCCCTCCTCTTCGAAAGCCACAAACGATATATTGGTACCACAGCGGGAACAGAACGTGCGCCATACCGATTTTGAAGAAGCATAATGAGTCAAATAAGTGTCCTTGGTGACCTCATTCGGGTACACCAGTTGGTCTCCAGTGAGAATAATTTTCGCGCCGTCTTCCTCTACTCCAACTGCATCGAAGGAAGAATCATTGGACCGACGGAGTAATGAAAATGTGATGAATTCTTGTGGACATATGTTCCAAATCTGAACAGGGACCCCAGAGGCACTTCGGCAGTCGCTACAGTGGTCGAAACATAACAATGGAGCTTTGATATCAGGTTGCCCTGGAGGGTGGTTTGGATTCAGGACCGGCCTCTGCTCATACCCAGGAAATGTGATTATGTAGCGAACAGCAGCACAATGGCAGCCGCCATGAAGAGAAAAAGGCTCACTGGGAGAATGCATGACTTTGGTCGTTGGGATTGATACCAGACGAAAATAGGTTCCGCTGTACCGAAGTTATTCGTTGCTTCAAAGGCTTACAGGGGATGGTGATGGGGATGTGTTGGTCGGTACCGATGTCACCACTCCTTGCGAAGTCTAATCACGAAGCAAGCCCGGGAAAATTGCACGAAGACAATTCGGATATCAGTCAAGGTGGGTTGGTTCACAAAGTCGCGAACTCCAGAGTTCTGATAAGTTAGACAGTTGATCACCCTAAGATTATCTTTTTTCGCCAGTCTAGAGTCAAGACTCGAGGAAAGTGTTTGGTTGATGGGGATTCCAGATGATCAGAGCCCCTCACATGTGATTGATCTTTATCATGCAGAGATAAGCAGTCTGTCTCAATCACTACCACGAGCATCCTACTGATCTTTGTTTGATGTTGTTTAAATTATTGTTCTGCCTAATTAATTGAATTGATGATAGGGTAAAGCTAGTTAGTTAGTAGGAGTTATTACTAATCAAAGCAGAATCAACAGCCCTTTGATGCCTACTCACCGATTGGCAAGACCCACAATCCGAGCACTGATATACCGCTACAATAATGGCTGACAAGCAGTGTAGTTACTTACGCACGCACCGTACGTATTCACGGCACGACTATAGAAAAGTATAAATGCTTGCAGGTTGCATTACCAAGACCAAAGAAGAAATCCAGACTGGATGGTCACCAACGAACATCCATGGATCTCGTGCAGTTTGGCTTCACGTAACTCCCCCCTCAGGAAAGCTTCAATCAATAAAGCCTAAACGCACGCAGTTGGAATGAAGGTGAAATGTCCGCAAATTTGATTGGTGGTTCGTCTGATGATAGTCCTGTTGAAGGGCAATGGTTTTTTGTTGTGCTATTATTAAATGCGGAAATGAAGGCGCCATGGTACCGCTCTTAAAGCTGCACGGCGGAAGAGTCCACTTTGCCGTTTAACTATGTTATTCAGAGATTCCTCCAATCGGGTCCATCCGGAAGCTCCGAAATTTACACAATTGGCAGAGCCGGGTAGTGGCTTCAACTTGCTAAGGACTATTGCAACCTTAGTGCCTGTCAGATTATAGAGCTATAGGTAAAGTAAACTGTCCCATTCTCAAAAAGTTTACCAACCAAGTGCCAAACGCATGTTGCTGTTGTAGCGAGTCGGATAGAAGGGTTAGAGTGTGACGAACGTCAATACCTCCCTAGGGACCTTGGGCTGAGCTGATCCACACGTCAGAAAGCGCCTCGTGGTTGTTGCCGGCAAAGCAATGAAGTTGAAAAGGCGTTGGGATCTAAAATATCAACCCTCTCCACGTGATTTGGCTGGTCCATTCCAGCCCCGCCAAATCTCTGGTTACTCCGATAACGAGCCGATGCACGAAAATGACGACGTTGCTCAGCCATGTTGAATCTGCGCCGTGTGTATCAGGCCAGGAATCCACGACGTGCTCTTAAGTCCGTCAAAGACTCATGGCTTCTGGCGCTTGATAGCAGTTAACTTATCTCTTTCTTTCAGATTTGATTTGATTTGATTTGATTTGATTTGGCAATGCCCCACGCTCCAAAGAGTGGTTAGCGCGGTCAGAGAATCAATCCTTCATTTACGAATGGACGTGTGTCACGGATTTTGACTAAGGAGCCCTGGCCTGTCCTGAGACATCCTTGATGGATGTTGTTCAGCACGTTTTTGTTAGCATTTTTTTCGCTTCGGTTCGGTGCAATCTCGAGGCCGAAATTGAACTGGAATTGCTTGGCCATTTTCAGCTTCTCCCCCATTTCACCAGAAAACGGGAAAAGGCTTTGGGATTTGTCCCGGTTCCCATTTGCTCCATGTTCGCTTTTGCTACAGCTACAGGGAATCCTCCGTACAGGGCTGTGGCTGCGATGTGATGTTGAGTGATTCAGGTAACTCAAAACGATCAGTTTTACCCTATCATTCACATGCACTCATATGGCGGCCGGAATACTAGGCTGTTTTGGAGCTTCCTGAGTCTCGCACACATGCGAGAGCTTCACTGCAGGCAAGTCTTAATGGACTGCATACTCATGCAACTTCACATGTCGTTGTCCTGATAGCCAGGATGCGAACTAAGCTTATCTATGGCTGAGGTCTAAGATAGAGCAATAGTGCAACGGCTCTGGAAGCCTACGACTGTGGCATCTGGACACAGACCATGTAGGGCCATGTTGATAACTAAAGACTACGCCTTTCTAGAACATAGGGGCTTAGACATATAGCATGGCCTTTGCTTGATATTCCCATTGTTAAGCACTATAAGTAAAACATCTGTCCGTTTTTCTTTTTGAAAACAAGCTTCTCACTACAATACATCGACCTCTAGCTGTCTTCGTTGTTTAACAATAGTTTTCTTTTCTTTTCTTTTTTTCTTTTCTCTTTTTTTTTTTTTTTTCCGACAGTCCTCTTTTTTATTGTTAGCAGTCGTCCCCATTCAACTTGTCAATGTCTTCCGTGATTCTATCTGCGCTGATGCGCCGTCAACAGATTAAGGGAGACCTTTGCACATTTGAAATATGCAGCATCGAAAAATCTTACTACGGTTATCGCCCGTCACTTGCGGCTAACACCGTCTTTACTGCGATTTTCGGTGCCTCCTTAATAGCATATGTCCTGCAGAGCTTCTCCTCGAAGAGGTTTTTGGGATTCTCCGTCGCTATGATACTGGGCACTCTCTGCGAGGTATTGGGATATGTTGGCCGCATCCTCATGTACAACAACCCCTGGAAGAGGGTAGGTCAATATTGGAATACACTACGGTAGCCATTTGAGTTTACATAACTCACATTTTCACCACCCTAGGCTCCATTCATGGTTCAAATCTGCTTCCTCACAATCGGCCCGGCCTTCCTCGCTGCTGCTATCTACTTCTGCCTCTCGAGAATTGTCACAACATTTGGCACGTCCAACTCCCGTATTCCATCTGCCTGGTATCCACGAATTTTCATACCCTGCGATATCCTCGCACTTGCACTTCAAGGCACCGGAGGCGGGTTAGCCAGCACTGCCGAGACTGGCAGCAACCAGGCAGACGTTGGCAAAAACATCATGATTGCCGGTGTTGTCTGGCAAGTCGTCGTTCTAGGCGTTTTTATTTTGCTTGCGTTCGACTTCGCTCTCAGAACCTTGCTCCGGATGAAATCAATGGGCGCTAGCGCCCTCGACTCCAAACACGCTGTGCTCCGCGCGTCCTTATCATTCCGCGGCTTTCTTGTTGCCCTCTCATTATCCACTTTCTTCATCTTTGTCAGATGTGTTTATCGTATTGCAGAGCTTTCGGGAGGCTGGGACGGCCACCTTATGAAAGACGAACCCCTATTTATTGCCTTGGAGGGTGTTATGGTGGGACTTGCTGTCCTAGTTCTCAATGCTTTTCACCCAGGGAGATGTTTTAAAGAAACCCCTGACGTTATTGATGAAGAGGGGAAAACCATCAGTCGATGAGATTCTCAGCCAACAGGAGGGCTTTCCACAGAGAGGTTTCATGAAATATAAAGCATGGCGGAGTATTTATTGGATGGTTTGGATTTAAAGACCCTATAGTGGAAGCGAATTACGAATAATTGGCTTGGTTTCTCTTGAATCTGCGGTCGGATATGATCCTTCTTACAGGGTCAAATCCTACTGCTGATGCAATCGAGTTCGGATGAGCGAATTCGAATGAGCAACTTTATCGTTTAAGCGAATAAAAAAGACCTCTCATCATCGTAAGTAGGAAAAACTGCTTATCTTTTAAAAAGAATTTCGCACGGTAAACTTGTGAGGGCCGCCTAATTTGACAGCATCTCAATTTCATGCATGATTGTCTCCCGAAGGAATTTGGATTTGGATTTGGGTTTTTTTTTTTTTTTTTGATGGTATTCTTTCCTTTCAGGGCGTTTATATATGGGCTCTCTGAGCGATGACGTTGTTGCAGTCCATTTTTCCATCTTATGGATTGTTCGGCAAGATTCTTAATGGTACATACTTGGATGTTCAATTACTAAGTTGCTCAATTTGGCGAGAATCTATCTGGAAGCCAGAGACAATTGAATTATCATAGACCACTGCAAAATAGTATTCAAGACAACGACATTTACTAATTCACCGTATACGAACCTGATCCTTAAGATGCCTTTGCAATCAAAGAAAGTATCAGACCAAATCGTCTACCTCTTCCCACGTAGAAATTTAAACTGATATGGCGGAATTCCTGGGAACACATTCAACTACCATGGCTGGGTTTAAAAAAATCACATACGATAGGAGAAGAATTAGAACCCCCTTCTATCAAAATATATCGTTCCGTTCCATCGGTGCTATCTCAGTTTCTATCCCCAACCTCACTAGTTATCGGCATACGCTAGCAGAAAAATTTTAGCGATGCCCTATGGGCCCTGAACAGCAGCTTGTGGAGTAAGTTATTGTTGTAACTACGGCCCAGAATGTCTTTTACATTCCTGTCAACTCCCTTCTGCCTCCCGTGACACCGCACGCAACATCAACTGCCTCTGAGATGGTAATAGTAATAAGTGAGATACATTTGCAAATGACCAAACAACAACCATACAACAGCAACGCAACTAGTTTTCGTGAGCAGGCAGCAAGAATCGAGTCCCATCCTTTGATGACGACAGCCCCGGCCCGGAGCAATAGTTAACTGCCTTTACCATTGGCTTACTTGCATTCATCCACTGCCTTCTTCAGTGGCGTAACTAGTGATAAGTTCCCTGTGAGACGCGCATATGGTCTCAACGTTCACAGCCCCTTCGAGAGGTAACGCCAGTGACCTCTACGTGGCTTTCACCCACTGCCAGACACAGTATCCCTTCTTGTTCCTCAACTCGGCATTGGGCGCCACGTTTCAGCAAAGTATTTGATCATCTCCACTTGTTCTTTGATTGCGGCAAAGTGTATAGGGCTTTTTACTGGCGGCGGCCCTTGCACAGGTAATTTATCTTGACGGAGCGGTTGAACGAGCAAACGCGCAATTTCAAGATTGTTAAACAACGCTGCCACGGCTAATGCCGTCATCCCAGAATCTTCTAGCGGGGAATCAACTGCGCCATTTTGTATTGATCAGGGTTGCCAAAATAGATTGAGTTGGGGGGGGGGGGGATTGCAATCCTTCTCGTATAAGCTACATCTTCCGCCTCTCGTTAGCAGATTAAACTTCGTTCTTCGGGTGTTCTCTCGCGGGGTAAACGAGGATCAACCTTAAGTAACTATGTCACTACCTTGTTGTTTGCTTTTTGAGATAACTAGATATCGATTGTTCTAAGAACTTCCAAAGGTAGTAATTATCCGTTTCCTTCTTGTCTTTTTTTAAAATCTAGCTATCGTTATCCCGCAACTAATTTTGATGCTGGCAGGCCCAGGGAATTCCCGATTGATGTCCTTCTCTGAGCACTTGTTGAGGCGTGGGACGTTTCGAAGAGATCAACAGGATCATGCGCCCGATTGACCGGGCCGCCACTGAATTCAAGCAAGTTTGGTTGTCGTCTGTTAGATAATTTCCTGCTCAATCGAGGAGATGAAATTACCCAGAGAGAGAAGGGGGAGGCACAGTATTGTACATGTACACACATACATACATACATACACAGTTAGGAAGCCAGATATGTAAGTGGATCACACCGCTTGTCTTCTCCGGTTTATTGATTCTTTCCGTAACTATCATTCAACCTCTCCGTAATCGTTCAACTGCTTGTTCGTCAGGTTAGGCTTTCAGATCTGACCAGTTCAATCACTTGTTACGGCTAGTAGGGGACCAATTCAGTGATGGCCTAGTTACATGCTGTTACGTATGGCTGCTGTTAAACATCAAAACGGTCAGTTACAGTGTGCTCGCTTTCGCAAGAAAATTTCTTCCTCGCAGAACATCATGCCCGTAAACATACAAACAAACTAATCTACGAACCAACTGACCACTAATGGCGTCCAGGATGTCTGCACAGTATGGTAAGTATTCAAAACAGGACTCCGGTATGAGAAGCGTTGAAATAGTCTTGGGTGAGCCGATGCTTTCTCGATATTTATCTGTCTTCATCACTGCCAATAATAACTAATAGCCTCACATTTGGTAACTATGACTTATCTTCGATGACACACTGGCCCCCACTTGCTAGATAACTACATGCTTTTTGACCCGTGCCAAAGTGTTAGGTTGGAAAGCCAGCTCTCCTGGATAGGATCAGCGTTAGCTCCCGAGGCTTCACCAAAACTTAGTTATGAACAAATATTTAGTCACAAGGTATTGCCAAGATTGCCTTGACATATTGTCTGGTTGAAGCGTTCGATTGTTCCCAAGAACCATTAGTCGTTCAACGTGAACTAAACGGAGCATCGTTGGTCGAACATCAGAACCTACCCACAAAAAAATGAAACCAAGTTAAGAGCAATGGTAGCAAAAATATGCCATATTCTCGTACCAGCAGACTTCAGCCCGATGATCCTGTCCAGTGAGAGAGATTTGCCTGTAGACTTTTCAAACAATCAACCCCATTACTAAATGCATGCAACGGGTATGGTTTATTTTATTTTATTTTATTTTTTAAAATTAGATATGCGTTGGTTAGTTGCCTACATAGTACAGCAGAAAGTGTATCGTGCAGAAGTTGTTCAGTGGCCTGGAGTTGCCACATAAGGGTGAGGAAAATTACAATGTGATGATTACTTTTGCCAAAACACAGAGGAAGACAAGAGAATGAATGAATGCAATAAAGGATCCGTAAAATAATTACTTGGCCAATCTCCTGGTATCCATAGATAGCAATTTTCCTAGGCAGAACTTCGATCGGTATGGAACATAAATAAAAGTCTCATTACTTTAGCGATTAGTTAACTCTAGCTGAGTAATGGGTTTTGTAGAGCGGAAATTCGTGTAAGTAAAGAACGGGAAGAAAGTGAAGGAAATACAGTAGTTAACTCTAAACGCGGGAAAATGGACAGGTACCAGATGAACAGAAAACCATAAACATGCAGTTGTAAACAATTGAGAGAAAACAAGATCATAAACAACCATAATACAGAATTGATGCGCAGGAACAGTCTTTCAAATATTAGTGAATGGATCCGGTCCCGAATGCTTCGAACATAAACCAAGAAAAATAATAAAACAATGGCGAAAAGGAAATGGGGGGAAAAAAAAGGAGAAAAAAGAAAAAAGAAAAGAAAAAAAAAAGAAGGCGAAAAGGAAGAATCTCGACAGGGATGGAAAATCTGAAAAATCCCGAGTCTGTGGGTGGAATCACAAACAAACAGAAATAAGAAAAGAAAAGAAAAGATGAAGTAGAAGAATAGAAGAAGAAGAAGAAGAAGGGATACAGGTCTTAAATCTAGGCGAAAAGAATCAAATAAGAGAAAAAGAAAAACTGATCTCTTGCATGGAAGAAGGACCCTGTCTGCAGAATCAGCCAGCCTCATGCCGCAACCCACCAATGATATTGGCTTCGTCATTCACCATTTCACGACACGTTGTGGGAAAAATTCATCAATTAGGTCGAGGTAATACGGCTAAAGGGTTGGATATTTGTTAGTAATTTATGGTTGATTATCCTTTGTTTACTGAAGGGGGAAACTGCGCCGAATCTAAGAATTTATGCACCGAAATCCTATTGAGAGGGGGGGGGGAAAAAAGGAAAAAGGGGAGGGAAAAAACCGTACCTTAAGATCTTCAATATTGGGAACCTCATCTGTTTTGCTATAAAGATCGTACGGATTGAAAGCCTTGACTGCCTCAAGCATACGGTGGTCATCTTCGTTCATCAGGTGTCGATATGCACCTGCAGAATGCCAGGGGTAAAAAGAGTGATAGCGAATCATAGCCAACGCCTCCCTAGGAAGAGTTGATTGAGATTTCACGACGTTATACAGGTACTCATCATGCCCCCACGAGAGCATGATATTGTCAAGGCCACAGTTAGGGTAATAAATGCCGAATTTCGAGCCATAAATTTCGTTTCCAAAATCGGGATTGTTGGCAAACGTGCCCGGGAAGATGATTCGCTCGTCAAAGGCGCATCCAACAGGGAATGTATCTCCAACCACATCCCATTGACCTTGCGCATCAAAGAAAAAAAGTAGCTTCCCCAAATCATGAATCAAACCCGTTAGTTGCATCCATCGTGGTTTTCCGTCACGTCTGATGGCTTCAGCTGATTGGAGAAGATGTCCAATTTGAGAGAGGGATGTATCCGGGTCGGACTCGTCGATCAGTGTGTCGAGTTTCTCAATTGCTTCCCAGACTGTCATCTCTGCCCGTACTTTAAACCGGAGTTCATTCCGAACTTTCAGATTGTAAGCAACCGTTTGCTTTTCATGTTGCTCTTGATAAAATGTTTTCACCCTGTCACATGCCGTCTCGTATTGTCGGAACTTGGACTTGTCCTTGTCTGCTCCAAATTTAGGCTCGTCGTACGCAGTGGTCTCTTGGAGTTCTGACTTCAGGACATTGACAGTGTCAATACCATCTGACACCTTTTCCAGGGAAGCACCATCGCGCTTAATATCGACTGTGGAGCCATTGGGCGTTGAAAGTATCATAGTGGTCGAGGGATAGGTTGACCGTTAGGAGGCAAGTAATGAAACTAGGTGAATCAACTTCACGAGGTTGAGGTGCGTAGAAGAAGAATGCAGGGAGTAGTAACGCAGAAGAATGAAACTCGTAAAGGAACTGTAGCAAGTTTGTTAATGCGAAGAAGCATCAGAAAGCGTGGTCTAAGAGGAGATATGAGGGTATATATACACCTATGTACGTTTGTCTAAAAAGCAATGCAGGTAACATTGAGGAGAATGGAAGAAATGCCAATTGACAGCAAAGCATTAATCTGCAAACACAGACAGCGAAAGATAAACTTAAGCCAAGTTTCGAAAAAGCGGCTGCCCTTTCGTTGAAATATCTTTTTGCACGCTTCGTTGCAGACAGACCCTGCATCATTTCTTAACTTATTGCGCCGCAACCAAGTTGTACTGCCAATGAAACTTCAAGATAATCCACGTCAAAAAGGCACTGGTGATGAAGGAGAGTTGGAAAAGGAATATAATAGGGGAAAAAAATGGAGAAAGAAAAATTAAAGAAATTTCAGATAAATCTTTGTTTTAGGTTCATCTTGGTAGATCATGGCAGATCCAGGAACAGTGTCAAACTGTGACGATTATCGAAGAATGCACCGAAGCTCTGAGAATGTTACCCTGGCAAATAATAGTGCAGATATAAAAAGCTTTTTCTTCGAAAACAGTGCTGATCGCGGATAGCGACATAAAGGACTACACAGCTTTGTTCTCCCGCAGGCATCCTGCATGAAAAACGGCCGAAATGCATGCAGGGACGTTGGGCATAGGTAAATATTTAGTTACCGCCTTAATTGATATTCGAGAGTCATGGGATTCCATCAAACTATTATACTTTGGGCCGGATAACTGTTTTTTTTTCTCTTTATGATCAACTAATGGCACCAAATTTGACTCGTTAACTTCGTGAAGCCGTTGGTAAGCGCAGGGAAAGAGCGGTAAGTCTGTTAACCGTCACACAGATGTACCCGAGATTTCAACAATGTGTGCGAGATAAGTTACATATATCGAGGGCTAAAGGGTCCGTATGTATCGCAAAACCGGGATGGACACCGCAGCATTCCGCATATTATTCATTGGACGGTAACGTGGCTCGGGCTCTTGGCTGTTGCGCTGGAGAGATCGGGACCATACTTTCTCAGATAACAAAGACACCCACGGGCCACCAATGCCATCCCGGACAAAGCAACAAATTTAGGTAGACGGTGTAAGAGATTTATTTTGTTTCCAAATGACGCCCGGCATATCGGGAGCAGATCCGGTCAGGGGGAAAAGAGCACTCCATGGCAAAGATTTGATATCGGCAGGGCGAAAATCCATGCAGGACGGCGGGATGCGTGGCTAAATGTATTCTGGCAATTCAAATAGATCATGATCCCGAAAATTGAGGCACCTCAAACGCAAAAGTCTCTCTGGTGCATTAAATCATTTTTGACCTTTGCGCATCCTGCGATCACTGTCAAACGTAACCAGTTTGTAAAATATTTGTCGGGACCCGAAAGGCGTTACCCTGCCCGTCGATATTGGTCATTCTCGAGAAGTCTGCAACCATATTGATTTTGTCTCACTTTGCACAGCTTCTTATTCTCTCCCACTTCAGGAACACGTTATAGAACTTCGAGACTGCGACAGTAGACAGGCCCATTCAAAAACCACTTACCAACATGCATGTCAACCTACCTCCCTCCTCCCCAAAGTAAACTTTGAATCCCTCCTAAAACTTCTTCCTAACGGTAATCCCTTAGCCAGCGCCATTAAAAGCCCAATTCAATTTGGCGTATAGTTTTTTTTTTTTTCTTTTTTTTCCCCCCCTCTCTCTCTCTCTCTCAATATACGATGGTAAAAACCACTCCCGGCCATCATCCCAGTGTCGACCTGCACACATGCCCTCATAGCTGGTGGGTCCTCTATCAACAACATCTTCGGCAACAGGGATTATTCCAACAAGTTTCTCTTGGATTGGGAGGAGTGAAGTTTTCGAATGCCCTGGGTCTTCACCAAGTGAGTAATTAATAGATCGTGGCGTTGGAAAAAGCCGAACCATTCTTGTAGGTGTTGCCGGATTTGGCACACGGATTTTACCACGCGCAAGGTGTTTGGTAACTATGTCAATGGTGGTGTCATCATGGGAATACAGTAAGCTGCTGCAATAAGAGATTGGTAACGTCGCTCAGATCTCCAACGTTTGCAGTTATCCTAATTTGAATTTTCTAACGATCCCGGTAGGATAGATAATTTGCGGGGCGGAGAGGAGCAGAGATGTCATCATTTTGTTGTCCCTTTGTGTATCAAAATCCAGCCGTTTGACGTTCCGATATTGGTAGTTTGTAGGAAGAGGCAATCGATTTTGCCCTTCTGGAAAAAATCATCAAAATCCGCTTTGTTTAGATCTCCTAGCTGCTCAGCGTAGAATTCGCGAAGCTGCTCTCACTGGATGGAGAGGGATGTTGTAGAAATAGTTGGTGCATTTTATGCCCATGTGGCTGGCTTAATATGCTATTTCATGAAGTGCGTATCATAGTTGTCTGACGAAGAACCCCAGGGAGTATCTTCAGTTGGCCGGCGCATTGGAAAAATGGAGGTGATATTAAGATATTAAGTATACCTGGTTGACGTGCTCTGAGGTAAACCAGGCCCCAGAAGGGAGAGGTGGCAGATATTGGCGCTCTGAAGAAACCAACCTGCCAATAACGACAAGATCAGGGATAACGAATGAGATACCACTGCAACTAGATGGTTCCTTACTCACATCAATATCTCCGCGACTCGCCACTGTTGACTTCTAGGGAGTATAGCTCATGATACTCCGCAAATAGCGAAGCCATGACTCTCCGCATTGCTACCGCTGCGAGGACCAGGTCAGGGCTAAATAATTCACGGGCATGTCCTGTAATATCAACAACCATCCTCAACCTTGGGAGATTAATGAGCCGGAACTCGAGGATAGCAAGAACCGAACCGGCCGCGTGTGACTGTTTGCCAACTTGCGTAAGTTTTGACCATGTTTCACCCGACAATCCCCTTCCCCGCAGTCGAGGCACGCTCAAGAAAATAATGGTGACTTTCTTGAACAGTCCCCAGTTGATGGCACTTTGGCAAAGACTGAATGAAATTCAGTCAACGGATGTTTGTTTCCCTTGAATGTGCTTGTTCTGTGTACTTGTACTGTCGAAATACCTACGATGCCTCGCTCGATCAAGCTAGGAACGGGATGCATGGTTGATGTTGACAAGGCTGGACAAAGGGGATTGTTGCCCTTGCATGATTGTAATTATTGCTTTAGTTCAAATGGTGTTTCCGAGCATTTGGAGGCCTGATGAACGCGCAGCTTCTCACCGGAACAACGCTGAAGCATAACTAACTCTCGGATCGTCTCACCAGCCGACTCTGTGGGAAATATCAAGCGCCATCCTATGCTAAGTTACAACCAAACGAACCGTCCTTCGCTGTAGGCCCCTTCGACCCCAAGGGCTGCTTTTGCTGGTTAATTAATTTCATGTCTTTGGACTGCCGGGACAAAAAATACCTCCTGGACTATCACTGCCTATCACCGCAGCTTGTGTGTTCCTATCATTGTTTCTTAACGTGTGAGACGTCAAAGGCATTAGTTATAATTGTAACTTGGCCTTCATTCCAAACATAAGAACACCAACGACTGTACTAACAAGTATTATTCCTATAATTTTTTTTTAATTTATTTATTTGCTTTTCTAGTTTATTTATTTTCGAGCTGGTATACCCAGTTCGTTGCTTTTGGGCCAAGGTCATCCCTCGCAAAGGATTTAGCCGTTGGAATTTCAACTCGGGCCCTTTTACGAGCAAAGAGCATACGGTTGTTACGGTATGCTTCTCTACTTCGATGACTCGTTAGAAACCGGGCACGTTGCTGATGATTTCTTTTCGCAGCTTGTGGCCAAGTAGGTATAACATGAGAGCTCTGCCATATCCATGAGGTAAAATGTTATCTACATGAGGGCCAACCTACTGAACAATAACAGCGTTTTCATGCCATAGGCATACAGTAACTAACTATCGATTCGCTTCTCGCACACAAGGAAAAACGTCAGAACTCTTCATCTCACGAATAGATTTGTCCCTTCTGGTCTAGAGTACTGCTCATATTTCAATGTCGACATGGGCTGGGAATTCCAATTGCTCTTTACTCTGAGTAGTCAACCTATTGGTATATCTCTAGCGGAGCTGTTCCGCCCGGCTCTGTGTTTGATAAAGTGCTTTCACTCGCCTGTATACGCTAGAAGATTGCCTTTTCGACCTTTGCAGTCCATCTGCCATGATGTGGCCGGCTGTCTCTTCGAATTGTTCTCTTCTGGGATTGTCTAGGGTAAGGAAGTATACAATTCCACTGGGAGAAACGGAACCTGTGCTGAAGACTTTCTCTGGGGTGTAACCGTCTCCAAGGGATGTTCAGACTATATATACTCGTCAATCTCAGCGACAATGGCCCCTGCTGACCAAATCAACTACACAGTTCTCCCTATTTGGAGCTACTCCACTAAGTTTTTTCCTCTTGGGGCGATTGTTGATTTGGCATTTACCTTCTGTATCCGCTGTCATTGGCCTGGATGATGGCAAAATTGCAGCTGCATTACATCTGCTGTATTAGACACTGGGCTTGTGATTGCAACCATAGTCACCCTTTTTGTGACCACTTCACCCAATGTCGAATTTCCCAGTGGGTGGAGAATAGGGCACCCATATTGATGAAACTTTGGTAAGAGAGTTTGTTCTCAGTTTTCATTGAAGGAACTCCGTAAGTGAGGCAGGCTATCTAGAAGAACTAGAGAAAAAGTTGATCAATTCCAGTAATTAGTTCGGGGCTTTGTTTGGGAATCGTCTATACCTATGATTACTCATCATGGGAAACTTACTGCTGATCGTTAGGCGCTGGCTCTAAACCTATTATGGTCGGAAGTGTGGCCAAGATGCAAACGTCACAAACTTCGCCAGCAGTTCCAACCATAGTTCCCCAAGTTCCAACATCAATCTTTCCTGTTGTCGTCAACGTCGGCAGATGCGCAAGTGATAACCATGGATGGATTTGACGAAGAAACATTTAAAAAGTTCTTCCCCAGTGGTTTTGGGAAGCGGGACAAGTCGACTAATATAGCAGCACAGATTGATCGGACCAAACGAGTCGAAGCCAGGTCAAAGTCGCCAGCGGTGCTTGGGGAGAAACCCTTAGTGGGCCTCCTTGATGATAATGATGTACAGAAAACGGGACCTAGAATTGACAAGGGTGATTCAAAACAAGAAGAACATTTAACTTCAGACGCAGACTCAGATAGTTCGGATGAATCTGATGAAGATGAATTCCCGACTTCACACGACCTTACTCTCAAGACACATGACCGCGCTGTGACGACAATCACCCTTGATCCCTCCGGGTCGCGGATGATAACTGGCTCCACAGACTGTACGATAAAGCTTCATGATTTCGCCTCTATGACACCCACCACTCTCCGCGCATTCAAATCGGTGGAACCGTCAGCTAAGAAGCAGTCCGCGGCTTCGGAAATCCATCCGGTCCACGTTGCCAGATTCAACCCACTTTATCCGAGCCAAGTGTTAGTCATTTCCGCGACCCCGCAAGCCAAAATCTTGGATCGCGATGGCGATACGATTGTGGAATTTGCCAAGGGTGACATGTACCTTCGAGATATGCGCAATACCAAGGGGCACATTTCTGAAATCACGAGCGGGACGTGGAGCCCTTCAGACTATAATCTGTGTGTTACGGCGGGGACGGATAGCACGTTGCGGATATGGGATGTCAATTTGGGGAGGTCACAGAAGGAAGTTATTGTGCATCAGTCTAGAGCCGCCGGGTCGGCGGGCAGAACTCGAATGACCGCGGTAGCTTGGGGCACCCCAGTGCAGGGGGGGAATAATGTTCTTGTCGCCAGTGCACTTGATGGAAGTCTAGTGATGTGGGGTGGCAATGGGCCGTTTACGAGGCCAAGCGCTCAGATTCAAGGTGCCCATACGAAAGATACTTGGACAAGTGGTCTGGATATCAGTCCCGATGGCAGATTGGTTGTCACTAGAGGTGGTGACGACACCATCAAACTGTGGGATACGAGAAAATTTAAAAACCCCATCACAACAGTACCGCATACGTCTGGGTCTAAATATTCTCAAAACGCAAATATCATGTTCTCTCCTAGTGGGGCAAATATCGTCGCAGGTAGTGAAACTGGGGACCTGCACATCCTGAATCCCGCAACACTAAAACCTGAGCTTTCCACATCCGTGACGCCAGGCTCTCCGCTTATTGCCGTCCTTTGGCACGAGAAGCTGAACCAAATTATTGCGGGCTCTGCAAATGGAGAAACCCACGTGCTATATAACCCATCACTCTCCCACAACGGTGCTGTACTCGTCATGTCCAAAGCCCCTAAGCGGAGACACGTCGACGACGACCCAAATTTCACCACGGACCTATCCCTCGGCCTATCCGCAGACAGCACAACTGGCCAAATCACCTCAGGTGCCTCCTTCTCCAGTCGACATCCAACAATCGGACTCACTGCCTCAGGACGGTCTAGGGATCCTCGTCGGCCGCATCTGCCCAGTAAGACCCCTTTTGCCAATAGCCAGCCGGACGAAAAACATATAAAGGAAAACATCCCACTCAGCTCGATGAGAGACGAGGACCCACGAGCAGCACTGCTGAAATATGCAGAGCAAGCGGAGAAGGAACCAGTGTTTACGAAAGTATGGCAGGAAACACAGCCTAAGCCCATTTTTGCGGAGTTAAGTGAGGAAGAGGACGAAGGGGAGAAACCCGAGCGGAAGCGTGCGAGGCGTGATTAGAAGGATGACAATTTATTTTATTTTATTTTTTTTTTGTTACCAGATAGATTTTACGGCGACAGGCGTTTCTTTTCTTCATGTGCATCATGATGATATATGGTTTTATCACTCCTTTGGTTTACGGTCTGGTGGATGGTATGCACATTGCCAATGATGGATGCATTTTCACTTGAAAACAAGATACCCGCTTCAATGAAAAAATTACTGTTTCAATTTGTTGAGAGCAGGTTCTCAGATTAGCCGTAGATTTATTAACATATGTGAGCTTTGCTGACGTGCATTGAGATCATTTCAACAACATATTGTTTTATTTGAATGTAATTAAAAAATATTATTCAATAGATAGAGTAGACCATATTAAAACTTATATTTCATTCAAAAAACCGAGATGATAACTAAATTGAGCAGATTAAAATATGGAAGAGAGAAAATTTAATTGTTTGAATTAAGAGTAGTCTGATGAACTTCATGTTCATTAGCAATAGTAGTGATTTGCACCTTTCTGAGAGAGGATTTCAGCTAATTACTGTGAGCTTGATATTCATTATTAACATGGTAGTGAGGCTAGAAGTTTGAGGGAATGCATTGTAGGGAAAAATTTGTTGCATGTAGTTGGTGGTCTGTCACGTTATCTAGTTAAGTAAATCAATCAGAGGATGGATGAGCCTCGTCTTAACCCGCCGCCAACTCTTCAAGGCTGGGAACTCTTCGGAACAACCACAAGCCTCCCATCAAGCATAGGGTCAAGTGGGAATTATAGAACCCAACGGACTCAAGAAAACCATCGTTCATTCGTCCATGACAAAGCAGCCATAAGCAAGAAGCCAATCGGAGATGGCTGCTTAGTTAAGAAGAAAAGTTGGCTTAAATATCTCAACCTCCGCCCTTCGGCCTCTACATCGTCGTATTCATCCTTGCACTTCCACAGCTTTCATCCTACTGTCGTCGTCGAGTAACAGTACAGGATAATGTTTCCTACGTTGCATATGGTAGCTAGGAATCTTCGAACTTACCAATGAAGGCGAAAATAATTGCACAAACACCGTACAGCTCACACGAACGCCGCTATTCACAACTTCCAACTATCCCAGACTGCCAGCTAATGGCTGGGTGGAGATTTCTGTGGTAATCGTCGTGATCAGCTCTCTAGCCAATCTCGATATTGCAGACGTAACAAATGCAAAGTTCTCCCTGGGGAAAGGGGTAAAGCGATCACGACACAGTCCAGGTGGAAAGACCGGGGCTTCAGCTCGAAAAGAAGCTGGGGAAGGGTTCGAGGGGTATAGTTGATATATCTTGCCTCTCGGTTCAGTTTCCTCTTGTCCCAAGTCCTCAGGTCCTGAATATCAGAAAGGGGGCGAGATGGTAAGAGCCAGGGTGCTGATAACCTGCGTCTCCAGCCTTCTCTTCCGCGTTGCCTTCTCTAAGCCGCTATCTCCGCCTGCGATTAATATATCCCGAAGTGGAAATGGTGGGAATGATGGTGGAGATAATGCGGGTGATGGCAGCGGCAACGGTGGCGGCGATGCTATAAGAGAATGGTCGTCTACGATAGGCATTGTTACGGCCATCATTGGCAACATTTTGATCTCCTTCGCATTGAATATCCAACGCTACGCACATATAAGGATTGAGAGGGAATATGACCACAGCCGCCAACGGAATGGATGGAAAAGAACCGTTTCTAGAACTGGGCAAACAGAAACGTTATCTTCGAGTGATTATGACATGCTCACGAACGGAGCGGAGGGCGGGGTTACGGATGTCCAAGGACACATGGACGCTTCTCCGGCAGACACAAATGGCAGAAGGCACAGGAACTCTGAGGAAATATCAAGATTAGGATTCCGTCAATACACGGACGAGGAAGATGGAGGGGAGATGAGCAATTCGTTCGATGATGGCAACCAACGTCCTGACACGCTACAGCAGTCATTTATTTCAGACCGGACTTTAACTCCCATGGAGAAGAGCCAAATTTCCAATGAACGAAAATCATACCTTAAATCACCTTATTGGTGGGCGGGAATAGTCTTGATGGCTATTGGTGAGGCTGGCAATTTCCTAGCTTATGGATTTGCGCCCGCGTCCATTGTCTCACCCCTAGGAGTTGTCGCTTTGATATCAAACTGTATCATTGCACCATTCATGCTCAAGGAGACTTTCCGTCGACGAGATCTGCTAGGTGTTCTAGTTGCTGTTGCCGGCGCAGTAACTATTGTATTCAGCGCAAAAACCTCAGAATCCAAAATAGGTCCCGACGAGATCTGGGACATGATAACGACTTGGGAGTTTGAATTATATCTTGGAGTTACTGTTGCGCTAATTCTTGCATTGATGTGTGCCAGTCAGAGATATGGAAGGAAGTCCATCTTGATCGACCTGGGGTTGGTTGGATTGTTTGGTAAGTATCCAGAAGCCTGCTCTACATGGCGATGAATATCCTCGCAGCTAACAATCTCATTAGGAGGATATACTGCCCTTTCGACGAAAGGAGTCGCCTCTCTCCTTTCCTTTACCCTGTGGCACGTCATAACTTTCCCCATCACATACGCCCTGGTGGCTGTCCTTGCCTTCAGTGCCCTGATGCAGATTCGATACATCAATCGAGCTCTGCAAAGATTCGATTCTACTCAGGTTATTCCTACCCAGTTTGTGTTATTTACCATTTCGGTGATTGTCGGAAGCGCTGTCCTTTACCGAGATTTCGAGTCCACGAGTCCCGAGCGGGCAGCAAAGTTTATCGGTGGCTGCGCGCTCACCTTCCTAGGAGTCTATTTTATTACTAGTGGGAGGACTCGAATCGATGACTCTGATTCTGAATCAGATGAAGAGGAGGCGATTTACCTTGTTAATGGGGAGCGTTACCGAGATAGTGTTGATTGGCAACGGGAAGGAAGTCAAAACCATCCGGAATGGACATTGGATGGAGCCATCGGCGTTGCCGCTCAGGCTGCTGACTCTCGTCCCGGCTCACTTTTTAGTGATGAGAATGGTGATGAAGAAGACGACGGCGACGGGGTACAAACCCCAAGGGCTCCACTGTCTAGTGGTCCCCCTAGTGGTCCCCCTTCTTCGGTGCCATCTATTTCTTCTGGTGAGTGCTCATTATCGCCGTCTGGAGAAATCAGTCCCCAGCCGGTTACCGAAAATCCATGGGCAACAACCCCTGAAGGTCGCGGCGAAGTTGCTGGAGCCGTCAGACCTCAAGCACTTCCTCAATTACACCCTACGACGCAAGTCCTTTTCCAATTTCCTTCTGCGCCAGGGTTGGTTGAATTCGACATCGGTGCTACCCAACACCAAAACCGCTCACACACTCCGTTGCCAAGTACTTCGCCAAATCCGAAAACATCTACAACAGGTCGTCGATTAACATTCTCTCGATCATCGAACATGGAATTACGCAATTCATTCTCCCGACATTTCGCACCCGGGCCACTTCTGACACCCCTCTCAGGAACCCTAAGCGCTGTAGTTGCAGATTCACTTCTGAGAGGGGAAGGCTCCCCACGTAGCCATCGGGAACGAACTTCGTCCAAGAAACGAAAGGGCAAAAATCGAGCATCAGTCCCCTTTGCAATTGGTGAGAGTGCAACAAATGGCCATGTCCAGGACGAAAATCCTCTAGAAAGCGAATACGAAACCGACACCAGCAATACTGGAGCTGAAGGCGACCGACTGCCTTGTAGAGAACATCATCAAAAGTTTCCCCTCCCGGGTTTAAACATCACGGACAGGGCCATTGCACAAGAAGCAGTTCCAACACTAGACCCATCACCATTACAAAAGAAGAAAGATAGCCCACGGACCCGTAGTCTTAATGATTCATTGAGTGGCGGTCTGGGGTGGCTAAATGCCAGCATCCGAGGGAGTCCGACGAAGAAGAAAAGAAAGGCTGGTCCTTCAACGACTGGTAGTCCTGGTGATGATGGAGGGGGAAACGCTAGGTCATCAAGAAGCTGAACACCCCTATCCCCTTTCAACCAAAAACATTCTCCTCTCTCGCGCAAAAATGTGGGGGAAATGGATGAATATATTATAGACGTGTAACACATGACCAGGATGGCCCAGTACACAAATTCTTCTCTGCCGGGTGAGCCTTGTTAGTGACTTCCTACTGGTTTATGTGTTTTATAGGGATGATTCGCTTATATACAATTTCCTTTGGTCCTTTCTGATCGTCCTTCAATTAATTCACTCAACTCTACTTTTGGCGTATGGCATGCATACATCGGGGGCGCAAATTTATCTTGTGTTTTTCAATTGATTTCTGTCTTAATCTCTCTCTCTCTCTCTCTCTCTCTCTCTCTCTCTCTCTTCTTACCCCATGTTTCATTGTGAGATACACCTTTTAATTTTTCCTATTTTACGTCTATTCATACCTCTCTCAGCACAAACAATTGTTTTGTTTTGAATACTCCATACCCATAAGTCTCTGGAAGGGCAGCGAAGGGGAGATATAGCTGCAAATCTGTACAAAACATCAAGCATCAGTAGCACAACTGTTCTTTTACACTTATTCGATAAACTCTTACCATTTCGTATATAGTCTACTCATCCTATTTCACAATTTAAAAGGCTGAAGCTCATCTTGCATAATTCTTTTCCATCAGTGGCGTTTGGATCGGGGATTTTTTTTTTTTTTTGGATAAATATTTATAGCCCCATTGTAACATCTTTCATCCTCATGCGAATGTATATTTTTCTTAGTTTTAAAATTGAAATGGGACTCCGAAAGACCTTTACAAAATCCTCAGAGTGTCATTATTCATGAAAGCTATATAGAAATGGCATGAGGATCATCAAAGTATCGAATCTTTTTCTGGGGTACAGAGGGATCTTCATCTTCAGTCACCTGCAACAGACTTACGCTCAACCCAGAATCATCAGTAACATAAATCCTAATCATCAAGCAAGATTTTGGCGTTCTTATTATTGCTCACCCCCTTTCCCTTCAGCAGAACCAATGCCACCGCCGTCACCGGCACGACTTGTAACTTGCGCTACATCCGCGACCTCAGGACTAGGAGTGGCAGTAACCACCTTCCCCATATCTGTACGTGTCCCTTTCCCGGCTCCATTAGTACCTCCATTCCCATTCCCATTCCCTTCCCTCCGCACCCTAGCCCCTTCTTTCAATTTCTCCCACCGATCCCTATACCTCCCCACTACATCTCTCAGCTTCTCATTCTCACGCCCCACACGCTGCAGCTCCTTTTCCCCACGACGAAGCAACTCTTCCAGCTCCTTTAGTCGTGCCTCATTAGCATCAGAGCTAGATGGTAGCGATTCCCCCGAAACGACGCGTTCCTGTGTTGGTACTGGTGCTGCCCCTGCTGCTGGCGCTGGCGATGATTGTATCCCATGAAGACGCGGTTCATGTGGTACAGCTGAGGATGTGGGAGAGAGCTGCCGTCCAGGGGAAGAGGTGGGTTGGTGCTGCATTGCCTTCAGAGATTGTTGTAATGCCAAGGATGACGACTGCGCATTGACTTCCCACATATGCAGCCGTTTGGAGAGCGTGTCCGACAGGTGTTTCAGCGCTTGGTTTTCCATTTGTAGTTCTTCCATTGTCTTTGTGTTTGGCTGCGTTGCGCCTGATGCTCTGCTCCGTGCTGCTCGTTTTCCGCCCTTGTCTCCTGCTACGGGAAGCAAAGATTCAGGGGTTGGAGGGTTCTCGCGGGCATCAACGAAATCGTCATCGCGGCTGCTGTCTAGGCTGTGTCTGCGGGCTTCCTTTTCGGCTCGAGAGAGAATGCCTGCGTAGGATATCGTTCCACCAGCGGTTGGGACGACGTAGAATGATTCCACCGGGTTTGGCTGGCCGAGTAATCCGTTCAGGCCATCCTTATCTCTGATAGCACGCAGTGCAGCTTTTGAAACTAACCTATTCACATCTGGTTGGTTTGTAAGATAGCTGGGAATATCTGCAGATGCTGGGTTCCGGTCAACTTGGGGATCTGCTGCAGATTTCTGGGTAGAAGTGTCAATGCCAAGGGGTAGACTAGCAAAGGTAAGCGGACCTGAAAGTTTCGATATGAGACCTTCAAATGTCGAATAAAACCGCTGGAATGGCTCATCTGTTGAGAATCCAAACCCAAGTTTAGATGTTAAGGCGTCACTTGGTGCTGGTGGGTTGATCTGCTGCCCCGTAATATCTGCGGGACTCATCCCAGTTGGAGTCCAAGATGGTTTCTGTTTGGATGCTAAGCTTGGACGAGCCTTTAACTCGGTGTCTAGGGAATCGAGGCTTGCTCCATCATGGCTCATCTGCACTGGAGCACCAGCCATTTTGGCCCCAGCATTCTGAGTCGATACAGCGGGTGATGCAGGACTACCTCGAGCAGGATGAGAGGGAATACCACGAGCCGATGCTAAATTGCTTGCTATAGAAGTAGTGTCGCGTTGCACAGGTCTATGCTGAGCAGGGAGACGAGGGGGTGGATTTACGTTTTCTACATAGGAAAACGGAGCCGATGTCTCTCTTCTACCAAGGCTTGGCAAGTCTGACTTGGGAGGTTGGGTTGTTGAAGGCACCGAGAGTACATTTGCACGTTCAGGAGAAGCCTCCGCAGGGTGCTCATGTTGAAATCTAAGGATCTCTGCAAGCCGTTTATGATGTTTTTCGAGAAGTTCAAGTGTTCGCAATGCCTATCATCTTAATATCAGATGGTGTGCTTGGGTGTTTGGTATCAGCAGAAGCTGTGCAAGTAACATACGTCCGGGTCAACCGTGCCTTGTGCTGCAGTTGAAAACTCGACAGCTGCGAGATCATGTTCCTCGCTGGCCGCTACTGGGTTAGATTTGCGTGTTTCGAAGAGGGCATTACGAGCATGGGAATGCGCCTTGAAGGTAGTATTCAGTTAAAATTGCATTCGAGGAATAGATCAGAGGAGGTGATGAGAGTGAACATACTAAGGTTAAGGGAGACGATTCCATAACTCTACTACCTCACTCACTTTCTTCCATACGAGTTTCAGGAATCCGTAGTTTCTTATGGCAAGAAGATAGGCAATCGGCACTACGGGCAAATGAATAGGGGTTTGTATAATTGTGATGGCGTTAAGCTCGAGGCAGCGATTTAATATTGGCCTTGGGGGTGGGATGAAGTCACGAGGATGTTAACCTTAACTAACTGACGTAATTCCCCACCGAGCGACCCACCAAATAAAAATAACGTATAGTTATACAACTTTATAGACTTTTTTAACTTGAAATATCTGCTCTCAACAACCATTAATTAAATTCAATTACATTATTATAGGATTGTATCCTTCTATTCCTGAGCATATTGCAATTGCTGTACTGCGGTCGGGACTCATGAAGCATGATAAAATCTCCCAGGTAAAAGTCATTCGGGATTGAATAACAGCCTGTTCGACAGGCCCAGCAGAACTTCCCAACCCTTCCGCCACGGCCGGCGCAATAAGCAGATGTTCCTGGAGAAAGTTTCCGGTCACAGGTCATTGACGAACTAATTCCAAGATGCGGCAATGTTGACCAACAAAGAAAATTTATCCCCGGTAATGTACTATTCCTTTTTCTCGGAAATACAAGGTACCACTGGCAGGCCAGGAGGTGTGTCGCCGGCTGTGGTCGTCTTTGTTTTGGCATCGTCCTGGGTGTGTAACTGGTAAACTTCCAGGGTGTTTTTTAGATGCAAATGTGAACTTATTGCAATTTCCCAGCCTTGATACCTATTTTCCCCACGGCATTAGTTGGGGCATTACGGTAGTTGGGCAAGTCTTTGAGGAAATACAGTTTGCATGAGTTCTGTGCTTCTGTTCGATAAGACAATAACAGACCGGCCGACTGGTCTTGCAACCTCCCAATAAAGTCCAGGTATACGTGGCGCTGGGTAATTGGACAAGAGCAACATGGATTGCTGGTATCCCATTGCCCTTGGCGTCACAGCTGGTGAAGATCATTCCGGACCGTCCCGTTCGCTAGGTCGAGGTGGCCAAAGTGCTCCGCCGGGTACATGTTTACACTTCCCCTGCGGCAGAGGGTGTACTTATGTAGGGTTGGCGTTTGTCGTCGCTTTTTGGTAGTTTTAGTTACAGATTACGTTAATACAGAATGCTTAAAAATGGCCTGACGTGGCAACAAGGGCAACAGTGACACATGAACCTGGAGGTTCCAAAACAAGTGGTGACAATCACACTGCGCCTTTATTAGCTATCCAAGTGTTGGGTGGGACGGCCCAGAAAAGCATCGCACTGACTGGATCCCATTTGCTCTGCGAAAGCAAGCAACAAAGAGCAGGATAATTGCCGATGAGTCCATGGACACCAGGGCTAGGTCGAGAAACCTTTCAAAGCACTCCATACATTTCGTGCATTTAATGAAGCGTGCTGGACTCAGGAGGTCTGCAAAATAAGCATTTGCCTTCTCCTTTCCCTTTTCTTTTCTTTTCTTTTACTGTGAATTACCAAAGGGTGAGCTGGCCAATAAATGAAAAAGAAAATCATACCAGTCTGGGTAGACTAGTCGCGAGGCCCCTTTTCAGCGTACAAGTCATGCGCAGTGTTCTTCGGTCCAACTCTTTTAATGCGTGTCTGGTTAACCAAACCTTTGACAGGTTATCCCAGTACATTGATGCTGACTTGCTGAGCTTCTGTCTTTTCAACTGATATCGCGATATGTTGTATGGATGTGACTCAGGATGCTGACGCTTACGAGATGGGTTGGAGGTCACTGAACGAGGCATATGGTGACCGCCGTAACTTTTTGGTTTCAATGTAGTACCAGTATACATCGAGGGCCCGAAGGGGCAGAAGTTGTTTTTATTTACTGCTGCGCAAGGATCGCAGAATCACCCCAGGCGCTTGAGTGTTGCGAACGGCCAATCGTTGATCACTAGAAGTAACACTCAGCGAGCGCGTGATATCGTGCATCGAGCACGACAGGGCGGATAGAAGTTGATGCAAACTATGATTAGCAATGCTGCATGGAGTTAATACTCTGTCAGTCTTCCCGGAAAAATACTCTGTTGCTGCTTGATGGCTTCGATGAGATTTCCCGGGAGCGCAATGCCTCGGGAATCGGTTTGGCTGAATTGTTTAACGATCTACTCAAGGGCGAAATGCAGTCATTACTTCTCGTCTACTAACCTGCTTCCATTTTGATCTGGAGTTGGAAACAGGAGTAGAGCGACCGGAAGAGCAGGCCAAAGATCGAGGGGATTCGTTTCTGGTGGGCCTGGATGGGCATACAAAAACCGTGGCCATGGAAGCAAGCGGAGAGGGGCAGGAGAAGGGGAGTGGGTAGATTTGAGAGGGAGCAGGCCATGAGATCACGCGCGCGCGGTAAGGCCCAAACCCGCGGCCAGGAGCAGAACGATATTAACAAGTCCAGTTAAAAAGCTGGTTTGAATACCCTCAAATTTAACGATCTCTATATAAAGTGTAAAGCAGATATCTAAGAAATTAATAGTATTCATCAAATTCAAATCATATTTACTGTTTAATTCAACAGATATAAGCTAATATTAAAACTGTGAAAATACTATATTTAAATATTGTAAAAAATAAAATAAAACTATCATGAAATTAAAAGAAAAATTTTCATTCTTACTGTAGATTCAATTAAATATATAAGATAACTGTTATGACTATATAGAAAAAAAATATAACAATTAATTTATTATAAACTTACTATGAAGATAGATAATTTATTAAGTTATTTAATTTATTTTTAATATTATTTAATTATTAAAACTATTGTTTAGTATTTATTGATTTATTAAATTAGCTATTCTAATTATTATCTTTTAAAATAAGATAAAAAGAATAATACTTATTTATATATATTAAGATTTTTAATAATTATTATTCGAAAATTTTAAAATTAAAAAAAACTTACTATATTATAGTATTTATAGTTAAAGAATGATAACTTTAAAATAATCACATAGAACTTTATTATAAATTTAGTCTTATTAAAGTTATAGTAAATATTTTTATTTTACATTTCTATATAAGTAATTAAAATTTTCTAATAACTTATTTTAAAACATTTAATTTAATTTATTTATAATTATAATAGTAAAAATCATAACACTAAAACTAGTATAATATTTAATTGATTTTAAAATATAATTTTTATTAATATAAATAATTATTTTTATTTTAGATATATACAGTTAATAATTATATTATCTATCAAGTTATACTTATATTTTGATTATTTCATATATTTAATATAATACACAATTTAGAATATATAGTTATATAGTCTTATCTTAAAATAATATAATATTTATAAAGATATATCATAGAAATTACAGTTATATATACTTAATTTAGTAAAAATTCATCAAATTAAAAAGAACAGATAAAATAAAGTTAATTAGTAAAAGAAAATAAAATAGTAGAAAAGTAATTATATTAAATTTTTTAAAAAGAAAATCTCAATAATCTTTAACAATGAAATTAGAATAAAAGAAGTAATAATAATAGAAAATTATATATATCAATAAAGCAATGATAACAAAAGAAAAACATTTAAAAAAAGATAATCTTTAAGCTTTAATATTTATTAATAGTATAAATTAAATAAGATTTCATTTTATTTTAAAATTTATTCTTTAGTAGTAGCTTTTTTATTTTTATATAGTTAATTAAACCCTTTACTCTCAGTTTAGTTTTAAAGACAAAGAGTAAATTTAACTGTTTGATAAAATATTTTTTATTGATTTCTTTCTAATATAATTATTTAATATATAGTTCATTAAGATATGATCTAAATTTTTAACTAAATTACAAAAATCTTATTTATTTAAGTCTGTGAAATCTTTAATTCTTTTTAAGTAGAATTTATAATAATCATGTTTAGATTTTAAATTATAATATAGAGGAGATAGTTTTTTTCTTATATTTATTTAAAAAAAATTTAATTTAATTTCATTTTATTTCTTGCATATTGAACATTTTTTTCTTTTAAAACATGGTTTATTTATTGAGATATATTTTTCTTATCTTTCTATCAATATAAGATTAAATTTTTTTTATGTTATTTTATAATTTTTAATATCATGATTTACTGCTAAACTTACTTTTTTATCATTTATATAAGCTGAATATTTTTATCTCTAGCTTAATTTTTTTCTCTATTTGTTAAATCTTATATTTTTTAAGTTTTTTTAACTATTATTTAACTGTTTAAAAAAGATTTATATATTTTTAATAGTAGAATCTTTAAGGAAAAGTTTATAGATTAGTTGTAAATACTTTTTGAAATGTATAATAGATGTGCTTCTGAATGTGACTTCAGTACTTTTCTATAAAAAAAAGAATAAATTTATTAAAAAAAAAATAAATCAGAATAAAGAATTTGATTAATTAATTTATTATGGAGTTAAAATAATAATTTTTTTATTTAAAAATATTATAACTATTGCATTGTTGTTCCAGTGCAGTTGTTTGTAATATAGATTAAGATTAATTCACTCTACTCTGATTCTCAACCTCTTCATATTCAATTGCTTTTTCATTTCAAATTCTCAGTTTAGTATTTTCATTGCAAGCTATTTAGTTAGATGAACTGAAGCTTTGTTTTGTTATCATTTTGACTTTAGACTGAGCCATGGCAACTATAACAATACTTAATATAGATGACACACCTCAAGATCTTAGATCTTAAAGATTAAATAAATAACTATTCAGTAAATTTAATATATAAAATAATTATTTTAGTAGTTTCTTTTCTCATTAAACTATTTATATACTAATTTCAATAACTAGATCTCATATATTTTTTCTTTTTTTTCTTATCTATAGTAAATATATTTTAATATTACTTTTTTATAATAGTAATATAAATCATATTATAATTATAAGTTTTAATAATTTGATTAAATTCTGCTATTAGACTTTAGAAGATTTTTTTAAGATTTTATTTTATAACTAATATTTTTAATTTTATTTACCTGCTCATATAATTGATAAAAATTATTAGATGTTTATAAAATTTAGAATAACTTTAAATTACTAAATCAGCTAATTGAGAAATTAAAAGTTCAGAGTTGAGAATTCACTATTAAATAATAAGATCAAATTTATATAATGTTATATCAGTGACTCTAAAGTTAGTTTAATTATTATAAGTTTTGAAGGTTTTCATATGATCTTTAGAATAAGTATCAAAGAAAAATTATTCCTTTTTAATTGTATTAGACTCAAGTCATATATATTGTTTCATTAAGCTCTTACGTGCTTATTTTAAAACTATAAAACATATATATCTTATAGACTATAAAAGGTAATATAAATATATTAACATGTAGAGAGAAATATTTCTATTTTTATTACTGATATGATCAAACTCTGAGATAAGTTGACTGCTATGCTCATTTAAAATAAGAAAAATAAAGTAATCATTCAATAAATTTACTACTGAGATAAATAGCTTAATAAGTTATTTAATTTGTCACTAACTGATTTATTATTTCATCTGTAATTAAGTTTTTAAAGTTATTATAAATTTTTTAGTTTTTTGAAAGTTTATCAAATCAGTCTTTCTGAATAGCCTTTCTCTTAAAAATAATATAGAAGATTAAGACCTAATATGATACATTAACTATCTCAATCATAATAACTCATTTTTGATTTTTAGATTGTAGAAGCTTTGTCTGGTCATACTAGTGATAATTTTAGTAATGATACATAATCTCATTGAAAACCAGTTTTATCAAATTTGTATATATCTTCAGTCTGAATCTCATACTTAGCAAATACATCTCTCAGAGTTTTGAATCATCTTTAAATAACTCTAGTATACTCATATTTGACTAAGTCATAATTGTAATAATGGGAATAACAATATTAAAGCTCTGGACAACATTTAATTAGATTTGACGCTTAGTTCTTTCCCACTCAGGAGGTAGTTGAAGACTGAGATGGGAGATAAGAATATAATTAGCCATATTCTCAATAGATGCTGGCTGAGGAGGTAACCCTTGTTTAGCTAGATTCAACAGTCATTGAGCAATCCTATCCTCTTCAGCCTGGGTTAATTTAGTTGAATTCGCGCGTAGGGAGGGGCTTTGGCTAGTTTATCTTGGAGTCAGCAATGAAGAGTAGTATATGAAATATCAAATACACGAGCAGCTTCATGGACAGAGGTTATATCTTGGGTCTTAATAGTGGAAATAGCAAGTTCAATTCTTCGCTCTATTTCTATAGAGTTTCCTGTATTTTTATTGCGATTTGGTGGCAATTTAGGTTGTAGTGGCCTAACTAGAGAATAGAAAGGAAATTTGCATTTGATGAGCCACTGGCTTGGGTGGGGGTCTCCGCAGCGGCCTTGAAAGGTTGTCCATTGCGATCTAGATCAGTATCAAAAATATATTATTTGGATATTGATAGTTAACATAATGTCAATCGCGATTCAAATTGCACTTTCATAGTGCCAAGATTGTTGACGATACAAAGTGATAACAGAGAGTGGTTATTTTGCAATCTCTTGCAGAACATTCCTGTTTCAAACTCATGGAATGGCTCAATTGCCGTCCCTCAAAGCACGTCAGTCCCAGTGAACACAACACGTGCAGTCTCGCCGTCTTTGATGGCCCCTCTTAAGATCAAGACCGCAAGGCGGTTCAGGACCTCTTTCTACCTGACAGATCTTGTGAAACACAAATGACTATCAGGATCTCTAGGAGAACAGAGGCGAATCATGACTTTCAACTGTATTCAAATTAAAAATAGACCGTCGGAGCGACATAAACCCGGAGGCCGAGAAGGACGTCAAAGCCTAAAGTTTGGGCTCACAGTAAGACAGCCAAGCGAGCCAGATCCTGTAATTGTATTCGTATTTCCAATACCCCTAAATTTTATATGACGGTAAAATACGTCCTTTGTCGTAGTTCCACCCAAATCTTTCTCTACAGAAGAAGAATTACTAGTTCAATGGATAATCTCCATGGATGTGAGAGAGGTCAGTCTCTCTGTTGAAAATGTATGAAATATGGCAGATTTACTACTCTCTACCCAGATTACAGCTACTGTGGATGAATGCTGGGTTAATACTATAGAGAGATACGACAATGTGAATGAGAATATCTACAACTTTGATGAGATTGACTTTCAAATGAGAGTTATATCAACAGTCAAGATGATGACTGAGTCTGAGAATCATGACAGACCAGTGCTTTTACAGTCAGGAAATTGAGAATGAGTGACTGTTATTAAGAGAGTCAACTCAACTAACTAAGAGATGCCAGCTGGCCATGCATAGTGCTGCTTTCTTAGCAAAGGAGAATAAGAAGCTAAGAGCTGTAGTTGAGGAGGAAAAGTGTAAGAAGCAAGCTCATACATTTATAGCCCAGATTGGAGCATTAACAGCTAACTAGGGCTCAAGCAATTGATCAAACTGTACAAAGTGGGGGTAGAGGATTCGAACCGGCTGTCTAGAAAGCGAGCTCCACCACGATGCAGCAAGTGTAATATACTGCTAGAACCTGCCAACAGACCTACGCTACGGTATAGATCTATATAAATTATGAGAAATTTATAGTTTGGTGGTTGCTTAATTCCTCAAATTGTTAGATTTGAGTGGGGTTGGTGGGTGATTAGGAAAATGAAGTGATTACTAAGGTGATAGACGAACTAACCACGTTGAGTTAACTAGTTATCCACTCGATGATTGATAAGCGGCAAGGTGCCACTGGCGGTTGGGCGTATTGGAGCCGTACCGAAGTGTACCCACCCATCGTATTTCGATACGTGGCGTACTCTTATTTCCAAACATCCTGATCTGGGACAACTCTGCTCAGCCTCTTCCGTGAGACGATTTTTCGACGCCAAAACCACTGTTCTGCAAAGCGTCTTGCGGACAATGATGCTTCCGCTGTTCCTTTGTTTCCCTTAGAAACATCCCCTGTTCGTCCTAACACTCGAGCTGCTCGCCCATCGCTCCTGATCTTCCCCCCCTTCCCCATCCAGTTCAAGCGTTGATCAGCTCGTGCTCCTCATGTCCCCCGTTCTCTGCGGCCTCTATTCCCCTATCCCATGGGCCGGGAATAGCAATTCTTTTTCTTGAACAACTTCCCTCCCTTCAAACCGTACACGTTTAGGGAGAAGCAACTGACACTATACTGATCTTGTTTGACCATTGAGGAACTCCACTTTGCGAGTTCACGGTCGACCTTCGTCGATGGACGGTGCTACGAATGAAAGCCCCAATTCCTCTACTTCCAATGGGCTCAAGAGGGTTTTCACCAGGCCAAATCGTAGCAAGACCATTCTCAGCGAATTCGATGGCTCCACATCCAGTCCAAGTGCTGCCCCATCAATCGAGTCCAACCCTGAAAAGACACGCCCTTCAACGAGTGGAGGAGGTAGCTACGATGGCTCACCCAGTGGCATTGCTAAGTTGATGCCAGGGGCACGTCGACGACGCAAGAAGAAGATGGATGCAGATGCGTCAATGTCCCGTGACAATACGAGTGGAACAGAGCTACATCGTTACTCCAATGAATCTGGAGATTTTCTATCTGCCAATGGATATCGCAGAAGCTCAACTGTAGATAATACAGATGGCGATGAAATGAGCAACTCAAAATCTAGAATGTGAGTCTGTTCTAGAAGGAATCTTCAGTTTCTTTTGGTGCGTCTCGTTGTCATCTTCCAACAATGATAGTTCTACATATTGAACTAACTTTCCTTGGCTTAACTAGGTATTCATCTCTGGATTTATGCGCTTCCCAGGAGTTACGTCGACAATCGACGTCGTTGCCTATTACCACTCATCATCTCTCCGATGCAGCGGAACGGGCGTCCGCTCACAGTGAACTGGCTGAGGCAGCTTCAGATACCAGTCGACACATGATTCGTGTTACTACCATAGGTGACTTGAGGAGTTTATCTCGGTCAGCTGCTGCAGACAAGAAGGATCGGAAACTGAAAGAGGCTTTCAACCCCGTCCCCTTGAAAATCAGTCGAAGTCCAAGTCCCGACCCTGAAGTTGAAAAATTACCCGGCACAAAGAGTGGAAGAAACCTTTTTGGATCTAGGTCAAGGCGGTCAAGTATCTCCGGGAAAAAATCTTCAAAACCCCCAGATGAAGTACCCCCATTGCCATCCCCCTTACCCCAACATGTAGTGGTATCCAATACTTTCTCCACGAAACCACCACTTCTGGCCACGGCACTCAGGAGCTCTCCCGCACCCTCCATACTCCAGCCTTTGACAACGGTGACTCCACCGACTCCAACTGATTTACGTTCACAAAGTCCGGTGCTTCCGTCTGCAAATGTTGGGGAAGACAGTGATACTGCTGGAAAACCCGTCAACTTACCTAACAATGTTGTTGTTAGCCCGTCGGGGAATATGATATCCCATCGACGTGTTCGTTCCGCAGCAGCTGCGCACAGCCCTAGCAAACTTTCCAATTCCTTGACAGCGCCATTGACGCCTGCTGTGGAGGAATCCAAGACCGTGTCGGGGTTTTTTTCGACCATGTTTTCTGCAGCTCAGAATGCTGCCTCGAGCCTTGTGAATAATCAGACGCGCAATGTTCCTTCAGAACCCACTGAATCAGAAAATCCCAACACTGTCGATCTCGCAACGGAAACACCTGCAGATTCCTCCAGAGCTGAAATTGAGAAAGAGGAGGAGAAAAAGGAGCTTGCGGTGGAAACTCTCGGAAAGGGTGAATTAAGCTTCAGTCATCTTGGGATTGACGCATCAGAAGGCAGAACGATTACCACAAAAGATGGTGTTGTATTTACGCAGACCGGCGCTACCGATCGTCCTCGAGGAGGAACCGCGTCCCAAAGAGATGAGCTGTCTTCAAGGATAGAAGATATGCGTGCCGCTCGCGCAGTTTCCATGGCATATGAAAAGCCAGCTGATGGGGCATCAGGGTCCCAGCCTGCCCCCGAACAAGCCAGCACGGATTTACGTCTCAGTGCTTCTTTTAATGGTCTCGGAAAGGACAGTACTGGCGAACAGACCCCTCCAGGTGGCAGTGTCTTTGAAGGAGAAACTGGTACCAGTCTCAAACGCAGCGAAAGTGTACGTAGCCGCCTTACACGAAGGCATCGGGGATCGTCTGGTGCAACAATCGGTGTTCTTGGACCGGCAGGACTTGGGTTGGGTCTTCCTGGTGCCAATTCAAGTGTTACGCGATTGACGGGCTTTGCCGTGGCAAGCAAGAAGCGAAACCGTGACTTCCACCAGTTGTTTAGAAGCGTTCCGGAAGATGACTATCTCATTGAAGATTATAGCTGTGCTCTTCAACGAGAAATTATTTTGGCTGGCCGTATATACATTTCCGAAGGTCATATTTGCTTTTCAAGCAATATTCTCGGCTGGGTGACAACGCTGGTGATCAGTTTTGATGAAATTATAGCAATTGAAAAGGAATCTACTGCTATGGTTTTCCCGAACGCAATTGCAATTCAAACCCTGCATGCACGACATACATTTCGGAGTCTGCTTAGCCGAGACGCTACATATGATTTGATGGTTAATATCTGGAAGATCAATCATCCTACTCTGACGAGTTCAGTTAATGGCACTCGAATAGAACAGGGCACAGGTGATAAAACTGTAAAAGCCAATGAAAGTGATGCCGGGAGCGATGTGATTTCAGAAGGAGAGGATGAGATATACGATGAAGATGAGGAAGACGAAGGCACACATTTTATGGACGCTGTTGACGGAAGCGTTGCTAGCAGCGAAAAATCGGAGTCTCTAAAACGAATCAGTCGCAAGGCATCCACACTCCCACTAGCCGGGCCTTCATCAGTGCCCCTAACTCCCTCTAAAGCAGAATCTAAACCAATGGAGAAGGGCGCTTCTGCGTCCGTATCTTCTCTCCCACAGTTTCCTGGTCTAACCACTCATGCCCCTACCGAATTTACTGATCCCTCCGGCCGTTATGATAAATTGATCAAGGATGAAATAATACCAGCTCCCCTGGGTCTTGTCTATACCCTAGTTTTTGGTCCTGCATCCGGTGCCTTCATGACGAAGTTCCTTCTCGATTACCAGAAGGTGACGGATTTACAATTTGAAGACGATAAGAAGGGAATTGGTATGGACAACAAAACCAGATCTTATTCATATACAAAGCCACTAAACGCACCTATTGGACCGAAACAAACGAGATGCACTAGCACGGAATATTTAGACATTTTGGACCTGGAAAAGGCTGTTTTGGTCACTCTAACGACGCAAACTCCCGATGTGCCAAGTGGGAATATTTTCTGTGTGAAAACAAAATACCTGCTTACCTGGGCTGAGAATAATTCTACCAGGTTCTATATGACTTGCTCCATAGAGTGGACAGGCAAGAGTTGGCTTAAAGGTTCGTCTCCCTTTTCCCGGTTTGTACAGCATCCATTCGTGATAACTTACCGGCTCATAGGTCCTATCGAAAAGGGCGCAAATGACGGCCAGGTCTCCTTTGGAAATGACCTGGTCAAGGCGCTTAGGGCGGGCGTGGCACCTCAGTCGCGCATTGCAACCCTTCCTAAGGGTGCTGGCAAGGGAACCAAAGGGAAACGAAAGGGGCAAAGCACTGCAGAACTCGATGCAGCAACAAGAGTACAAGCAGAAATGGAAGCAAGCAAGCGACAGACTGAAAGTTGGGGAATTTTTGAACCCTTACGAAGACCTCTTGGCCCATTTGTGGGCGTTTTTAAACCATTCTGGAGCGGGAATGTTGCTGCTGGCGTCATCGTCATCTTATTTCTGCTGTTATGGTTCCGTACACCACCGCCATCTCGCCATACGCCGTCGGGGGCTCGCTCTCCGTTACTTTCCACCCCGGAGCGAATAGTTGCATATGAGGAACTTTGGCAACGAGGGGAAAACGAACTGTGGAACTGGCTGGAGGAAAGGGTTGGTATGGATGGTTTAGCGTACCCTGCCAGAGAACAAGTGCCATTAGAAAAATCTGATAACTCGGACAATTCGAAAACTGAGAGACAGCGACACAAGCAACAACTTTTGAGCGAAAAGGAGCTTGAGCGCCGTCTGAGGGATGAAAGGATGACGGAGCGGGAGATGGAGGATGCTATCCGAGTGACACAGCAGCGACTTGATATGCTCAATCATATTGTTATGAGGCGGAAGCACGAGCATGAATAGACCAACAAATATCTCCTGAAAGGTTACCTGTAAATCCGGTCAAGTCAAATTTTCGAACACCGTTGATATGAATCTGTATAACAGACCACGAAAAAGAGAAAAGACAAAAACAAAACACCAGTCGTTGCGATCTCTTTGATTTTAAAAGATCGTATTTGTTTCCTATTTACACTCCCCTCGTTTTCCATGTTGTATTTTCTTGCACCTTCTGGCTCTTCCTGTCATCATTACCATTTCCCAGTCATCACGAGCTGTCTCGACTTCCATTTTCTTTTTTGAAAGTTCGTCTCATTTGCTTATCATTAGCATGAGGTACTGACACGAACAGCCTCTTTTTCTTTTCTTTTTGGATGATGTCTCCATCGTTCCCGCCTTTGCTTAAGAACATTAAAAATCTCCTTTACTGGCCTTCCGATTTTCCATCTATTCCCTTTTTTCTGTTGAGTTACTGCTTTCATTCTAGCCGGAAGTGGTAGCAATAGCTGTAAACATTTACATGATATACATTCATTCACCAGCACGTCTCGCATCTTTCCCGCTTTGATTTTCAGCATTTTCCAAGCTTTGCATGCGATCTGTCTTCCCATTCCATCTTCCTCTTATAACAGCGTTTGTCACGTTTAGTTTCGTGGGACTTGTTTTCGTCCTGCCTATGTATATGGTATTCAGTGTGTATTATTGACGAGGTGAAGGAGTGTTGGGGAGAATTTGGAGCGCAAATTTCAGACGCGAGTTCATATTCTCTGTCCTGTTGTCTCTGCAGTGTTGGTGTTGTCATACTTCATGCCAGTAATTCATTATTACTTGGAGAAGCATTGCATATGTTGAATTTTCACAATGCAATGCCGTCTTTTCTCGCCTATTATGCAGGCAGGTCCTATCGCTTTAGATGAGTGTAATGAAAAGTAGGGAGGGTATTGAGGACGACTCCGCTAAAACTAACGTACAGTACACAACACTCATACAGCAGCCATTTATATGCTGTACACGTAATGATGCCTTCCCAGTAGTTGGTTGGGGAGGGTGGAGCAAACCTCTTGCCACACATCGATGTCTGTGAACAAAAAGGGGCGGCTTCTATTGAAGCGGGACGTGTTGGAAGCTTAAAAAAAAATACTGTTTGTTTTCTCCCATAGGGGGAATCGAACCCCCGGCTAGCGTGTGAGAGACGCTGATGTTAGCCACTACACCATATGGGATGTGATTAGATAGGTCTAAGATCCGGTCACTGTGGTAATATAACGTCAAAGTTTACTTTTTAAAAAAATTGGATATTTAGCAGGGTGCTTTTTGAAAGGAAGACATAAAACCCACAAGCCAATACTTGCGATTAATTTGGATTTGAATAAAACCTTGGTAAAGAAACGATGGTATTTATTTCATTTAAAACAAAGGGGCTGATGCAGGCAAAGACATCGAGGATATATGCTTAAAACGCCATTAAAGACACGGGAAAAGGTATATAAAACGGAAGATATTATGATCAAAATCTCCAGAGTAAACATAGAGGAGGCAGGGTCCATCATGTAGGCAGCAAGCAAAGGAATCATACAAAATGAAAAACAACAGAAGAAGAAGGAGAAGGAGAAGGATAGACAACAAACAAATTAAACCCTACCCCCTCGAAGCCTTCTCCCTCTCCAACCCCCTCTCAACATCCGCCAGAAGACTCCTCAACTCTCTTCCCCCATCGCTCGTCAGACCCTCCACCTCCAACCCCTTCAAAAGCCACCGCCTCGCCTCCTCCCACCTCCCCATTTCAGTCAAGCTCTTAGCGCCCCTCCACCACGCTTTAGTATTATTCGTAGCTGAAATCTCAGCACTCGCCTTCGCATCGACATACGCTTCCGCCCACTGCTGCTGGGCCATATACGCCTGCGCCCGATTCGTGAAAAGTGGCGCCAGCTCTTCGCGCACGAGTCCGACGGGTTCCCACGCAGGGCGTCCTAGGGCCATATCGATAGCATACGTGTAGAGCTTTACGGCTTCGGCGTACGAGGATTTGCGGAAGGCTGTGTTGGCGGTCTCGCGCAGCTTGGCAACTTGAGCGCTGCGTTTGGGGTTTACGGGTTTAAGGGGTGGAGGAATATTAGGACTGTCGAGGTTGAGGAGGGCACGGTGGAGCTGATTTAAGGATTCGAGCTCGTTGGTGAGGGCCGTGGAGTTGGAGGAGGGGGCGGAGATGGCTTTTGTGATTGAGTCAAGATGGAGGGGGTGTTGGATGAAGATGTCGGCACCGGTGGATGCCATTTTTTTTTTTAATTTTTTTTTCCCTTGAAGTCGTCTGAGTTCGGTGATGTGGTGGTGCTCGGGAAATTAGAGAAAATTCTATGTATGGAATTAGCTTTGGTCGGAAAGTGGGAACGCGCCGTTTCGCTAGGCTGAGGATTTTGAGAAATTGGCAGGGTAATAATAAATATTCTGGGGATGTTACTGGCTGCTGACCTTGATTTAAAATACTTTTTTCGGACGGGATGGTTTTTGCAACGGGGGCAATTAGTTTGGTGTCTTCTCTCTAACCTTCGCCGCAACAAACAGCTGGCCATATATTCTTCACGTGATCTAAGCGAGCGCTTACCAAGGTTTACGATGTTGCAACTTAATCGTACATGCGCGGTTTGCAAAACTTAAGGGTTAATGACATTAAAAACTCCTGTAGCTAGCCGCTCGATTTGTGTGAGCTTGATCGTTTCCAACTCTTCTCCCAAGAATTCGTATTGAGCCAGGCTCCATTCCATATAGCCTTGCTTACAATTATCCTACCCTTGTTCAGGATGCTGCACCTTCGGCCCCCCCGAGCTGATGTCCTTCTGCTAGTTGCTCTGCGTCGGGTTGAAGTTCCTCCTTCAGAGTGTCTTGTCGTCGCAAACCTTGCAAACCTAAACCGGAGACCACTTCACTTGGCTTAAGCATTTCATGCCCATGCGTCTCATAGCCGTCAGGATGCGTTTCTGCAAGGTGTTCGTCTCTAAAGTGAAACTCGTTTGCAATGCCCAAGACCTTCTGGTTGTATTCGACCTCGGAACATGCCGCCCGGGGCCAGCTTTGTATTTCCTTTTCGAGGACAAGCCATAGGTTTTGGTGCGCGAGCGACGAATAGGTGCCAGTGCTGTGAGGCACTTTCCCCTTCTTAGGGGTTGTTGTACCACTCTATCGCTTTTGCTTACAGTTCGCAAATATCGGTATGCAGGGGGCATCAGATGATCTTCCTGCCTGCAGAATGCGATCAAGTTTTGGAGTCGTGATGTTTTCCGAAATCTTTTTGTCGCGGATTAGGGAGGCTTTGCAGAATTCTAGGCAATATATCCTTGTATCGCGCGTTTTCGAGGGGGACGAACGGCTGCTGGTTTCGTACTGTTCTGCTTTGGCAATAAGTGAATCGGCATTTGGAAAAATGATATTGTTGGAGGTTTCAGAAGAGAATTCACCTCTTTGCTTGATCTGGTTTTCGGTGTATGCTCCTCCGTCAAGACGAACCCACGGCTTACATAGGGTGGCAGCCGTTTCGACGCACAAGTCACAGTAGCAGGTTCCTCCCGTCCTCATGATGGGCATTGAACAAGAAAAATGTCTCCTTTTCGATGTGTATAGAGTTCAGCCAAGGATTCAAGCACAGCGGTATAGCGATGTATGGATCGCGTTATCATATCTGGATGACCATGGCCATCTGCCTGGGGAAGATCGATAAGGTCGATAGCAGGAGAAACTTTCAAATGAAAAAAGAACAAGCAGGACGCTGCAGAAGCTAGAGCTTCTGGCGGCTGGAACGAAGGAAGGGGACAGTTGCGTCTGCTGTAAAATGCGGGCACTGGAAACATAGGAATGCTGGAAAATGGTCCGATGTGAGAGCGGCCTTTTATCCCCTGAAAGAATACAGTAAAAACATGTTTTTTGTCCAAAGCAGACGCAGCAAACAACTCGAAGTTGCTGGAAAATAGGAGGTGGCATGGACCTTGGCCTCGGATGCACGTAGCCCCTTGCACCCCAAATACCTCATTCGCCTTAATGTTTTGGGAATTTCGATGAGGAATGATCAAGAGCAATGACACCGATTTTTTACATGCCGATCAGCCAAATCGTTCATACGCCAGGTCCTCTAACCTGTCTCATGATATGAAGAAAAATGAGATATGCAAAACCTACCCATACGTTAAATAATAGCTCTTGCATACAGGTCCGTAAGATTTTCTTTCAAAGCCAGGTCGATTCAAAGGTAATCGGCACAGGGAACATAGAGACAGAGATTTCCAAAAACTCGTCATAAATCATAAGTTATCAACTTCAAAGACGACCCACAAGACTACGCAAAATCAATACTTTTAGAATGTTTCATTCTGGTTCTTATTGTTCACTTATGTATGTACTGTGCATGCAAATCCCCAACCTTGATAAATACGCCAAAAAGGGAAAGACACAGATAGCCGTCCAGATAGCAAAGGAAACAGAGAATCAGAGGGGTTGGAACAGCCATCTTCCCATACCTGCAGAAGCCACCCATACAAATCCATTCATCTCCTCACGTAAGTCTACTAACCCAATCCCCCTCTTCCCCTTCCCCGCGCCACAACATGGGCCCTCAGTACCAGCAGCAACTTGACTGGGTGATCTTGCCCAGCTGGGTTTAACATCCAACACTGGATTTCGGCCAAAGAAGTTCCGCGGCCGCAGCAACAACGATATAGGCTCCGCAGGCATAATAGGGAAATCCTCTCTTGATGGGAAGTGCGTGATTCCAAACGTGTGCCAGAGAACTATGTCTGCATTCTCGATGCTGGAGTCAGATGAGGAACAGGAGGCTTGGGCAATCCAGGTGGGGAGGCCGGGTGAGGGAGAGGGGATGCCGGACGTTTGTGGTACGTGGCGGCCTGCGGGGTATAGTTGGTCGCCGGCGTCTGTGGTGGGTGGGATTAGTGTTGGTGTTTTGCTAAAAGTAACATGTATGCGCGCGCTGTGTTGTGGGAAGTAAAACAAAAAGGGGGGAATTTAGGGCAATATATGGAGAGTGGTCATACATTTCGTAACGCGGACAGCATGTCTAGCGAACCCAGCCCGATTCCATACCAACCCGCCTCCCTTAGGAAGAAGTGCAGGAACCTCCCGAATCACCAACTTATAGCTAACGGGTTTCTTGCTGTGAGGATTCAACTTGCTTGTATTTGCAACCTCCCACGACCGGCTGGTCGCAGCATCATAACTGCCATGGCATCCAGCGGAGTTGTGTACTTTAGTTTCTTCGCATAGAAAGCATTTCCGTGATTGTTTTTTTGCCGCTGCCAACATCTCCCGGTCCCCGAGCTGCGTCGGCTTAGAAGATGGCGTTGTTGGGTTCTTCAACGTTGGCATCAACTCGTAGACAGAAAAGGTATTGATGGTTGTGCGTATTGACACCTGGATATACTTCAGAACCCCTAACCGATGTATCTTCGCTTGGGTTCGTGGCGTATGTGTTAAGGATGCCTGTAAGTTTAATGTCGAGTTGGACGGTGCCAACCTGATGGAAGATCCAGTACACGCAGTATTTTGTCGCCGCCTGTTACGATGACCGAGTAGTCTCGGAAATCCATGTGTTTGAATAAAATACCAGCTTCCTCGTGGATGCAGATGGCGTTTTTGATCGTGGTGCTGGCGCCGGCAGCGTAGACAAATTCTGCATCCATGTAGTGGATCATACCCTTTCAATCACAGCCAAGCGATAGACTTATGGTCAATTATCCGCCGCCATATTCGCCTAGATCGAAGGCATGTTTTCTCTGATGGGAATGTTCTGGGTTGCCGTATGGGACTACCATCTCCGCCAAGGAGAGGCGGTAGAAAATGGGTCTTGCCGTTTCCTTGTCATTGAATGTGATGTTATTAAGCACAATGCCTTCACGGTAGTTGAAGCCAACATGAATATTCCAAGTTTGCCAGTCGATGACTCGGCCGTTCACTTTGAAGGAGACACTTCCTCACTGGGTAATGTGAATGGGCCTTCACAGCACCACGATAACCTCCCTCGATTTCGATGGACCGAACGTTGTAATTGCTAAGGGGAGCTTTACTGATGGATCTCTTCACACGGGGAACTTCGATGTGGATAAACTCCTTGGTCTCAGGGTTGTAAGTTGGGCGGATATGCATACTGACAGTCGTCTACATTGGACGGTAATACATTAGGCCTTGCTGGAGACTGGCATTGCTACCAAATCTCTCATCGTATCCGATCGTCCATGCTAGACATAGTTAGAATTTGCCCTTTCAGAACATTACTATAAAGTACGTGGAAAAAGTATTCCACACGATCACAATAAACCTTATGCATATCCCCTGGCGGAATTCCAATAATTCCACACTGCTGATGATCTTCGGATCCTTCATCGCCAGCGCCTCCACCGCATTCAAATCTTCCATTGTAATCAATGGTTGCACGCCTTCTGTATGCTTCCATTGCAGAACTTTCTTGTCTGTCAAGTCAACAATGCCATCGTACACCTTCCCACCCGGCGAGATGGCCACAATATCAACTGCGCGATGCGAACGTGGGTTATTTTGTGGATCAGCCAGCCAAGCCACCACTTCCGCCCTTTGCGGTTCCCGCAGCGTCACAGTGTTGATTTTAAGTGAGCCATCATATCCAGCGCGAATTATGGCGACTGCAGCGTCTATCTCAGAGGAGGAGAGGGGGTCAAAAGGATGCGGAGGTGGGGAAGTTGAATCGACCTGGTAGGCCAATTGCTTAAGACGCTCAAGAACCATCGGAACAGAAGTATAGGTATATTGAGGAGAGAAAAAGGGAATGGCGGTAAATAGGTAACACTTGAGAAAGATAAGTTTTGGGCTGGAAATGACGGTAGGGGAAAATACGAGTTTATGTGCAGTCGAGTAAATGAGGGCAAGCTGGTAATTACCAGTTGACCACCGGTCGCAGGGTCTTTTCTACTGGTTGGAAATTGAAATGGACCCTTCACGGCAGCTAAAACGAAGCTGGAGCTTGGACAACTCCCTGCTGTGATATAACTACATCCCTGGCGAAGTTAACTAACTGAACAAATATTAGTTAGCAATTTTCAACAAGATATACAAACAAACCCTAGCTTAAGCATTAAGAAAAGGCACGTCTCAACTAACTAATGCACAATGGCAATAGCTTAGAGAACCGCCAATATTGTGGCTGTGCTATCGTGATCACTGATAAGCAAGCAAAATGCGAAAGAAGATTGAACAGAAGTTGGCAATCCGCAGCCATAGAGGTCGGGATAATTTGTCCCTTTTCCGTTTAGAGTAGATTGGTTGGTTCGGGAATCTCAATCCAGGTCCACATATGTAAGACGTCAATCCCAGTGGGTCACTCCTCCGGGATGCGCTGTCTTGGATGCCCGGAATTCGGTTAGGATGGTTGGGGAGGGTTGTTGTGGACATCTAAGGGGCGGGCTGATGCGGAGAAAGGGGTGCAACCTCCATCTCGTAAGAGGTATCATGCCATGGATGTTAAGGCTTGAAAATGCTTTCCAAAATCTCTCCTATTTATGAGGTTTTAGTGCGGCATCGTATCCGGAGGTTCAATCTGCTCCAAAAAGTAAGAATCGTATACCAGGCACGGGGGTAGTCAATCCGTGACGGCAAATGGATGACGACAATAAAGAAAAGGGTGAGATCCACTAAATTGTAAACCCCAAATATAGAGCTAAAGAAGACGGCTAGAACGCCAAACACACTATATACACATCAAATAAATCTGGGAAGTGTAGAACAGCAAGAGTGAAAAAAAAGGTAGACAGCGTATCGATAGCCGCGCAATATAGAAGATGTGGTAACCACATACCCATGTGAATGGGGGAAGAAAACGAACACCTGCTCCCGAACTTTGTCCCATACGTCAAAAAAGTTACCCTTCCCTTTTTTGCAACTTGCCTAGAATATACGGAAGATACGGAAGAAAAAATCTTTTATCATCTCGGTCAAGATTTGCCAAACTGGAAAGTACCAAACACTCCTCCGCCCCCCCCAGGAGTTAATGTACTAACGTTGATCTGCTGCGTCTGAGCTGCAGGCGTTTGAGCATTCGTCAGCCCTGCGTGGCCCGTATTTGGTGTACTTGGTGTGCCTGCATTGGAGTAAATTGTAGCTCCGTTGAGGTTTGGTGTTTGGTGGGCCTGATTAGCGCCATGGAAAGGCACAGCGGCTATCTGCCCATTCAGACCCCAGATCTGGCCTGAGTATTTTCCCTGATCAATGGAACCATTGAACACCAGCTGGCGCATTTTCCAGAAAATTTCGCCGGTAACTAGCGAGTCTGATCCAGCTTGGTGTGCAATACCAACCCGTTTTACGCCTAGTTCATCGGCGATGTCTTGAAGGCCAGATTTTTGGCCAAGATTTGCAATTATTTGAGCTGCCGCTTGGGTGAGAGGGGAACCGTTGACGGATTGGTTGCGACCGGCGTGCTTCATAAGGTACTTGATATCGTAGAGAGATGGGAAGAAGATAGTGAGGAGTTTGTGGAATTCTTGTTCACCGTCGGGTAAGGGTTTGCAGAGCATAATCTTCATTAAATACCCAAAGTCATAACCCGAATGGAAAGAAATCCAGTGTACATCATCCACAAGAACCAATCCGGATGTCATTAGAAGCGCGCCAAAATCGTGTGGATCAATGCCGTTCTTCTCGTGCATGGCAAAGTCGATTCCCGCTTTGGCTAGCATGCTGGTGGACTCTTGCGCATACATGTCACCTTCTAAAGAGAAACGGAAGTTGAATTGCCACGTACATGGCGCTGGGACGGCGTTCGACCCATACTGGACATTGCCATCAATCGGGGTTGCGGGGGGGACTTCACCATCTTCCGAAAATAATGTTATCCCCAACTGTATCATCTTCAAAAGGTCAACATTACAACGCAACGTTTGGTAATGGTAATCTGCTTTTGTTGTGAAGCTGCCCATCGGCCGCGCGACGATACCGGGGAATTCGGTATCCTTATATGAAAGAATTGTCAAGTTAGGTCGACTGAACTGCGGCGAAAAACAGTGAAGATTATGTCAAACAGTTGCCTGGACAATAAACACTCACCATGCTGATATAGGGATATCTATCCACCAAGGACCTCAGGACCTGCATCTCTTGTGCCAAATTGTGCTTCCAAACGTCTCGTATCCTTGAATTGGCGGCTGCACCCTTTCCATCCACTGAGAGACGATTATCGTGACCGAGGTGCGCCTGTTGCGCCTGCTGCTGCTGCTGTTGCTGCTGTTGTTGTTGGTGCATCTGCGCTCCTCTGACAAACCCCATCTGCGCCGCATGGCTCGCAAGCCCTGTTCCACCTCCATCGGGGATACTAGCCGTAGAAGGGCCAGGAAATCCCGCTACGCCCATCCCATTAGCTCCAGGTAAGGCGAAGGGATTGATGTTTGAATTCGCATTCGCAGGACCAAAGCCAGGATGGCCTCCTAGAGAAGGAGGAGGCAGGCCAGCATTTGGCGTCTGAGCATGCGTTGCGTGGTGTTGTTGCGAATGTTGCTGTTGCTGTTGCTGCTGCTGCTGTTGGAGATGGGTCTGCGGAAGATGGGGGAATTGGCCAGCGAGTCCTGATGGCGCGTATCTACCGACGGGCGGCGGCATAGTGCGTTAAGTGATTTAGAAGAGTCGAGCGATGGAGGCGGGAGTCGAGGAAGAACAAAGCTTGAAGGTGTGCTGCCTGGGCCGACTTTGGCAAGTCTTTAAGGGGGGAGGCAGGAAGGCTTTTGGTAGCTGTCTCAGCGACACGATAAAGCGGGAGGGGTTTAAGAGAGGCGAAGCTGTAGACAGCGTAGCTTAAGGGATATCTATCTAGGCAGTGAAGCAGTTGTAGAGGAGTTGTGCGGGGTCCTGAGCATCTGTGGTCGATAGTAATACTTGAAGGCAAAGTTACGTAGCTGTCAGCAATATGATATTCACGCTAACCATATTGGGTTAGCGCACAAGGTTTCCCTCAAGACCTTCGAACATCGTTCAAGTCGCACTGCTCATGAGTTCCCCACGACGGAGGCATTGGACCAACTTGAGAAAACACAGTTGGCTTTTGCCACTTGTTAACAGATACTATCTGTCTGCCTCTTCTTTGATATCCTACTCGTCCCCTCCCTTCATCATTTCCCAATCATGGCTCCTGCAAACCCCACCGGCTTCGACATGAAGACCTTCAAAGCCGCGGCGAACCCCCGGTCTTCCTGGGCCAAAAAGGATCCTTGGGCACGACAGTAAGCTCCTATTTGATTTCCCACTGTCGATTCTTCAATTATTCGTCGAGGTCTATACGGGAACGAGGACACATCTCTATTGCGGATGATCAGCAGCAGCTAACATCCCTTTCTTCCCCCTATATCTCAGTGAGGCATGGCGATACACAGGCCCGTTTTCGCGATGGAACCGATTCAAGAACGGACTTCCCGGACTAGGGATAGCCTCTGTTGCTTTTGCTATCTATTGCGGTTACGAATATGCGTTTTTGACCCCAAATCACCAAGAGGAAGAACACCATTAGAGCTACCTCTTCCTCTTCTTCAACATTCTAATCAATGCGAATCGTGCGAACGGGGCATTTAAAGGAAGACAAAACACGTGGTGGCATGGATTGCCATTACCTGGATTTCCAGCAAGGACCATCCACTCTCCACTCAGCACCTCCCCCGGATTTATGGTGGTAGTCTTCAACAGGGCAATTTAAAAAAGGGAAGGGCAGAGAATTGGTTGATTGGTTGTTCATTGGGTTCAAGAAACCTGAGATAAATAAAAATCTGCTCTGGCATGTACATACATATATAGATTTATTTGGGGAGAGGCGCCACGGTATTTTCGATGTTGACTTACTTTTTTCACTGTTCGATATTTGTTTCATTTATTCCTACAACGAAAAGGCCTCTTTAGCTTCGTAACTCCAGTGCTATCCACGGAGTGAATATAACCTGGAATGCGCATGATGGATAAGAAAAGAAGATGTAATGTCATCGTCCGTAAAACTACCGACGGTAGCTGTGCCATATTTATTCTACATATGCAAAGATCTGATTTAAACCAGCAGTTTTCCAGAATGTTCTGCTTCAAAGTATTTCGATAACTCATAACCCTATTCTTCAAAAACTAATGCAACGCCATCATCACCCGCCGTAACAATCCTCTTACACCCCTCACCTCCCTGTACAAATCCCAGGATTCCTTCAGACTGCTCCCCCTCCTCATTCTCAGTCATCCCCAAATGGCCTCGCCATTCCTTCACTAGTCCGTGTAAAGAACCTAAAGTACTTCCACGCGCATCCCATCGACGCACCACCCCATCCATACCCACTGACGTTAAGAGGAATGACCGATTATTGCCGCCTATGGTACCGAACATATTTCGCTGAGTAGATGGTGTTTCATCCCGCACAAACTCAACCTGTACAACAGCTGCATCCTCGTGTGCTGATCGAACATGGCGTCGTAGAGCGAAGCGGTTGGCTGTGTCGAAAAGAGCAATCGACCCGTCAACGGAGCCAGCAGCAAGAAGCATCAACGGCGGAGAAGAAAATGATAATGTCTCCACACTGTCCGTCTGAGGTTGGAGAGAAGCGAGGAGTGTACCCGCACTGCCACCAGTGGCAGACAGAGAAGCAGCACGTTTGGTGGTTGACGACGGGAGACGCGGAAGCCCAACGATTTTGATATGTCCCTCTGCACCACCAACTGCGGCAAAGGCACCCGTAGGGGCGATGGCGATGGAAAATAGCCCACCCTCGACAGCAAACCGTTGGTCTTGAGCCGTTAGTCCGACAACGACCTGTGAACCAGTCGACGAGGCAACTCCGGCCGCCGCAGCGGCACCAAAGACATCGTAGACGTAGAAGCTCCCATCTTCCGAAACGGTGGCCAGGAGCTTGCCATCAGGCGTCCACGTGCCTGCCGTACATGACTTCTTATGTTGGAAAAAGCAAGAAACCATTGAGATTGGTGCTGTCTCACCCAGCTCATCGATTCGGTATACCCATACGCTCCCGTCACTGGCACCTAGCGCAATAAGGTTTTTTTTCTCTTCATCGGCCCTGCTCCTGGTCGAGGGACATGTAGCGACCCAATTTATCTCCTCCACCTCCTGTACCTCCGCCAGAAATTTCCACGATAGCGCTATTTTACCAGGTGTCATATCCTGCCATGCGCGCAGCTTCCCATCCAATCCCGCAGTCACCACATACTGCCCCAACGGTTCCGTGAACGCCACCGCATTCACAGAATCAGTATGTCCGCCCAATTTCGCAATGATAGATAACGACTCGCGCTCCGCCCTAGGCTGCGGATTCGACTCGTAACTCTTTGGAAGGAGCGGCCTCTGGGAGGCAGAATTGAATATGTATGCGGTATGGTCGCCGGAGCCTGTGATGATGATGAAAGTGTGAATGGGGTGTTGGGCGATGGAATAGATCGAGTCTGTGTGGTGATCAAAGTGGGCGCTAGAGTCGTTTTGGAAAGCCATTTCTTCACCACCATAGTCATCATCGTCGAGGTCGTCCATGGGTTGGTCGTCGTCTGCGGGAATCTCTTCGGCGGCGTCTCCTGCGTCGAGGAATACCTCATCCTCATTTTCTTGGTCAAGGTCTTCGTTGGGGTGTAAAGGAGGAGGGTGGGACATGGTTGTATGTGGCGAAGGAGGATCAGGCAGAAGGAGATCGAATATCGGAGGGAGGGGTAGGGAGGGGTAAAGCAACTAATGGAGGGGCTGGAGTGAGATGTTGCGGGGTTTAGTTGTTTATTATCCTCATTTATTTCAACTATGCGACAGAATTCTGCGAGCAATGCAGCATAGATTCAGCAACTATGGGGATGGTTAGTATTTATAAATGTTTCGGTACATGCGAATAGCGGGATTTTTAATAGTACTTTACTGCAAAAGAAGATGAGAGAATAGCGTCGGTTCTGTGGTTATGATTGATCTCTGCATTATTTCCGTTCTGCTGGCTGCCGCTTAGAAATCCCGATCTGAAGCTCTGAGACTCCAAATTTTAAGATTAACGTTAATTAGGGCTCGGGAAATCATGTGATCGAATGTTAGTTCCAACGTCGTTCATTTGATCTATGCAACAACAGACACATAGTATTTTGCTGGCTATTATTATTTCGTTCGCTGCCCATCAGGAATGTCACTCATCCGGGCAAGTTATCATATATTGCAGTTCGAACCTATCCCACCTGGGATCCATCCATGGGTTGTTTCCGCTGAGAACCCCTCAGGCGTCTGTCTTATCAGATGGTAACAGGTTTAACCAGTTAGTTAGTCATCCCTCGGTCGGTAAACAGTTTCGCCGCGATGAGCCAAAACAACAGCAACATTGCTATCACCAAGGCTCCTCTCGCTCTAAAAAGAAGAGAGCCCGCGCAATCTCCTCTGCTCCGCTAAAACCCCCGGACGACCCCCCCCAGCCCCAAAACACCACGTCCCAGGACGCGTCGGACACTACAACAGCCACCACAGCTCAACTACATCAAATCAATATCGACTTCAATCCCCGCCCGGCCCTCTCACCAGGAGGAGAATCCATCGAGAATGTGACTGACTGCACTCAAGCAGTCCCGCTAACCGCGAAGAACTCCTCTTCCACAGTGAATTATAAGCTCAATGCTCTGCTGAGTCATGCCAACAACTCCTCCTCTGCAGAGCTAGCTGCAGTGCTTGAGCTATGCAATAAGCTATCTGCGGTACTGGACCCGATACTCTGCACTTATGAGAACTCTCTACCACGCCAGACTGCCGTACTAAGGCAAGCCATGGGACACGGCATAGCCAAAGCCATTAAAGGCCTCACCGCCGAATCAAAACCTATGTTGACGTATGCTACCGCCGCGACAGCTAAGGCAATCCCCTCAAACAATCCCCCCCAGGCCGTTCCAGCAACGGGACAACCTCACAAGAAGCAGGTACAGCAGGCCAACCGCCCCCTGCACCAAGGACAGGAAGACAAATGAGTCATGATTAGGCTACCTGCAGCACACACTGCTTGTGACCTAGACCCCCAAGCTATTCGTGAACAAGTACGCGCCATGATCCCTGATCCGACCTGGATCACTGATGTATGGCACTGCCCATCGGGAATCACTGTGGCTGCCCCCTCCCCAGCGAAGGCAGCCTCCATTCTTGAACATGCAGATAAGCTGAAAGCTGCTGTAGGTGACTGTCTTATTGAGTGACAGGAATCCTGGACCATCTTTGTAGTCGGTCCAATCAAGAAGTTGACACACAGCTTTGAAGGACAGAATATCACTCTGATTCCAGTGTCAGAAGAGATGCTTCTTTCTGAGATTCAAGGCGCCGCCCACCAGGCTCCAATCACCCGTTGTCAATGGACAAAGAAGTCCATGGACCCCAATCTGCATGAAGGGTACGCCTGGGTTGGAGTACGAACCTCTGGAGTGCACCTCTTTCCAAACAAACTCCGCCTTTTCAGTCGCCCGGTGATGGTTAACAAAATCAAGAAATTGCCAAAGATCTCAATTTGCACAAGATGTCACGGCTTCCACACAGAAAGAAACTGTGTGCGACCCCTACGTTGCGAGAAGTGCAGCAGTCCTGCACACTCAGGCGGATGTCAAACACCAGCTCGCTGCTGCAACTGCCTTGGCCCCCATCCCACTCTCAGCACTGACTGTCCAGCGAGGCTCAAAATAGTCTCTGGATGTATAGAACACATCTCCCGCCGTCAGCTACACTCAATACACGAAGCTGGCAGAAGAGCATTCATCTCAGCTCATCAAACTTCAGCAGAGAAGAGCAACCCAGAGCTAAACTCTAGAGACTCCACCTCATCCCCTCTCTCAGCTCCGCTGACACCAGTCACTAGCTCCCAGAGCAACCAGACAGACTCAATGACCTGCTCTCAAACAGGCACCAAGATCACACCAAGTCTGAACCTCCACTAATGAAGAGCAGTCACAGCCCTCCTCACAAATCTACACTCACTGTATATCAAGCCAATGTAGGAAGACAGCCAAGCTCCCATGACATCACTCTCTCACTAGCAGACGAAAGAGCCTGTGACATTGTGGCCATTCAGGAACCCTGGATAGCTACGGACCTCTCCACCCGCCTCTCCAAAAGCCATCCCTCATACAAATGCTTCACCCCACTCTCCTCCAACTGGACCAAGAGGCCCAGAGTACTGCTCTATGTCAGAAATGGAAGGGCCCTTGCGCCAACTCAACCTATAGCAGATATCTCAAGGGATGTTGTCTGTGTCTCAGTTAAGATCTCTAACTCCAAAAGGGCTAATATCTACAACATATACAACGCCCCATCTGGCGCCACAGATGCAGGTCAAGGCCTTCAAGACCTCCTCTCTCTTACACACACCACAGAGACCATCCCCTGGATGGCATTAGGAGACTTTAATATTAGACACACAGCATGGGACTCTACAACTGATAGGCATCCTCAAGCAGGAGAGAATCTGTATAACTGAGCAATCTCTCTTGAACTCCAGCTTCTCAACCCGGCTGAATCCCCTACACATAGACAAGGAGGCACACTTGACCTTGTCTTCTGTGCTGCCAACTCAGCTATCTGTCATATTGCTCCTGAACTGCACTGCATCTCAGATCATGAAACTCTTATCACAACAGTTCAATTATCACAGACTCAGACTCAATTGATTAAGGAGAAGAAGCTTAGCCTCGTGACCTGTGATGCTGATTGCTTCTTGCAACTACTCACTCCCTTCTCCTCACTGGTCTATGAGGACGTGAATGAGGAAGCAGTGGACATTGTGAAATCTCTCCAACTGGCTCTACAAGGCTCCTGCTCTCTCGCCCCAGGACCCAAGAGTCATCATGCCCCATGGTGGACCCCAGCAGTCAAGATAGCCAGAAGAGTATATCATGCAGCATGTAGACACAGCCCTTGTCAATCAGAACAAGTGGCATTCCGGGCGGAAATTAGAAAAGCTAAGAGAGCATGGAATCACCAGTGAATTGAGGAGGCTTCCTCCTTATCAGATGTCTACAAGATTGTCAAATGGCATAAATACCAACCTCAAGACCCCACTCCTCCTTTACAACATCCCGATGGACACCTAGAACAATCTTGTGCTGGCAAATCTTCTCTACTGCGTGAGACACTTCTGGCCAGACATCTTGACGCGGAAGATATCCCAGAGCATACACCAACAATCCCATGCAGAGAGATACCCTGGATGCCTCTTACAGAGCAGGAAGTCTACAGAGCCACCTGCCAGACACTTAGCACATCTCCTGGCCTGGATGGCATTACAGCCAAGGTTCTTCAAAAGACATGGCCAGTGATAGGCAATTGAATCATTCTACTCTTTCAACACTGTATAGATCAAGGAATCCACCCCCAGAGCTTCAAGAAGGCTGAGGTGGTGATTATTCCAAAGTCAGGGAAAAGAGATTACTCTCTACCAAAGTCTTACCGCCCAATCGCACTGCTATCCTGCCTCAGCAAAGGGCTGGAGTGTCTGATAGCTAGACAAATGTCCCATCTCACTCTCCATCATCACATTCTAGCAGAAGATCAGTGTAGTGCTGTTCAACAGAGGTCTGCAGTAGACCTCACCACCGCACTAGCCTGTGATGTACAAGGGGCATGGGACAAACACCTTCTGGCCGGCATGATCACCCTAGATGTCAAAGGGGCCTTCGACGGAGTCCTTCAAGGCCGGCTTCTAAGATGTCTACAGGAACAGGGCTGGCCGGCAGTTCTGATAAAGTGGGTAGCGTCTTTCCTCAATCAATGACTAGCTTTGATTTGACTAGACGGCGTTCAATTGAAGGTGTTTCAGATTCTCTGTGGCCTTCCACAGGGATTCCCTGTCTCACCAATTCTCTTTCTGCTCTACGTAGAACCCCTCCTCCAGCTTACCAAAGGCCGGTTTGGGTACGCAGACGACATTGCAATCCTGGAGACTGGAAGCTCCCTTGAGCGGGTAGGAAGTCAGCTTCAGAATTCTCTCAATCACACCCTGGAATGGGGTATTGACAATGGAATCTCATTTGACCCAGCCAAGACGGAGCTTCAATACTTTCATAAAAAGATCAAGTACTCGGAGCCCTCCATCTCCTTTAATGAACAGACAATTTCCCCCAATAACTACACCAGATGGCTAGGGGTTTTCTTTGACAGAAAGTTACTCTTCAGAGAACATATTCACCTTGCGTGCACTCGAGCCAGAATTGTTACAGAACACGTTAAATCACTAAATGGAGCCTCATTCAGAAATCAAACACATTTGCTCAGACAAGCAACTCAAAGCTGTGCCTTCAGCACTCTGTTTTATGGAGCTGAGACCTGGTTCTCAAAGTGAACCTCTCAGGCAGCCATTGGCAAGATTCAGGTAGCCTTCAACAACGCTGCTTGAGCCATTCTACCTGTCTTTGCCACAATGCCTACCCCTGTTCTCCTACGTGAATCAAGCTGGGGCCCAGCCAAAGCCTGGCTAGAAAGAATACATGACTGACTAGCTGTTCGCGTAGCTGCAGCCAACCTGTCACATCCCCTACACTGAAGATGGTACACCTCACGTTTTAAATGGATTAGACGAAACATTAAAATGACGGCCATCACACCCGGCTCAGGGTCCTTGCCTCCTTGGGACAATCCTGGCATACCAAATAGAGAGCAAAAGGCACTAGAAATTGGGGCTGTGGGACAAGCTGCAGGACCAGCAGCTTTCCAAAACTGGCTTCAGAAAGCTGTATCCCCCCTCAATCTCATCACATATACTGATGGCTCCAAAGACAGCCAAGGAGTTTCAGGCGGAGGCTACTGTCTATACCAAGGAACAAATCAATCTCTGGAGCTTGGTAAGCTGCCTCTGGGCCGCACCGCTGAGGTCTTTGATGCTGAAGTGCTTGCAGCAGTTGCCGGTCTCAAGGCAGCACTACAGAACCTCTTCTCTATGTTCGCACAGCACATTATAGTGGCTCTAGACAATGAAGAGGCTGCAATAAGACTCCACACAGACACACCCACATGAACATCTTTTCTCGCCTTTGCTAAGTTCAACGAACTCCGCAGGTCCTGGACAAAACAGGGCCCAGGTCCAGCCGGCCCGAGACAGGTCTATGTTCGATGGTGCCCCGGCCATGCTGGGATTCCAGGCAATGATGCTGCAGATGCTGCGGCCAAGTCAGCCTGCACAATGGAATGCACTCGCCGCACTCTGACCCTGGCGCGGGCCAAATTCTATGCTAAAGAACGCTTCAATGCCTCACTGCAACAATACTGGAGCTCCAATAGCACATCACAATACAAGGACCTCAATATCCCAATGCCAAAAGGACCCTCCCCTGAGCTCACTCTCCCCCGAAGGAACCTAGGCCACTTGCTGGCAGCTAGAACAGGCCACGGTGACTTTGCAGCCTATCATCACAGATGGGCACATGATGACGCACTCCTCACCTGCTCTTGCGGCTGAGATAAGACCCCCGAGCACTTCTTCTTTTGCTGGAAAGGCCGGAACATTGAATGAATTAAAACCCCTGAAGCATGCTGAGGACCAAAGGAAGCAATTGACTGGCTTCTCAGCACAGTAAGAGGAGCTACGACCTTCTCTACCTGGTGCACTAATACCCGCTTCTTCATCGACATCCAACGCCGCTACTAGAACCTGTTCAACATCCGACTTCTCCCTCCCCCTCTCTCTTTCCTATGCTCCTTATATACATTTCTCATCACCCCTACACACCACCCTAGAAGCCCTTGGCTTCCTCAGTCCCGTAATCTTCGGCTACTACGCCATTCAGAACCTCCAGGACGGGGGCTACTCTGTACATAGACTCTCAAGAGGGCTTCAGCCGACTAGACATGTCAGGCAGCAGACTAGCTGCTGCGCTGGCACGCCTGATACCCTTAGGGAGGTGCTGTGGCCGCGACGGCAGACTATTCTTAGTCAGCTGATCACGTGCCTCCAGGCGTTAAATAAGTAATAATAATAATAATAATATGCAACAACAGAATTCAATATCTAATACTCCGCATGTCTCTGGATATCTGCTGGAAGTCTCCCTGTCTCATTTCCCCGAATGAAAAGTGTTTGCTCCTTTGCCAGATGTTTCGAAGTTGTTCAATTGGGATTCCTCTTCACCACCTCCTCAGGCATATCGGTGTAACAGACGGAGATTCTACCTGCGACTGCTTTGAAGCCATTGTCCTTTTTCGCGGATAATATTGGGGTTCCTATGCCATTTCCATTTCGAGAGGAGAGTGATGCATTGGACCGTGGTCCCTCTCCGGTTACCATCCCGTTGAATAACGGGATAATACTGGCGGTTCAGTCAGCCTATTATTTCTGATGGTGGCTTGCCATTTCCGGCCCACTCATTTCCTATCTCTGGTTTTTTTTTTCCACACACACAAACATTGGGAGTGGACAAGGGGGCTTCCCGTCTGATCAGTTGTACTCAAATGATTCGTAGTTTGGAGGATGACCACCAGCGAACGCAGTCTTAGCCCTCCCCTGAAGTCTTTTCAAGGTTCCCTGAGTGCCGTTAATAAGTGAGTTTATGATCTGGCTGGTGCGCCTACCAGAGGTCCTCGACTTTTGAGGCACATTCTCGAGGTACCCAGGATTTATCTCTATCTCAAGCTCATACGGTCACCAATGATCGACTTGAGCATTCCCGTAACATAACTAATGGGCTTACAGCAGGGGTAAAAAGACACAAAGACAAAGACAGGAGAAGTTCGATAACACACGAATATATTTACTTAATATGATGCTGATACTGTGTTACTTCTCCTAAACATCATATGACGCACCAGGTACTTATTTCTTCTCAAAGCAGTAGTCGCTGACCTAAAATGGAAAACCAAGAGGCCTAAAAGAGACGAAAAGAGAGAGGTATTACAACTTCACTCCGGCTATCCTTCTCGCCTCTCTCTCCCTATCTCTAAGCAGCCGTCTCAGAATCTTACCGCTCGGGCTCTTAGGTATAACGTCGATAAATTCCACTCCCCCTTTCAGCCACTTATGGCGTGCCTTGTGGTCCTCCACATGTTTCTCAATTGACCGGATGGTAGCCGCATCATCACTTCCCGCAGAAGGAGATTTCACAACAAAAGCCTTTGGGAGCTCTCCTGCAGTTTCGTCAGGGACGGCAATGACTGAGCAGTCGGCAACGTCAGGGTGTGAGAGGAGGTGCGCTTCCAACTCCGCGGGAGCGACTTGTAGACCCTGTGCTAACATTTAGGAAGATGGCTTTTGAGTTAATATGGCAAGGGAAGAGAATATAACGTACCTTGACTTTGATAAGTTCCTTTATCCGGTCGACAATAAAGAGGTGCTCGTTACCGGCAGGCGAGACACGGAAAACAGCTTCATCACCCGTGCGCATCCAGCCGTCCCGGAATGTTTCCTTGGTTGCCTCTTCATTGTTTAGGTAGCCTAAGGCGATGGATGGGGAGCGGACAACAAGCTCGCCCGGCTGGTCGTAGCCGGTTATCTCCTCCCCATCGGGAGAAAGAAGACGCGCTTCAAATCCTGGAATCAGCGAACCAGAAGAGCCCAGGAAGATATCATGTGGACTTGTATTAGACACGACAGTGGATGTTTCGGTTAGACCTGAATTGATGTCAGTATTCACGTTGGCAGTTTGATAATTGGCAAAACGTGGGTTTTTTCAGGCCGGTTGCTCGGATCATGACCTACCATAGCCTTGTCTAATTTTCCATGATGGCTTCCAAGTCATAAGGTCTGTAGCGGTTTCAACACCTAGGGGCGCTGCTCCAGTAAAGATGCTGGTAACAGAGCTTAGATCACGTTTGTCACATGCTTCTTTGTTTCGGAGCATAATGATGATAATTGGGGGAACCTAGCCGATGAACTAAAATTAGCCCTCTAGACGGGAAATTGCCGACATTCGGCGCAACAAAAAAGAATCAGAGAGACAATAAGGCCATACCAAGTAAAGTGTTGAAACTTTGCACCTCTCAATAGCACTGAGGTACTGTGTAAAATCAAATTTCGGGAGGATGACAACTTGGTCACCACGGTAGGGACCAGAATGGCAAATAACGACTAATGCGTATATGTGGCTTTGGGGCAATAGACCCAGAATGACATCCGTGTAGCCTGATTGGGATCCGTGGTTCTTCAAGGTTTTTCGATACGGAACCTCATACGCCTTGATCTGTAAAGTATTGGCAATCACATTTCTATGGGAGATCATCACTCCCTTTGGCAATCCGGAGGTTCCTGACGAGTAGCAGAGGAATGCAGTTTGTTTGGTACCCTGGCCCGGCTGCCAGTTCAGCTTCTCTAACTTCGGCAACGAGTACCCATCTTTAATGAGTTGTTCCACGGTTTTATATCCATCTGGTGCTTTTCCACCACCGGGAAACTGAGAAGGAAGGTCAAGGAGGTATATTCGGCTTTTGGGGATGCCAACATTGGCGGCAGCTTCGAGGGCGATAGGGAGGTTGGTGGCGCATGTGAAGAGAGATTTTGAACCACTGTCTTTAAGTTGGTAGGCGAGTTCGGGAGCGGAGTAGGTGGCGTTCGCGGGGGAAGCAATGCCGGAGCAGCGATGGATGGCCCAACAGAGGGTCATGTAATCAATCTGTATATTTCATCAGTTCCTGGCAACATTGCACTGAGGGGTTTTAATTGGGTAAGATTGGCAACCGTCCAAGGAGAAATATATGCGCTTCTGCAAAAGGGGAATTCTCAGGAAAGAGAACAAAATAATAACATTCCTGCATACCGTGTTCACGCTGTAGATGCAAGCTACACGCTGATATTCTGACCCATTGTTTGGCTGCCAGCCAAGTTCCTTGGACAGAGATCGCGCCAGAACATCGACTCGTTCTGCCACTTCCAGCGCAGAGTAAGATTTCTTACTCAGGCCGCAAACAAACGGATGATGTGAGTATTCCAGGGGATGACGGCCATAACAGTCCTTGAGCATGAACTCGGAAATTGGGATGGCATCTGGGGGCTCTGGAGCTGGGCCAACCCATTTTGGCGGAGTGAAGACCATCACGATTTACGGGAGCGCTAGTTCGGACTGAAAGGGAGGTTGATGAGAAAGGGAAGTTGAAAATTGTGATCAAAGATTATTGGCGATGAAGTCTCAATATAGTTAAATCTTTAGTTACCCCACATTGGAACATTGGATTGAGTGGAGAGAAGCGCCAGAATCGTATTACAAAGCCAAATGCGGTCTGGATCGTCGTTCGGTTGTTCGGCTTGGCCGAAGTCCTTTATTAGTAAACGTTACGTCCAAAGTCCGCGGCTCGGGTTTTACTGATTTAGGCATGACTGCTGTAGTTAGCTATCACGATGAGTTACTCCAATATGATGCCAGCAATAATTACTGGTCAGCAGATGGGCTGCCCCTGAGCTCTCGAGCTTGGAAACCAGGAACTGATGATTCCCGAAGCTTTGAGCGATCGTTTCGGCTCAACAAACTTTTTTAGTGGACTAGTTAAGTTTCCCCAGAATATTCCAAACTCTCGAATGCAAAACGGCTCCTTGCACCTGCAAATACTGAAGTACGTAGAATATGCTCAGCTATTATCGGCATGCTGACAATCTCATAGCTAGCTGCCCAACAGGGTTGCAGAGCCCGAGTCGCTGGCCTCAAACACGATGAATATGACGGGTGCTGGTTATTCAAATGTAATAGGAGCAGCCGATATTGGAGCCTGATTTCGGATAGATTTCCCAACAATGGACAGGGAGGGAGTGGGCACAGCGCCCACTCAGCCCACAAAATACAGAGTAATGGGGCTTATGTTGGAATAGGCTAGACAAGATAAGTGCCTAGGTTCTCAGGTAACTAAACTATCTGGATGTTGCGTCGTGTTCCCGGGCTCTACAACCAACAAAGTGGGTGTGCCTCTAACAGGAAAAACACTCTTGCCCAACAAAACTCCGGTTTCCAAGGATACTATCAGAGAAATGTAAGCTATGGAAGTATTCAAGAATGTCATTCGCATGCTGCTTTTCCAACTAACTAAATGGTATGAGAGGTTGAACTGCCTTTATATATTGAGAAACTGAATCACCCTATTCCTGAGAAAAAACAAAAAAGGAAAATAAGGAGAAGGTCTCATATGAGTAACAGTAACAGTTTCATATAAGAGATAACAATTGAAGTGCTGTGGTGAGAACTGGTGTTTCTGAATTAGCTTCTTTGCTAAATGCTGATATCTGACAGATACTTATGTTCAAGTTTAGTTACAGAGCTAATAGGAGGGTGACTAACTAAATTTTAGTCGCTGGTATTCACAGATTCTCGGATCATATAATGACTTATTTTCAGCTACGATGATGTGAAGAGAAGTACTGAGATGTGTATCAAACTTGAACCTCCAACATTCTTGATCTCTAAGATTTACCATATAAAATGTAAATATTATGGTTTGACACATCTTCCTTTTGAGACTGGTTATCCAATTTCGAGATGACTGGCGAAAAGATACTCAGGCACAGAGAAGCGGTTCTGGACAACCATACGGTTACATTCCTTAAGACTCCAAAAAGCTCCCTTAAATTTTAATTCCTCGGTGAGGGCGTAGAGACGAAATATACAATACTACCCAGTTAGTATGTGTTTTACCTGAATTAATTATACTTCAAGAGTTACCCATAGAGATATATATATATCTGCGTGTCTATATATATGTATGTATAGACTTACAAGAAGATCCTCGTTTATCAATGCTCGATGCTCTAGGTCCTTGTAAGTCACTGCTTAGCTCACATACATACCCTTCCCTCTGATTATATCACCCTTATTTTATATTCCAATCTCCCATTTTCCTCTTTTGTCTTGATTCTTTTATTGGGATTTTGTTTCATTGTTCTTTTCTTACCTCATTTTTTCCAATTTATTTGAAGATTTCACGGCGGTCTCATGTTGCGATGACATCCTTATCTGCAGTCTGAATGTTGTCTCCAAGATAAGGTTGCCAAGCTCTTATAGTAGTTAGTTACCCCCAAACCTTAAAAAACTTACCAGAAGTTTATTTCTGCTCATTCTTCGTCGCTAATAACATGCACGCTGAATTCTTCTTTTGGCCACGAACAAATCTATCCTTATCCCAAAGCTATGTTACGAATGCTCCCAAGTCAAGCTTCAACCGATGTCACAATAAAATGCTGTTCAGTTACCTGAATTCTCTCCGGAGTCTCATAGTATCGGGTACAATTCCAACCCATCCAATGCTGCCCATAATGCGGCACCTGTACGACTTTCAGATCCCCGTTGAATTTCGTGCTGTATACTGCGGGCCCAAGTTCATGTACAATTATGAAAAATGGAATTACTATTTCATTTTCTTACAAAACAAAGCCAATATCTATCGACTGTGTTCGAGAATGGAAAGTTAATGTCACTTCCGCTCTCCGGTACGGTCCGCCAACGTTTTTGCAATCCATGGTACTAGGATATATATGACGAATATGTGAAATGTGATTTTCTCATCGGGCCATTCCTCCTTCGACCTGTCGGCTTCTCCTTCATATTGTTCAAGCTGCACAAAGATATATATATGTTATCTATCAGCACCTCCACCAGTCACGGTTTGTTTCCCGCACAAGTTCTTGATCCTGCCTATCCCAGCATCGTCACGTTGTAGTAACTCGTCTCCTCCATGAGCCTCTATTTTGTCAGGTCAACTTCATGGGAAACTGTTATAATTTTATGCGTGATTCGATTCTTCTCTTTTCGGTGGTCCTTGCAGTCGATATCTGTTAAATCCATTCATCAAATATTTGGGAGCATCGGAGGTAGATTCACCTCTGGTTTCGTAAGTCTTTTTCATTTTTGGATACGGATTATTTACTCACTCTATCACCTTCGTAAGAAGCATGTTGTTTCCAGAATTCTCCATTATTTTGTCACTCGACTTGCGTTATGACGTTATTCGATCCTTCTTTACCGGCCAGTCAAATTTCCTCAAGGCACTATTATTACCTTTTCCCCTTCCCCGTTATCCGAAGAGATCTTTTTTTTTTTTTTTTTTTTTTTTTTTTTTTTTTGCATTTACCGATTTCTGGTTTTACGGGCTGACTTGACTTGTTGCTATTTCCCTTGCAGTTGTTTTTAGGCATCCTTTGGAAGTTGATTACGGCACAGTCATCAATCTAAAACGGAGTGTCAATTAGACTTACTCACTCGTGGATCATAATTTGTAATTTATTAGGTCTTCGTCGTGTGTTTGCGAAATGAAGGCCGAGCCAAATAATGGAGTTGTACGAACGAAGAGCTTTGCGCCAGAGGAATGTTGAGGGAATGGGCACGATTACCAAACCTCAGGATGCCAAATCAAGTATGTTATTCCACGCCTTAGCTTTGTGTAAAATTGCATATTTTGTGTGCTTACTTCTTCTATTCTCTTTACTTCATTTATTCTATCTTTCGTTGCCATTTTGCCATCACCTCCCCTTGATTACTCATTCAAACTGTTTAATGCCAAGTAGATGAGAAACCTCATTATGTGCAACGTTATATTCCTTTATTTCTTTATTTTAATCGACATCACGAGCATTTTTACCGCAGTAACTTTGGCATACTGATACTGCGAGATGCTATTCTGACCTCGCTTCTAGGAGATATTTCGTTATCGCGCACTCAAGCAAGCCCAGATCTGCCTAGTTCTAAAACATCAACAACGGCATGCACAACGCCCATACTGACTACCGGGACAACGCCACCATGCGGTTCTCCACCAGCGTGGGCATCAAATCGACCGGAACTTTGTGATGCTCTGCCTTGGTTCCGTTCGCTGCAGGGTGGCTGCTACTTTCTTGATGGTTACTGTTGGGGGTTTCTCGTCGATGCTGACAGTGGAAGCCAGGCATACTTGGACGATGAAATTATTATTACTCGAATGTAGGCTGCTGGTATTTTGCATAGTTTGTTTCCACCCTTTGACTAATGAAATATCGTAGTGGAGGTGGGTGTGAAAAGAACAAAAATGGCGAATTGGTTCAGACAAAGCCGCATACCGGGTCTGGAACCATTTTTGATGCTCTGATGAATTCCATGAAGCACGAAATACCAGTAGGCATGATCATTGGTAAGCAGAGAGAACTGTATGCATTTTATTCAATTACTGGGGCTCATGATTCCCTAGGCAACAAAAACTCTATATGTCCTACGAAGGTTCCCCATCGGTACAATGTGATGGACCTTTTTCGAATCACCAACATCTGGTTTGAGAAAGTAGACAAGATGCCGGCTGCTAGAATACGGTTTGAGAAGCTGGATCTAGATAGCAAAAGCTGGTGGGCTCCGGAAAACTCAAATGATCCGATTCCCATACGTCAGCGTATCTCTATCGCGCCGATCGATGGCCCAACCTGCAAATCGTGCTCGAGTACAAGCCCTCGGGTTTATCAGGAGGGCTGGATGTGTCTGCGGCCTTTCTGCAATCAGTTCTGGCGGGTGAACGGGTCTTCGCCATCGAAAACATTGACCTACCACCCCCTATTTCTCAGGATGAGGACTCAACAGAAACAACCGGTTCGAGCTCCTTGTAGCCTGGTCCCGGATCTACTTTCTACATTTTTGAAAGAAGACACCGACCTCACATCGGCACGTGTTACATGGAAAGGAATTGTGTGTCCCAAGTGCAGACGATGCATTTCCAGAAAGTACTGGAGAGGGTGGATTTGCGAAACGGAAGGCTGTGACTTTAAGTACCAATTCTCTATGACTCGAGTATCGCTGAGATCCGTGCTTCCAGAGCTCGAGATGGGCCCCGTTGGCCATCGGCTCCCACGCAAAGGCAAAGGAAACAAAACAGCTCCAGTGGTTCATTACATGAAGAACTACAGGAAAGACATGTTCCAGATCCCTGGTGTGGGTCTAATTACACATTTTGCTGCGAATAATACAGTTAATTATCGCGAAAGAGGCCCAAATGATCTATTTAAAATGTTGCAAGAGGAGGATCTTGGCCTACGACGGTATCCCCTTCAGCAGAGCGTCGGCATGTGTCTCCCTTACGAAATTCCGCTTCCTCTCTAGCTGCTTCTGCAATGCCATCTTTCATAATTACCACACCTCTCTAAATTGAGTTTAAAATTTACTAACTTATTTCTTCTGAGGATAGTGGCTGGAACTCTGACTTCACACTTTGCTGTTAACTATGTAAGTCCCCCAATATTTACTCTCGTCTGTATCTGGTTGTTTTTCTTACATGAGAAATAGGGAATGCCATATAAATACGTTGTGAGCGTCGATTCTAGGCCTTTTAACACAGCTCCCTCCGTAATTCTTGCTGCTCTCGGACGTCTTACTTGGGCTACCCAGAAGACTGTGAATGAGGATGAATTTCAGAGACCTAATGAGCTGTTAACCCTGGGATATTTTGAGGACATGTCAATCGGGGTAAGTCAAAGACATACATTGGCGGCGTTACCCGCGACTAACGTCCGTTTTCAGTATCATGATGACGGGGAGTCGTCTTTGGGACCAACAATCGCCACCCTTTCTCTGGGTGGAAAAGCCACCATGTCTATCCGCATGAAGGCCAAATACTATCATGGGTGTAGCAGAGCAGGCAAACTTGTTGTAGATGATCCTGTGCTTCCTGGCTGTCTGATGTACGAACAGAGAGTCGAGCTTCAACGGAAGCTAAAGGATGGCGAGATCTCTTTATCTCACTATGAGGACAGCCTCCAAAGACTCCTGAAACGAAAGGCGAAACGAAAACATGATGAAGAGCAGATGGACGGAGTCAACAAAAAGGAATCTTCTCCATTCTGCGTACTACAGCTTAATCATGGCGATATGGTCGTGATGCATGGTCCTAATTTGCAAAAGTATTATGAGCATGCAGTCGTTCCTGAAGGTAAACTTCGCTTTGCGATGACCGCAAGATATGTGAAACCGGATCAAGTTGATCCGTCGGAACACTGGAAGGGAGACTTTGTCCCGAATCCTGAATTCGATTACGCCGGAGACGAATAATTATATCGTAGTAAGTCTCTTCGTTTACTCCGGTCAAACCCAAAGCTTCGAGCGCAGCCTGACTTGCCTGTCGATTTCGAACGTGATTTTTTCGTTACATTCGGTAAAACTCAACCAGGCCTAAGGGTAAAATTTCATGACCTGTAAACGTTGTGTTGGCAAAGTCCCACTTGCCAGCATTCCATACCCCGAGAGTCACAAATGGATTAGAGGGTGGGTGAAGCGGCATCAGGACGCAGAAGCGACACACCCAAGATCAACTGACATGGATCGTGACTGGTGATGTAATACATCATGAATGGAAGATGCAACTGTCATGTCGATTATAAACGTTGGCTCGAAATTATTATCCAAGCATTTTGATTCCTTCGTTGTCGCTGAAGCGACTGCAACCAAACTTGGCTATTTGAACCCTCAAAAGGACTGCCTCGAACCTCGAACTCTCAAAAAGAAAATCTCGACAAAATATTTAGTTATTTGCCACATCTTGGATATTCCCGTCGTTGACGAACAATGCATTAGTCAATAAACCAAGTTTCAGGAACATATCTATATATGTCTATATATCGCTCGCTGGTAGATCACTTTGGCCAATTGCGAAATATTAATAAAACACTCCGCATCGCCGTTATCCCTTTTGCAAAATCTCCTAATCAACGAACAACCTACTTAAGAACAATTGGGTTGTAACCCTGTGGTCATTCAACGAACATGTCGGGGTTCCTGGAGAAGAAGACGTGACTCGGGGAAGCGGCTCCTTTATGAGAAGACCGTTGAACCACGAATACTATTCTCAATGGCCATATGAGGGCTTTCCAAGGTTTTAGGCATTCAACAGGCACAGAGCCATTTGCAAGGTTGGGGGTGTCACTACTGATACAGAGAGCAACATCCTATTTCCACGAAGTTCGCACTTTCAAAAAAAATAAAGAAAGAAGGGAAGAAAGAAAGAAATATAAAAAAATAAATAAAATAAAGAAAAAAAAGAAAAAGAAAAAGTCCGCATCATATCAATCCTTGTGCTGTAAGATAAAAGTTATATTTAATATTTATTTTTGAAAGTATAATAGCTAGTTATATAACACTGTATCCAATTCGCATTAATATAACAACATTAGTTGAATTCCATCTGAATTTCCAAGGCGCTATGGGCACCGTAATCCAGTTTAACTATTAGTTACTTACCCACGCCCTAAATCCCCTTATCTTGATTCAAAAAAGCCAATAACCAAAATAATAGAATGTAAATGGTTTTGTATTTGTATAAACGTACCTGATTCCTTATTTGACCAGAAACTCGACAATGGCACACTGAGCTAAACCTCTTTAAACAAACCCTTCGTTCCCGAGGTATATCAAATGAGGAATAAATTAACTGCCATAGCCGGATCTAACTTATCCGGGCCATCCTGGTTGCTACTCTGCAACTGGAAGCAAAATGACTCGGTCAATAGATAGGGTGTTGTGTTTTCAGCCGGTTGAACCCCGCTCTCATGGTATTTCGGGAGGTGGAGGGATGAAGCGATGGCACAAACGCTATTCATAAATTATGCTTGTGTTGAAACTATTTGGATATCTGTATAGCTGTATTACTAGCTAGCCTGTGAATTGTGAAGTATATAAAACGGACTTGAATATAGTCCTTCGTAATGACAAAGGCTGAATCATAAATAAGATAAATGACCGTAAACTGAAAACCGTTTGCTCATGGGAAACGTGGAGTATACTTCGCCGCAAAAAGATGTGATATATATAACCAAAGAAATAGGGAAAATGAGCAACAGAGAAATTAGGAATGAGAAAGAAAGACATTCAGAAATTGAGGGTACGAATAAAAATGTACAAGAAAATATAAAGCAAAGAGGGTGGGAGAAATGTAAATTAAGCAAATCACGTATAAGAATGAAAGCACGACACAAAAAGATTTGCCAAACCGCCATAGGCGAAGAAAACCAGAAATAGTGGGTTATAACACATCCAACATAAGAATCCAAAATGAAAAGAATATAATAAAAATTAGAAACCAGAGAATTCGTAAAAATGGGTATAGAAACACAAACATAAATTTTTGTTAAAAAAAATGAAAAAGAAAAGAAAAGAAAGAGAGAAAGAGAGAAAGAGAGAACGAAAGAGGAAAGCAACAAAAATTTAACCTGAAAATCTTCAAAAATTCTCAAATGGTAATCACTCCTTCAACCCATGGTTTTCGAGTAATTCCACAATAATTTGACTACGTTCATGTTCAGGGTGCTGCATGCAAATCTTCACCGTTCGCCCAGAAGTCGAAAATCCAGTTGAGAGGCCTAGGCCATTCTGCCCGCTTAGCGGGTTTACAGCAGCGGCCGCCTCATTAAAATTTGTTGGTGACGAGCTACTCATGCCACCAGATCCATTTCCGCCATCGTCAAGAAGCGTCACATTGCGGCCAGCGATAACCTGCCGCAGTCGCCCGTTCATGGCGTTGCGCACTTCGACAAAGTCCTCGTTAACAAGAATGAGGAATTTTCCGCAGAGGCAGGCGGAGATGGCGCGCCCGAGAAACTCCATAATAACTGCCCGGTTGACGTCGCCATGATTATCAACGTAGACAGCGCAGTCAACGAAGACTACGAGGAAATCGGTATCGCTGAGGCGAAACATGCCTAATGGCCGGAGATTGCTAATACGGCTACCAATTTGATTTAGACTTGGCTGCGCTTCGGGCTGTTTGGATTGGAGGCAAGGGACAGAGTATGGTTGCTTTTTGTCTAAAGTGAGAACCTCGACACCTCGGGATGTCGAAATGGCAAGTGAAGAATGGAAGAGGTTGATGCTATAACTTTCTGCCGGGATATAAAATTCATCATAGTCACGGAAAAAATCGGTTTGGCCACGACGTGTAGGTAGGAATCGTGGACGAATTGAGGATGACTTTTGCAACACAGGTTCAAGAGCCTAATGCGAAGTTCAGTGAATTAGAGAACCAGTTATATCCATACGTGCATGGCAAGGACATTTGATGCAAGAACAGCTGGACGATAATACCTTGAAAGTGGACGTAATCCCATCACGTTTCTTATAAATCACAAGAGCCCTGTCCTTCATGCGGCCAGCAACAAAGAATCCAACTTCTCGATTACCTGATAACTTTTGCGGAGCACGCCTTTGCGAGTCGCTTTGGGCGTGAACCCCACTTGGTGGGCAAACAACGTCAAGGTGGTATGCGATTAAAGATTTGTCTGCAATAAGGAGGAACAGGTTGAACTCTTCGAAAACAGCCATCTGAGTTACGCGTACTGTGGATATTGCCTAGAGATGGTGATGTTAGCTAAGGTCCGTAAACACGATATCACTTGGCTAAACCGCGAGACTCTAGTACTCACCTTCGTCCAACCTCTAGAATTGTCATATTCCGAGATATACACGCCGTAGTCTGTCCCAACAGCACACATCAATCTTCCATGCGGTTGTTGAAACACAGTAGCACAATTTACGGAAGCTCTGCAGATTGGTAATGGCCGTGACAGATTTCCTTGGTACCTAGCTTCAACTTCACGTATCGCTCGATCCAAGGGAGTGCCTGTGATTACGGCGGTCTTAGGTGAAACTGCGTGGTCCGGATATGCAAACGCGGAGTCCGAAAGTACACGAAGTTTGAAAGGCTCCGCATTCTGAGCATGAAGAGACTTTGCATGCTTTATTTTGGCCTCAATAATCTTTTCGCACCAATCCTGTCGGCTTTGTGCCGTGGGTGCATAAAGTGTGTACACATCTGGCTGGCCAAGATGTTTGATTTTGAAGGGATATAAAATTTTGTCATCTCTCTGGTCAAGAACGGAAACAGGAACAAGAGTTTTGGAAGAAGTGGTGGAATTGGTAGACGCAGTGGAAGAACTCGTGGCAGTATGTGCTAAGTTCCCAGGGCCAGGGCTATTGCGGTCCGCTGGAGAACCTAGTCTACCGGCGGGAGTCGAAACTGCAGTTATCCCCCTAACAGAAGATTTCATGACAGGGTCATCATTCGTACTCTCGAGTGTTAGAAGGTCCATTGGTATTGGCAGTTTGGATACATCATAGAACTCTTTTCGTGACGCATCCCGAGAGACGACAATTTTTGCAAGAATTAGATACCGATCGAACAAAATTGCACGTATATCAACCCAATTAAACCGCTTTGTCCGCGGTCGCTGGAGATCCCCTTGGAATATGATCTCCAAGTGCTCAAGGTTAAGTTGAAATTCCCCTTTCAACTCCGGCCTGAGCTGCAACTTCAATCCCAGTTCCTTCAGGTTCACGGTCTTGGCCATATCGCCAACTTTTGTGTCGCATTCAGCAGCAACAGCTTTGATTTCTTCTATGGCCTGAATTAAATTGGTCTTCTCTTCGCACTCTTTCTCCATACTTTTTAATACTGTATTCAAGAGGAGGACATATCGCTGGATCCGGGTGATCGGAGCCTTCAAGAACGTGTCCCAACTTAGTCGGTTTGACAGCTTATTTTCCCGGGCCTGGTTTAAGAACTGCCTGAACAGGATGTTTGTTTCAGCCTCTCTTCGAACAAGATAATTTGCATTGGGAAAAGTCGCTGCGTAATCAATATAAGCAGCCCTTGCTCGTCGAATCCACTCGCGGAATATGTCACTGAACCCAACAATCCATGGTCCTTGTTCCTTCTGACGATATTTCAACTGAGCAAGTAAGTGATCTTCGTTGACCTTCTTGACAGCATCCACTTTTCCAAAAACATCGTTTGAAAACTTTTTAATGCGCTTTGGGTTAACCACTGGAGGGTTAAATTCTGCAAGCTGATCACGATACAACATTCGCAACACATCCAGTTGTCCGATATACGCGTCTTCCGTCGTAACAATCTCATGGAGGATATTCTGTCGATCGATTTCCTTTTTCGAATGAGTCTCGAATATTTCTTTGCCTACTTTGTAGAATGTAGCCCAATCCTCTGCCTTTTTCTCTGGTTCCATTTCATGCATCTGGAGATTAACCTTCTTTAGAGTTCGCAT